AAGACTCTGTAATGTCTTCTGGGTTTCTCAAATGCTAGAGGGCGCTCCTAAGCGAGTCCAAAACGAATGGATTAAGATGGAGCATTTAAGCAAAATCATAGCTTATAAATGCTTAAACATTTTTAATGTAAAAAAATACAATAATTTCCTGAACACTGAATAGCCTAAACATTTTAACACTGCTGTTATATTTTTAACCTCTTCAACTCCTTGAGACCACCGGTGGTTCCAAAACGCACTTCGTCATATTCTTCATAACTTTCATATTTCATAAGCTACATTCAAAAAGGTGGGTGTCATATGAGAGCTGTAACTGTCTTCTTTCCAGTTAAATAGATGGGTAATGTAATTTTAAACCCTTATAATAAAAGAAGCTGAACTCACAATTTTTGTTGTCTACTGAAAGTCGACCCATTTTTCCACAAAACTGGGCTATAAACTATAAACAGATGGCGTCTCTTCAGTGATCTGCTCTGTAAAAATGATTTTTATAAAAAATTACAAAGAGCGTCTAAGATTTTTGGCTTTCAGCAGTAAATTGTAAGCATATAGCAATATGTGTATGATCATAAAACACACATTACATTTCATGCAGTTACTGAATAATTTGCCTTACGATTTGGTCATGTTAATTCAGAAGGACAAACCAAAATATACCCTGGAGAATAAGAGGTTAAGAGCTTTTAAACTCAAGTTATAGGAATTTAAAATGGTGCCTCATGAATGTCCATGAGGTCTGTGAGCACGAACAGCCAATGAGCTGCTCCGCTCAGTAACCAATCAGCACTCAGTAGCAGTAATGCTAGCATTCTGCTGCCCAAAACCCATTTGCTGTAGAAAAAGGAAATATATAAGTAAGCTTTCTTTGCTTTTTTAGTGAAATACAAACTTCTACTTTCTAAAATTAAAGGAAGGTTCTGAACAAGTGATTAGAAACTATTTTAACTTTTTGTTTTTAACCATTGAGCTCCATTTTCTCCCGTTCATTGAGGACCCGCTCACGTGCGCCCTCTGGCATTTTGCAGTTATGCTTTTTGATATAGTGGGGGAAATAGGAAGTGGCCAGGCTCTTCATAAACCAGCTCTAGTGCGGTGTCGTTGCCAAGCAAACATGGACGGCTGAATGCAGAGAAGAACATTTAGTCACTCATCACTTTATACTGCAGTCATTTCATGAACTTTTAATAGCATTGTTTAATGCAAATAGCATTGTTTAATGCAAAAACCTTCACTTTATAAGTAGTTTTAGTTAACAAATTACCACCTTGAGTCTTATTTAGAACCAAGCTAATGGCGTCCATCTTCCCACACTGGGGCTGAATCTCAAATGGCTCACTGTTCCCTACATAGTGCACTACATAAGAATTTAAATACTGGATAATAATCCCAACAGTGCATAATATAACTAAAGTAGTCATTAGGGATTCAGCCACATACATATTCAACAAATAGTGCATTATTGGGTTGTAAAAGCTGGAATTTCAAAACCTCCATAGCACACTATTTAGGGAGTATGGAGCCATTTGAGCTTCAACCTGGGTTAGTATTGCAGGCAAATCCGGCCAAAAAAGAAATGAAAATAAAAACAATAAAATGTAAACGCAAACCTCTTTTTGCCATTTCTTTTTCCAAACGTGCGCAAATATCCTGCCAAAATTGAAATGAAATACCTACATTTGCAATTTAATTTTTCACATAAGCACAAGTTATTTGTTATTCTGGTATTTCATGGCCATATCTAAAATGAAAAAGCTAATACAGAAAAGAAAATCCAAGCTTCATTTTGGCTTTGGCTTTTCTTCATGAAATGCAGAATACGTGTCAAAACTAAAATGAAAATGCAATGTTTACGTTCTTATTTCTTTTTCATAGCAACAGGCTGCATACCTGACAAAATGAAAATGAAAATGTGAAATAGATAAATCAACAGCAAAGTGACAGTTTGTGATTCAGAAGTGTCAGAATAAAAAGGCAAATGCAAACGAACATCAACGCCACTTGCTGGAGATTCACTTTTCATTTCCCTTTTCATTTCATTTAATTTGAGCTTAAAAAAAGCTTAAAAATAAAGGTATGTTTTGTGTTATTCACATTATGCTTTGTTTTGGCTTGTAACTGGACAACCAGAAATACTGGACCTGGCGTCTGTCTAATGAAGCAGGTTCCACTTTGACAGGCTTTCAAGTTTCAGTTTCACAAAACCTGACAAGCACAGATGCAGTTAACTCATTTTACAACACCGGTTAACAATTTTCCCTGTTAATCCAGGTGCTCAGGCTGTGAATAATGCTCATGCACATGCGCATGAAAGCATGACATTTATGATGAACAGCCAAGATTAGATTAGATTAGATTCTTTATTGTCCTCCAAAGAGCAAATTTCATGCCAGTCACATAAAACATGAAGAGGAGTCACCAAGGAATAAGAAATCACACTAGCTGTCACCACTGCCACCACGGTTAGACTGAACTCATCTTAAAGTTAGCTAGGCAAGGTGAGACAGACTCCTGGATTGAGAATGTTGAGAAGGTTACCGATAATTTAAACTGTATCTTATTAGAACCTCAAATGAACATCCCATCAGCGGTACACAAATTAGTCAGTTTTAAAAGTATGTAATTTAGATAGCTTGTGCTAGTCACTGTTATTAGTGAGACTCTAATTTTAAATCATTTACAGAAAGATGAGGAAACCCAAAAAATACTGCATAGGAGCCCCTGAAGGCTAGAGTCAGCCATGCTGGCCAGTGTGTTTTTTGAAGTTCTTAAAGGGGTCTTGATTCCATAGGCTGAGCACTAGTGGGCTTAGTGTTCATTCTGTTAAAAAAGGAAATGCAAGTGATAAGATTTAAATACTGTACCTTCCATTTCTACATATTAGAGTCATGTATGGGTTTGGTGTTATGGTTAGTAGCTGTGTGCTATGGTATTCAGTACTGTGCTAAAGTCTTCTGAGAAGATGATGTGTAAAGCCATTTTGTCTGGGCAGGCAGCATTAATACTAATATTAAAATAAAAACAACTAAAGAAATAAACAATACTTTGTGATTGGATGTGTGATTATCCATGTCCTATGCTATCCTGAAGGACGTCCAGTATTTACAGTTACCATCCAATACCTGCTTCAGCTCATCAGTCCTGCACTTTAAGTTAAATCAATTGTGCTGCTGATGGAATTTTTCCACACAATAGCTGGAGTTCAGAAACCAGACCTGTGTTCTCCTAATTGCATTCTTTAAACAAACATATCAATGACTTCACTGAAACCAAAACAATATTGTTGCAGTTACTCTGTTTGTTTGTTTGTGTTTATTTGTGTGTTACATAATGTTTCTACTGGCAAAATGCCTTCATTGTCAAGATAGTTTTATAATTGCTTTTGGCTGTCTAAGACTTGTGCACAGTACTGCAGTGTCATAAATGTGTTATACTTCAAGATCAGTGTGTAAACACTGAATGAGGACAAACACTGGCTTCATCATGTTTTACAGTTATTTTACAGTTAGGAAATGGCAGCAATACAAATGGATCAATAAGTGAAGATACAAAGTACAATTCTACAGCAAAGCCTTAACGTGTTTAATATATCAGTACATGACAAAGAATTTGTAACATTTTTCTTTTGCTTTTTTGGGTAAAGTTTGTCATTTGTCAGGGAGGTTATAAAAATCAAACTAGTTTTTTATATATATACACATATGTAAAGTATTGTACAATTACAAAACTTTAACAATTACAATTCAAAGTATATTCAACATGTTAAGTATTATAGTAAGCAGTTGAACTTTATAGATGAACTTTGACAACCATCAATATGTATTTATTATTAAAATTCAGTTTCTCACAACCTTTTAAAAAATATGAAATGTTTTTAATAGCTGTGCCATTTTTTACTTTTTTGCATAATTTAAAAACTCTAATTACCCTTAGCATTGTGCTACAATTTCATGATGAACAGACCAATGGGAATGGTCCAAAATGACTTGGAAAAATATCTTTTCACATTAATTTTCTTTATAAGTTAAGTTTTTCTCCTGTTACATTACCATTTTGGAGAAATAAGGTTTTGTTCTGCCAGTGATGATAATATACTGGTGAAATGAATTTGAGGTTGCGTTTTATGATTTAGGCTGCAATTTAATGAAATGAATAAAAGAGTGTTGTTAAAGTGTTGAAGCTAATGATCGAAGCCAAATGAAAAAGAGCTTTTTAATTTACCATTTTGTTTTACCTTTTTGAAATGCTTCACTGGTGGGCTTTCATGGAACTTCTGCAGAAGCTGATCTTTAAAAGACCCCTGTTTAAGAAATGTAAAGAACTGTATTTAATCAGCTTTTTGGACTTGCTTTGGAATAGATGCAGCATAGAGATGGAGAGTGTGGAAGAGCTGTAGAGCTATAAAGCAGGCAACAAACTGCATTTGACAGTGATGTAAGTGAGGCTGCTTACACAAAATATAGCATTTAACCACTCCTTTTTATGGGTCGGACAGTAACTGTGGTTAAACTGTTAAATAAAAGCACAGAGGTTGCCAGGCAGGTCAAGGGCACTGATAAGAGGAGAGAAGAATATCACTCAGGGAAGGGCAATAATACCCGTTTTGCTGGAGTTATATGAGCAGTTCTTTCTTTCCATCATTACAAATGGACGAACATGAACTGCTACATGTATTGGCACTGTGCTTTTCATCAAGTCTCAAAACCATGAAATCGTGTTCAGTGTGTCTCCATTTGTGGGTCTACTTGTATGTTGTGTAAATGGCCATTGCTGCAACTTGGCATGCATTTCTTTTTTGACGGGCTCTAGGTGTTTTCTGTCTTCTCTTTCTCTCTCTCTCCCTCTCTCTCCCTCTCTCTCTCAGCACACATGGTATCGGGTGTCTTTGTCAAAGAGGTATTGTGTTGGTCAGCGCACTCTCCATTGCCAGCCAATCCCAGCCACTCTCCTCCCCCCAGGCTCACTTACCTGCTCCAATCAAAGCCGAGTCTAAAAATGAGCAGTGTAGGTTCCACCTCTTCTTAACTGTTATCAAACATAAACAGAAGGATTGATCAGAAGTAAGGAAACGATAAACCTGTACTTGCGTGGGGATCCAGCATACAGAATGTGGAGGAGTCTGCACTGAGGTTCGGCATTCATTTCTTCTTATAGCAGAGGTGACGTTAGGCATTAAACAGCAGAAGAGTTTGAAACTAATCATGTTTCAGTGTCAACATTTGTCAGTTTAATGCAAAATTTAGTTAACATGCTTTGTATGTATATAAATCTAAATGAAAACTGCCAGGAATCTGATTCACAAATTCACCATAAAACTTATGAAGATTCTTGCAATCCTAAGAGAGTTTGTTTTCTTATGTCAAGAAGGCTGATATTTCTCTGGAAGTTAACAAGATATACATTCAAGGTATCCATATACATATTCATATACATATTCTTACTTTCTTTTATTACAGATTCATCTACGGTCATTAACAAACGGCCTAATTTTGGAAATATCAGCTGCAACAGAGACAAGTCATCACTCACAGATGTAAGTATAATATATAGAAATGTTTAAAAGTGGTAAAGAGATATATGAGGTTAATGAGTGCTGGATTGAGGCTCTTACATGGTGATATTAAGTTTTGCTTTGGAATAGTCTGTTTACTACGGTTCAACGTTTCTCTGTTAATTGGCTTTTCCAGTTGTTTCTATTGTTTATTTTTTGTGACTCTCATTTTATTACAAAACAAACTCTTTATATACACAATACAGTGCTTTTTTTGTCATGCCAAGCCATCGTTACTGCAGTCCATTCTAGGGACATCAGGACAGTAAGCTCAAGACCAGTGTAATGCAGGGGAGGCTGAAATCAGTGCTTTTCATCATGACACTAAAATTCCCCTCACTGCTCCATTTTGTTCTTGTCATTTTATGGTAGTCATTTAAAGATAGTAGATGAGGGTAGAAGAGGGTGTAAAGTCATTACTGTGTAGCAATTAAAGCAAGATATATGCAGGGAAAGTCAAGACAAGTTTATTTATATGTAGCACCTTTCATACACTGTAGTCATTCAAAATGTTTTACGAATTAAAATATGATTTAAACATGATTAAAACAATAGATTTTAAAAATAAGAAATTAAAGAAAAGTTTAATGAAGTTAGGATACTAGTGCCATCACACAAGATAGCTAGTGCAGTAGAACTAAAAGTGTTTTAAACTGAGCTGAAAACCTGCTCAGATAGGAAGATTTTTAGCTTGGATTTTAAAGTGTCTCTAATATCAGGGCTCTTCCTATGCTCTCTGTCAACCGGTTTTGTTTAAGAGCAGCAGAATGGCTAAAACGCTGCTTCTCCATGTTTAGTCTTTACCTTTGGCAGGACTGACTGATTAGTTCCTAATGATCTGAGAGTTCTGCTCAGCTCATATCGCTGCAGCATATCAGATAAATCTGCTACTCCTACATCATTAAGTGATTTATAGATCAGTAATAGTACCTTAAAGTCAATTCTGTAACAGACTGGTAGCCAGTGTAAGTATGTAAGCATGGGAGTGACATGTTTCCTTCTTTTACTCCTAATGAGAACTCTGGCAGCAGCGTTTTCAAACCAACTGATGCTGTTTGTCTTTTTTTGGGAGTCCAGTAAAGAGACAATTACAGTAATCAATCCTGCTAGAAATAAAGGCATCAGTGCGTTTCTCCAGGTCTGGTTTAGTCAGAAAATCTCTAATCTTGTTGATGTTCTTAAGGTGATAAAATGCTGATGTAGTAACTGCTCTGATATGACTGCTAAAACTGAGATCAGTGAAACGGAAGACTAATCCAGACATGTGCCATTGCTTTGACGCCTGGAGACCAACACTATTAACACTTTCACCTCATGATCGGTCAAAGGTGTCTGTGAAATGTCTCTTGTGAAGTGACTATGTAATGTTTTAACAAATGAGTTACAGTTTAACATTTGATTTACAGGGAAGCAAGAATTCAGACATAAGTCTTATATACAGCCAGTTCTTTTTTTATTTAATATACTTTCTGTACATATATCCTTGTTACGTGTCTTTTGACTTTGCACTTTGAACAGTATATATTCATAGACATAAAGATATGTTTTAGAAACTAGATTGTTAAGGGAATCACTTTATTTTATGGTATGGTAAGTACCTAGTATTTAGGTAAATGTGTAGTACATATAAGTGATTTTCTGGTACTTTGCAAGTATGCAGTATGTGCCATGTATGTAGAGCAGTACTCTGTAATTTTAGGGAAAGATAACTGTAAAACAAAGTGTAACTTTGTGCATAGTATTTACATGGAACCTATATGTTGTCTTGCATTTGTGGTATGCAGAGCATAACCATACATGGTGTTCATTACCATACATCATTATACATATTTTAGATCAGATCTAGGTTAACAGTGGTAAAAGGTAAATGGTGTATGTATTGTAGTGTAAAACATGGATGAATGAAGCAAAGAACAACACAGGCTCAACTGGATTAGTTTGGTAATTTGTTTCTCTGCCTTGCTGTTTGCTCTTGCCCCTTTGGATTCTTCACTGTTTTGTACACAATCTGTATATAACAAGTCTTGTGTTTCTGAGTGTGATTGTGGCTGTAGGTGTGTAAGTATGTGGTAATCAGGAATAGATGGACTTTGTTTGTTATTTTGTCTGTGGGTCAAACCTGGACTCCAGTTAGTTGTGTTCTGTAGTTCACTGCTTTAGTACAGTACATTTCCATTTTAGCTTTCACCTTGTGTCTTGTTTTCACTTCATTCATCCATATTTCATGCTCCAACATAGACACCACTTACCACTGCTGGGCTTTAACCTAGATCAGATCCATTATGTGTGTTTATGAACTAATTTCTTCATATGGTCATGATAAAAGGTAGTTACTGTGTTATAACTGCATCCAAAAGTTACACTTTATTTTATAGTCCTGCTTCCATGCTATTACAGAAAACTTACCAATATGTGCTTGGAAGTATGTCTGGTTAATTTCTGCACAAGACAACAATAAGAAAATAGGTTGATGTTGTGTAATTACCATGTACAAAGTTACACTTTATTTTATAGTTCTATTACCACAGTATTAACACAGTATTACAGATAACATACCAATAAACATATGAATTAATGTGGGATGGATTACTATACTGGAATAATGGTACACTATCTTACTCTGTCACATATGCATGTACTTTATGAAACACTGAATCATTAAAACCTGAAATATCTGATATTTCTTATGCTAGTGATTACTGTTGTACAAACCTACTTTTCATACAGATAATTTTCATATAGTTGGTTATAATGTCTATATTTATAGAGCACTTTTCATACCAGTGGCATCTCAGAGTTCTTTACGGACAGGTGATAAAGTCAATGACACATCAAATTATTTAAAAGATAAATACCCACGAGACATAGAATTTTAAGTTAAGTTAAAGTGACATGTTTTCAATTGTTTCTTAACAGTGTGCACTGAGCTTGACTGCCTAATAAAAAGTGGAACTGAGTTCCACACTTTAGAAGCGTGACAATGGAAAGAGGCCTCTTCACATTTTCTATATTTTACAGAAGGTATTTGCAGGAGGCCAGTATCTGCAGAGCTAAGATCATGTGTTGGACAGACATTCTGTGATGTAAGCGGTGCTTTAAACTAATTTAGAGCCTTAAAAACTAGTAGCATAACTTTAAAATCTATCCAAAAATAAACGGGTAGCCAGTGCAGTTCTTTCAAAAGGGGAGTGATATGATCTCTCTTTCTTCTTTTTCTTAGGATCGGTGCTGCTGCATGTTGTAGGAGTTATAGAGGATGTATTATTTTCTTAGGAAGCCCAGTAAGAAGATCATTACAGTGATCAACTCTGCTTGTAACAAATGCATGAAGAAGTTTCTCTGCATCACTCTGAGATAGAAAAGGCAGAGCTTTTGCAATATCTCTCAATGTATTAAATGACAATACATGTTAAATTCACAAACATTTATTGTAGTCCAAACTGTATTAAACAGTATTTGTTGAGGCAAACAAGACACATGCAAACTTTAAAGTATAATGTGAAAGAAATAAACATAACTTTATATATTTCAGCTGTGATCAAATTCCCTGGTTTAGAATTTCTGTTCACTCGCAACTTCACTACTAATTAAAGCAAATGTTTATGTGCACAACATTCCTAATGAGGTGCGACTCTCATGCTAACCATAATGCAAGTTAGCTAGCTAACACTATCATTCACTTCATGCCATGCTAACATGTCGAGGTCACCTACAGTTACAAAAACCATGAACTGTTGATTTGAATATTAATGGAATACATCTTTATATATTATGCTTCACAATAAATCACTCCCATTGTTTATTTAATCTACCTTTTGTACCCGTTAACATGACAGCAGACCCAGCAAGGATGCTAGCTAGCTAGTTTGCTGGTGTTGTCTAGAGTTAATGCGCATCACTATTTCATTGCAGTTGCACTGAATAACAAAGGCAGGACCCCTATGGAACCTCACAGAGCAGGTACTATTTGGGTGGTGGATCATTCTCAGCCCTGCAGTAACACTGATGTGGTGGTGTGTTAGTTTGTGTTGTGCTGGTCTGAGTGGATCAGACACAGCAGTGCTGCTGGAGTTTTTGGGGGTCCTGACCACTGAAGAACAGGGTAAAAGGGGGCTAACAAAGTGTGTAGAGAAACAGATGGACTGCAGTCTGTAATTGTAGAACTACAAAGTGCACCTATATAGTAAGTGGAGCTGATAAAATGGACAATGAGCGTAGAAACAAGGGTGGTTATAATGTTATGCCTGACCGGTGTATTTGTTAATGTAATGTCTGAAAACTTTTTCTCCCTACTTCTTCAATTTTTTAAACATGTCTTTGTTCATGCTTATAAATACGTACCTTTTTTGTTCATACTTAAAACTACAAAGTCAAAAAGAACTATATGTATGTATCTGAAATGGATATATGCACTGGAAGTATACTGAACAACAAAACAAAATTGTCTGAATCCTTGTTTCCCCTCACTGTACATGACATACTAAAGACAGAAAAGTACATAGTAGGATCAGTATGTCTGGTGAGCACGTAATGAAACAAAGATCCAACTGAAATCTCCAAATTTGCAGACATGATGGATGAAAAAGACCTGAAGAAACGGAAGAACACTCGCAATGGCAGCATCTCACACAGTGTGGGCTCTAAAATCAAACCGAATGAGGAGGAAGTCAAAGCTACAATACTGCAGAAAGATGTGAGTAGAAATAATAGCTAGAATATGACCTTGCTGTGCTTTGGAATCTTAACAATTTTCTCACAATCATTAGGGTTTTTTTCCCCCCAGACTGTGTCTGTCTGTGTGACAGGTTTTGCACTGGGACTCCTGGCACTATGTGTCACCATCCCTCAGCTCTAATACCAGACTGCTTTAAGTTTTGGGAAACAGCTTGTTAATTCCCATCTGCACTCTTACAGATAAGGAGTTTCTTTTGTAGCGATTAACTGGAGTGATCAAATGAAGTCTTCAAAGAACCATCCACTGAAATGTTCTTTGGGAAACCAAAGTGGTTCTTTCTGTGGCATCACTCAACTCGATTTCATGGCCCATTTCCATGGTTGAAAATTATTGTTAAATCGATAAATGGTTCCAGTCCTAATCCACATCAACTAAAACAAAAAGCAGTTGTATTAAAGGACACTATTGTCTTTTGAAAAGTTTTTGTTGGATTTCAATTACATTACCTGTTGTGTTTTGTTAGGTGGGTCTGCTAAGCGGGATCTCTCTGATTGTGGGGACGATGATTGGCTCGGGCATCTTCATCTCTCCCAAAGCTGTGCTTGAGGGAACAGGAGCAGTGGGCCCATGCCTGTGTGTTTGGGCAGCATGCGGGGTGCTGGCCACTCTAGGTTAGTAAAGAGAAGACACATAAGCAGCCTATTCATTTAAATCGATTTAAATCTATAGTGTCCAAGTTCAGCAACATAAATCATCCGAATCTGATGACCCTTCATTTTCCCTACACTCAACAGATTCAGTCCAGCATTTAGCAAATAGCAAAAATTTGTAGAGGAGAGCTTTTAAATGGAAGTCATTTTCTCAAAGATGCCGGTTAGTAGAAGAGCATTTTCTCCATTGTAAAAAGTTTTGAAAACAGATGGGTTTCTGTTCAGTTATGATTTACAGGTCTGCTGTACTGTAAAAGACTGGGACAATGGGCAGTTTTGAAAATGTAGACAAAATTATCACCAAATATTTGATTACTTTTTACACTAAAATAAAGAATGAAAAATAGGCTTCTGATTGTGTTTGGATGGAAAATGTGTTTGTCAAAACGTCATTCCCTTTTATAGAAACAAAAAGGTAAAGTCTATTCGGCACCAAACAAATGAACGGGTGTCACAATGCAAAAGAGCTGCAGTTTAGAATTTTGTGCTTCAATTTATAGGGTTTTATTCCAAAGCGTAGCTACTTTTATAGAAGATTTATGGGGACGAGGTTGGGTAGTGTCAATATCTATTATATTTTACATAATTGTCTGACAGACTCAAGGCTTTTGAGCTTTCTTTTGAACATCAAAAGAGGGGATAAAGTTTAAGTGGGCTTAATCCCTTTTGATGCTTTAAAGACAATAATATTCAAGGTCAAGTTACAAGTGGCTTTATTGACTGGTTATATACAGTTTTGCTAACGCACAAAATATGACATAGCAGTAACAATAAAATGACAGCAGTACAGTTATAACAGACAATGACATTTTTACGATTAACACTGGCGATAACACTGTAACAGTGGAGGGAAATTATATAAGCAAACAAATTCCATAAACTATAAAAAAGTAACAAAACAAAGCACTGTGAAACTGTATCTGTGATCCTATCTGTATCTGTGATATCTATCTCAACATGCCTGTGCAGACCTCTAATTCAAAATCAAAGTTAAAATTCTTTAGTCAGCTTTTAAAATCCTTTAGTCAGCTTTTCAAATCTTTAATGACTGTGAGAACTGTGAAACTGCAAAATACAAATCTAAATGTTCTGCATAAGACTTAAATGTTTGTGTTTAAGTTAAAGTTGATGGTGGTGGTAGTTGGATAAACAGTTAAATAAGACTACAAAAAAAGCAAATTGAAAGGTTTCTGCATTAAACACCGCTATATGAAGACGTATGGTCTGCATATGGCACATTTATTGACTGGAGATTTTAGGAAATAAAGATTTTCTTATTTTTAATCTCTACAATTATTTCTTGTATTAAATCATACTTTTGACTCAGACAATATTATTTGTTGTTTTATGGTATTCTATAAAAGAGCAGGACACAAGATTTATTAGTTTATATGTGCACTATATAACATGATCAACAATATGTTGTATTAATAATGCCAGCTAACTAATGCTCACTAAATGAATGTGCACAGTATTTAGTCACTGTCAGAACAAAAACCTTTTTTGTTGTCTTTCACTTTTTTCACATGACTTGAAAACACCAGTTGTCCTTTACATTGTACCAAAATGTTATGACAAACAGAAAGAGATCATGTTCCATTTACTTCGGTAAAAAGTTAAGTTTTTTTTCCTTGTCCTGGAAAGTTTTTTAGAGATAGAAGATTTTTTTCTGTGATTATTTATTGTTTTGTTTCCCTCAAAAAAGGATATAGAGCTAGTTGGACATCCTATTCCAAAGCTATAGGCATTATATGGAATTACCCATCCCCCACCCCAGCTATAACAACCTTCACCCTTCTTGCACAGTCATGCTCGAACAGGAAAGCGCCTTCCCCAAACAATTATCACAAAGTTGGAAGCATATAATTGTCTAAAATATGTTTGTATGCTGTAGCATTAACATTACTCTTCAAAGGAACTAAGGGGCCTAGTATAAACCCTGAAAAAGAGCCACAGATTATTATCCCTCCTCCACCAAACTTTACTACTGGCATTATGCATTCCAGTAGGTAGCTTTTCCTGCCAGCTGCCAAACCCAGATTCATCCATCAGACTTCCAGGATTGTGATGCATAATTCATCACTCAGGAAACATATTTCCACAGCTCAAGAATCCAGTACTGGTGTGCTTTACACCACTCCAGTTGACACTTGCCAATCTTAGGCTTGTGTGCAGCTACTTGGCCATGGAAACCAATTTCATGAAGCTCCCAATGCACAGTTCTTGTGCTGATGTTGCTGCTAGGTTATGAACTCTGTAGTAAGTGATGCAACAGAGGATAGGCAATTTTCATGCCCTACATGTCCTGCTCTGTGGGTGTGTGTGGTCTGCTGCTTGGCAGTTCCTAGATGCTTTCATTTCAAAATAAAAGTACTTACAGTTGACCCAGGCAGATCTAGCAGGGCAGAAATTTCACAAACTGGCTTAAAGCAAAGGTGGCATTCTATGACAGTGCCATGTTTAAAGTCACTGAGCTTTTCAGTACGATCCATATTGCTGCCAGTATTTGGAAAATGTGTGACTATATGCATGAAGTTATACACCTATTAGCAGTTGAAGTGGCTCAAACGTTTGAGATTAGATTAAAAAAGTAAAACCACTAATGAATACTGGTAGAGGATACAGGATATAAGAAGAGTGGTACAATTGCATATATTAGGCTGACAGAAGTAACAAGAAGCCTTAAAGGTGATTTTGGCAGAAGTTAGCTGAAGCTTTTTTTGAAACTTACCAGCAGCTCCCTTCAAAGCATCATCCCCAAAACACACATATGCGCTGTCCAGGCTATAATATGTGAATGCTGGTGGTATTTGACACAAATAAAATAAAAGTACTGGTGGACATCAGCTAATTAGCTAAGCAATGTTACCTACACAGAAATTTTCTTTAGAAACTGCCAATTAGCACAGCATTGGTGGAAGCTGGTGCAGTGTGGGATTAGAGTAGGGTAAACTTGTGTTTGCAGGGAGGTTAATCAGTTATGTGCACTCTTTCAGAAGCTTTCCGTCACTTGGCACAAGTCACATTACAAGGGCACACATTCCCACCACAGCCCTGTGAGAAATCCTCTTTAGTTTAGTACATTACAACCTCCCCATGGTGGACTCATTGACCTCAATATGAACATGAAACAGTATACAGTCTCTGTGTGGGCTGTTGTGCTTAAGTATATTACTAGCAAAATAAAAATGTAATTTGCAGAATGGCAATGTATGTAAGTAAGTGTAATGTAAGTGTCAATGTAAGTTTGAACTGAGATTTCTCATGCACACATGCAATTTTTGGCTCAAAATTTGTATAATATTTTGTGTAATATTGACATTTCGTTTACTTAGATGTGAGTAAACAACATAATTTTTTTAAAATTAAAATGTATTTTTTAATCTGCATATTTATGCTTCATGTGATTATGCAGTAATAGTATCAAAATCATAGTAAAGAATGACTTTGCAAAAAAAATAGATTTACATAATTTTTCACTGACCCCAGATTTAATCATTCAGCCAAGACATGCTTGGTGTCCAAATTTTGCTTCTTTATGTTTAGCACTGGAGCTATGAGATTAACATTGCTAACGAACACTAAAAGTCAATAGTCACACAAATCTTTACCATAATATTATTTTCCATAATTACATGCCCAAAATTTCTCTCAGTCCACTCAAACTACATCCAACAATCCATAGAATAAGAGAAATCGCAAACATAGCATAATGTAATCTAGAGTCCATGTGTCTGAGAGACGTTTGTGTATGTGAAGGGGAGTCAGATTCTGCAGGAGACTCTGAATTCGGCACTTGTCTAAAATGGCCTCATGCTGCGTTTAGCTACAAGTGGAAGTTTTGCTCATTTTTGTAGCTCATGTTGTGCCCTAAACCACATCAGGAAGTCTGCACAACCACAGTGAAAAGCTGGATGCTGAGAAGATTTGGGAATTTTCCTGCAGATGTACTTCTATACATCTCTCTGTGTTTATTCACTACAGGAGCTCTTTGCTATGCTGAGCTTGGCACAATGATTACTAAGTCAGGCGCTGAGTACCCATACCTGATGGAAGGTTTTGGGCCTGTGTTGGCATACCTCTACTCCTGGACGACCATCTTTGTTCTGAAACCTTCGTCCTTCGCCATCATCGCCCTCAGCTGTGCAGATTATGCCTCCACACCTTTCTACCCAGGATGCACCCCACCTGTGATCATCACCAAATGCCTGGCTGCAGCTTTTATCTGTATGTCAGAACTTGTTTATCAGGAACACTACATTATTCACCAGTATGCTAAATGCTAGTAAAACAGTGCTTTGTAAATCATCTTTGACCTGCTTCAAATTGAAAAAAAAGACCAACTATTTTATGTGTTAAATCACCTTTTCTGTTAACAACACTTAATAATTGTGTAGGGACTGAACACACAAGGGATGCAATGGTAACCGGGATATTGTCAAACCTTTCGGTATGCCCCCTAAGATTCAGTACACACACACTGACTACGTATTATGATATGCCTTTCATTTTCCTAGAATTTTAATTTTAAGGTGAAATGTCAAATTTTTCTTTTGTAATCAAAATGTGGGATGATTTTTTTGGGTGCTTCACATTTTATATTGAGCATTACAGTATTTGATATGGAGATACTCTGTTCCAGACTGTGTTCCCATATACTGAATTTGTGTATTTTTTTGTGTTATTTTTTATCAATAGTGATGTGGTTTGGCTTGCATTTCCACACATTGACTTTTTCTTGTCTTAACTTGTTCTAGCTAATTTACTTTCTCTTTCTGTCCCTCCCTTTCTGTTCCACAGTATTGATTGTGCTCGCAAACTGCCTAAGTGTGAAGCTCGCCAGCTATGTCCAAAACTTCTTCACTGCAGCCAAACTCCTTATCATCGCCGTCATAGTGGTATCAGGAATCGTTATGCTGGCCCAAGGTCTGCACGCACTATACTACCAATACAGCCAATTAACTGCATAACTGTGACTGTTGCCATTAAGCGATTAGTGTTTTGTCAAATGCAGCAGGTATCATGTAACAGCCGTAGGTATTTTTCCTATGCTTACTTCCTTCTTTATTTCTGTTGGGTAAGTTAATGAGTGATTTTGCAGAAGATTGATTAAATATATCTTTTATGTCCTTGTTTTCAGGAAATACACAGAATCTCACAGATACATTTAAAGGAGCAGAAACTTCATTTGGTGCAATTGGACTGGCCTTTTACAACGGCCTCTGGGCTTATGATGGGTGGTAAGTTATTTCATCAGGTGATTGTGTTTTTGTTTCCTGATCACAACCAGATAGCATAGATTAAAGTTCTCTGTCGCTACAATGGATTTCCATCTGTTGGATTCCAGAGAGGCCATGTGTGAGATCAGTGTAGATACAAGGAAAAAAAAGCAGGGCTAGAAATAGTATTTTTTTTTTTTTTATATATATTTTTAATTTAATTTTTTAAGTTTTATTTTCACAAATTACCTTTGAATGTAAATTGCTTTGTCTTGGGAATCATTATGAAGAATTATGAAGGTTATCAATAATAATAATAATATTCAGAACTTCCAGTCCTACATTTTGGTGACTGACGTTAGACTACATTAGACTACTTTATGGTAACCTTAACTCACACTAGTAGAGTTTCACATAGCAGCAACTTGGCAATTATTAAGAACTACGGCTAAACTCGTTGATCCGTTCTCTTAAAAAAATACATCTGGAGGATGGAAGAGAAAGAGAACTAACACACACTTTGGATTATGATGACATTATCAACCTCTTCAATTCAAAACCCAGACGACTCCACTTTGTGTAGAAGGTAGGCCAGTACGGTTTTCTTTTTAGTCTGGGCCACTGTGGCATGGTTATGATTGCAGCCTCTGTGAACGAGGGAGTTCTGAATTGTGACATACTGTATTGGTTATTTAAATTGTGGCTGTATAACGAGGGATTATGCAGCACTTGTTATTAACGCGAGCCCTATTATGTTCCATGGCTAGCTGGCTGTTCATCTGGCTGGCTCATATCAAGTTTAATTTTAAAAATACAACCCCGTTTCCAAAAAAATTGGGATGCTGTGCAAAATGTAAATAAAAACAGAAAGCAATGATGTGCAAATCATTTAAACCCTATATTTAATTGAAAATAATACAATGAGGGCACCAAGCATGGAGTGGATGCGAGAATCTCAAGCTCCCACTACTTTTTCAAAACCTTCCATTTACATTTTTAACGTTCACTTGTAAAACCAGCAGTATATTTCATAGCCAACTGAGCACACTTAGAATCTAAAATATGGTTTGCAAACTGGACAATCTGCTGAAAAAAGAAGACCCTGCCATTAATACCACAATGGACACTATCACTATACTTCTCGAATAGCATAAAGAAGCCCTGTCTGCAGAGTTCAAGTCATCTCTTGAGAAGGTAGACTCTAAGCTTGATCAAATTTCTTGGTAGAAAACCATGGATGGTGCATTTCTACCCTCAAATCTGCCATGAATTACTCTGATCAACGCATAAAGGATTTGGAGTCTCTCTGTGCCAACTTAGGGGAGGATAATTTGAAGTTAGCAACCAAAGTCTTCAACCTAGAGGGGTGCAGCAGAGGGCAGAACATTCAAATTGTCAGCTTACCAGAGTCTATTTCAGGTGGACGCCCAGCTGAATTTTTCTCCAATTTACCCTTCAAGGTCTTTGGCAAAGAGCTACTCCCATCTCCCCAGAAGTTGACAGAGTGCATCGCTGCCTAGTAGCCAGGTCAAAGGCCTCCTGATTCGAGAAGCATGAAGCAGAGGAAAACTGGAATACTATGGCCACCAAATTCATGTTGTTGAAGACCACAGTCCTAAGGAGATGCGCGAGCGAGCAAACTACAGGGTTGTAGCTGAACTGTACAAGCAAGGACTGTGGCCCTCACTACCTGGGTAGGCTAAGGATTATGCTGCCTGGGAGTGAGACAGACTACTGAAGTTATTTACCGGGCCAAGTCAGTGACCGAATTTACATACACATGTATCAAATTATAGCTAACCATGGCCTCCTTTCCTCTGCATGGCTGAACAGTTCTGAGCACAAAGGGTAACCTTTTTCATGTTCGTCTAGACTGTGTCAGCCGGACAGTCTCAGCCCGGGTAGCTAACCATGCTCCGGGCCACAGAACTGTTTGGTGGGATGATGTAACGACGTAGGTATTCGCTGATTGGTTCTATGTTATTGCTGCATTATTTCAAACTTCAAAACAATCAAATAAGTTCAGTTTGCTCACATGGATGGCAAATAAATGAAAGCAGTGCACAATTTTAAACCCACCATTCAATAAATGTCAAAGCTTCAATCTAACACCAAATTTAAAATGTTAAACGGCGCTGCTAACCAGGAGATAGTAGCTGGTAAGCATTAGCTTAGCTAGCATGCTCCTAGCTCTCCTCACCACAGAACAGGTTGACTAACAAAAGCTTTACTGACACAAATTTAGATGATAATGGCTCAACTCTGAGGATGCAAAGTGGAGTGGCTGATGTTAGAGGGACAGAAAGCCAAAATTAAACCTGGTCTCTGGTGTCTGGAGCTGGAGCCTCCTAGCTAATCTAATACTAGCTGGATCCTCTCTCCTAGTTAAATTAGCATAGCTGAAGAGATCCAAACACTGCAATACAGGTTCCATTCAACTAACTGGTGGCTCTGCTATTACAAGTATAGATGATGAAAAACATATACCAGCGAGAGCAAAGTTGACTGATTGCCGGTGGAGTGACAGACTTGAACCTGTTCCGTAGTGCTTTAAGCTGTAGCTTATTAGGCTAAGCTAACATGAGTGTACGGTGCCTCCCACCACAGTACTGGCTCGGTTCTAGTGACCTGATGATTAAAAACACTTGTTTAGAGGATAAAGACTCGCATCTGAGAGGACAAATTCGAATGACTGGTGTTGAAGTGACAGAAGGTTAAAAAATAGACTTGTTCTGTGGTGCTTTGAGCTGTACTCTGCCGGGCGACACTAATGCTAGTGTAGTTATCCGGGTACAGGCGAAAACCACTGCAGTACAGGCTGTTTCAATTACAGATGCACAAATACCACCCGTTTAGAGCATAAAGAAGATGAGAGCACTGAGAGACTGGAGTTGGAGTGACAAACAGAATCAAATGTGTCAGCCTGTTAGCTGTTAGCCACTTGCTTGTGTAGTTTTCTTGAGTATTTCCTGGTTCTGACTTTTTCCAGCTATTGTTTCAATCTCATTCAGTTTGCATACTTCAAATTACTTCAACATTGTTTTGTGGATTTTGTTTTTAATTTTACCTATTTTATGATCTGTTGCCACAACCTACCACATTGGTTGTCCATTATTATGACAGCATACACTCCTATTAAACCCTCACTTAAAGACATAGTAGCAATTTAAAACTGGTGAGCTCAAACGTCAAAGGCAAAGGAAACCCATCTGTGCAACTTTTACCAGTTTTGCGTTCTAAAAGGTTCAGAGGCGACAACTTTTTCGCTCTTCTTTCCAAGCAAAGGCAAGGGGGTTGCCACTCTAATTGGTGAAAATATACAAAAATATGGTAACAAAAAAGTTACTTAATGTTCTGAAAGTGATTTTAGTGTAGCAATGTTTAATTACTGACAAATAGTGAATTCACACAGTGTAGTAACATAAACTGTGGCCGAGTGTATTAGCTTGTTTATTGCAGTAAAAACACTTTCACTGGATCAGTGAACTGCAGCTCCTCTCACTGAACACAAACTCATGAAGGCTTTACTGTTGGGGAATAGTCCTGCCCCCCACCTCAAATGGACATTCTGGTTTTTTGGTGAGTGCTCCATGTAAATTAATTTCTGTATGATGAAAGTGATCTGAACACAGTCAGAAAGCGATGGGTTTTTGCCCCAGTACTTTGAAAAGTGAGGGGTCAAATGCCTGCTCGCCTCATGGTTCTGGCGGCCCTGCTCACTGGGCATTTTGATTTATTAGCTAATAATATTTACATATTAAATGAACATTTAGATAATCTAAGTCTTTTTTTCCTTTTGGAACAGCTATCTGTGTGTTAAATTAGTGCTGGGCAATTACTAATAAAATTCAGTATCATGTTATTTTCGAACATATCACAGTATCATGCTATCAGGTGATATTTAAGTTTAACATTAATAAAGTTAATGAACTCATGCTTCCTTAGTTTCTTTATTTTTTATGGATTTATGCAAATGAGGTAAATGTAAACCATCAAGGACTGCATACCATGAGTAAAGTGCACAATATTAAATGGTCGTTATCTATTAAATATATCACTAAAATATTACTAAAACAGGAAGTGGTATGTCACTCTCATGTTATACCAGTATAGATGATGTATCACCCAGAACTATGCTAAATGTTTGGCATGGAAATTTCATTTCAGTCAGAGCCACTGAACCTGCTAGAGCCTCCTCCTCCTTATCCTCCACTCCTGGAGTCAGAGCCACTGAACCTGCTAGGGCCTACTCCTCCTCATCCTCCACTCTTAGAGTCAGAGCCACTGCACCTGCTACAGTCTCCTCCTCCTCCTTCTTCACTCTTAGACTCAGAGCCACTGCACCTGCTACAGTCTCCTCCTCCTCCTTCACTCTTAGGCCCAATCCCATTTTTTCTTTTTACCCCTACCCCTTGTTTTTGAGTGTCACCCTAACTCCTTGGAACTGAGTTACAAGGGGTAGTGGTTGAAATCTTGCCCTATGAAATGGGACAACCCTCAAATTAAAAAAAAAAAATTTACTCATTAACAGACTACTAGCGGTGCTCTGTAGGCAACCCGGCCCATCTTCAGTGATAGCAGAGGAGGGAAAAGTTCAGCAACCTTGCTGCTGGGCTTTAGTTACATTTAGGGAATCATATGCTTTCAAAGAGGGGGTATACGACAATTATTTATTATCGCCCACCGCTAATTCTTTGGTGATACGAAGCTGAAATCAGCTATTCACCAGCTTCTTGTTCGAATTTTTGCCACCTTAAATGGTGCAGCAGTTACATTCTGGAGCTTCAGTCGTCAATACTGCTGGACTATTTAAGGTGGTACGGGAAGTTAGCTAGCTAGCTACTGAGACATTAGCATGCTATTAGCGATTTTTATGCTTGTTACGAAGAAAACGACCATAATACATTGAAACAACATTAAACTAAGATAATACAGTAGTTATTGTAATTTTTTAACGGAAAAAATACTTCGATTTGTGGGTTTCTTTGGTCGCATGTGCAGCCATCTTGCCAGTTTTTCTTTTGTTTCTCATAACACTCTGTTTGGAGTGTGCCTCAGAAAAACCTCCGTTTAGAGGGCCATGTAGCCCTAACATTTCGCCCTACCCCTCTATCTCAACAAAAATTGGGACACCCTAACCCTAGGGTGGTTGCACTGTTCTTTAATGCTGGTGCTGTTAGTTTTTTTTTGTTTGTTTTTTTTTTGTCTTTTTCTGATATAAGAGGCTTACTTTAAAAAACCTGTTTGGTTTTTATAATAAGCTCAATAAAAACATATGCACTGAAAAGTTATGTGGATGGTTGATCAGATGACTAAAAACAGAGTCAGGCTTTGCAAAAAGTATCAGTTTCATTTCATAGATTGAAAACAGCATTGAAATGACATAAAAGCAAATTGGCAATAGAAAAGCTGTTGGTCACAAGTATTTAAAGTGTAGGTTAAAGCCTTTTTACAGCTTGAATGCTGCATTAGAAGACAGCAGCAATGGTAATGCATGGGGTGGTGCTGAAATATCAGAATTTTGCTTGTTTAGCAGACATTGAAGGCTAAGGGTGTGTACACACAGTCTGCCTTTTTCTCAGCTGCTCCTACCTTTTTTACATGAAAACCTAAAAAAAAAAGCTGGACAGTGTGTACATGCCCTAATGTAGGGCCTCCTCTGTAACTTGTTTTATGAACTGTAGATGGGGATTATGACTTTACCTGAAAAAAAAATCACTCAGAAGAAATTTTTTTTTGCTTTAATCCCTGTGATAGACACCTGCATTGGAAGTATCATTTGTAGAGTGATTTCATTCAAAACAATAACAAATCAGTAGCTAAAATGTCCTCCATATCAGTAAGTCTGGTAGATTGTTCTCGTGAAGCCACCAAAGACATGAAAATAAGCTTTAGTCTGCCATCCAGTGGCCATTAAGTATGAGTAGAGACTAAATATCAGTCTGTTTTCCTTACATGAACTGGAAAGAGAGACAAAGAGTTAATCAGGGGTTAACAGTACACAACGTTTACTGTATTAGTAGAAGATTAAATGCTGTCGTTTCTGCCTTTTACAGGAATCAGCTGAACTACATAACAGAAGAGCTGAAAAACCCATACCGGTAAGTCAAGTCAGTGTTTCATATTGGACCACATTGATTCATGCTGCATATGCTATACAACACTGCATAACATCAGAAAAAAAATACAAATACAGTAAAAGTTGATATGTCGGTTAGAAAAACCCAAGTCTGGTTCCTGCTGCACTCGTGACATTTTATGGATGTGTTAAATTCCTTCAGCAGCACACCTAATTTAATTTACTGAAGGACTGATTAGCTGAAGGTATTGGGTTATAACTGAAAATCCTGGACTTACTTGAGGAGAACTTTGGAAATTGTTAAGCTAACTCACAAACACAAAATTACAATGTTATTTTTATTTGTATTTATTCAGATGTTACTATTTGTCTGTCTGCATCTGTTTTCTGTTTAAGCATTTTGAATAACCATGTGTTTGGAAAACCTCAAACATTATTATGAAACAAAGCTAGCGTATTTCTCTTCATCGCTTCATTGCTCAAACTGTGAAAAGCTAGTAGCAGAGTCTTGCAGCATATTTTTAAGGATTCTCGCTGGGCCACTCTTCTTTTCTTCTTCTGTTTTCTTCGTTGTAAAATGCTTCTGAATGTTTCTGGAAGTGCTTTACTGGCCATTGAAAGACAGCTTTAGTTTTGTGGCAGAGAGGGAAATGTTCTTATAGTTCTTATCCTGTTCATTTTCTCACCAATTCTGGAACAGGTGCCAGAAAATCATCCCAACATCTCTAGTGCTACCAGCATCAAACTATATAGTGGGCGTAAAGTAACCTGGCTGGTGTGCAGTGGCTGATTTGCCCCATGCACACTACTTAGCCATCAGGTGTCTTACAGGTGACTTCCTGTAAACATTGTGAGCAATGACTCATTTTTATATCTTTCCCATAAAGACCCTTTTTATGGAATGCCTTAAGGACTGTTGACCCATGTGTTCCTGAACTCGGAACTGCCCTTGATGTCAAGCATTTAAATTTAAATTTAGATGGATTTTGTATTTTTATGCCTCACATTAGCCTACATTGTGTCCTCTCAGATGAATTACGTGAACCACTTATTTTCAACATAAATGGATCAATGTTTTGTATTAACTGTTTATATAATATATTGCATTAGGCTGGCAGTTGTAAAGACTGTGGGACTATGAATATTCTTTAATTCATTGCTTTCTTCTTTTTAATGAAATAAAAGGTTTCTGAAATGTTCCTTGAGCTGATGTGTCTGTACCTGTGTGCGAGAGTCTGCCTATTAAAATTTTAATAGAACAGTCTCCATGGACTTTGTGTTGTAATGCTGAACATCTCTCTGCCCTGTGGACAGGAATCTTCCACTGGCCATCATAATTGGGATTCCTTTGGTGTCAGTTTGCTATGTGCTAGTCAATGTTGCCTACTTCAGCGTCATGACACCCACAGAACTACTGCAGTCATCTGCTGTTGCCGTGGTGAGTGTAGTTATCATGGAGATACATGAAGTAAATGAAATAATGTTTTAAAATGAAACTAAATTACTGAATTGCATCAGGGATGTTGCAAGATGAGCCATAGTTTCTCAATCAACAGTTTAAATATTTTTAGTCATATAAGTGTTTCATTTTTTAATATCCAGTTTCCACGTGTATACCTATATTTCACAGGTTTCTAGTGCTGCCACTGTTCTTTTCTAACAGGATCAAAGATTCAGCATTCTTCCAGACTTTTCTTATTGCTCTTTAACACTAGATATTATTTAAGACAGTTCTTTGTCTGCTTCACAGACTTATGGTGACAGAGTGCTGTACCCAGTCTCATGGTTGGTGCCGCTGTTTGTGGTCTTCTCCACTTTTGGAGCTGCTAATGGAAGCTGTTTCACTGCTGGAAGGTAAAGTAGATAATGTTTCTACTTCAAAAGTTCAAAATGAGCTGCAAAATCCAAAATGAGCCACATACTGGGAACAGAAAAATCTAATCACATGACAACTGAAGTTCACAAATCAGATTATTCTCCATGCTATTTTCCATGTATGAGCACCACATGTTCTTAACAAAGCCAAAATACTGTTCTTTGTTTAATTATTCAACTCTTTATTTCGTACCATTTCATGGGTCACAGTTTTTGAGCTTTGCAGGATCATAGAGCCTATACGGGAACAGTGTGCTTGTGGAACCTATCGCTTGTGTGGTTTTCATACAGAATCCGCTCTAACAGTTTTTTTCCCCATAAGAATACAAATGGCAGAATGGTGGAAAATTAACTCCTACAAATGATCACAAAGTACATCTCTCACCCTGCCTCTCATAGACATTACATACAGACTCACACATATTACCAACTACCTGTGACACCATAGCAATGACCTAACAACACCTTAGCAACCACCTGGGATAACACTACAATGGCCAAGCAACACTTTAGCAACCACCTTGGATCCCATAGCAATGGTGTACCAACACCTTAACAACCACCTGAGATACCCTAGCAACATCTTAGCAACCACCTGGGATACCATAGCAATGGCCTAGTAACACCTTAGCAACCACCTAGGATACCATAGCAATGGCCTAGCAACACCTTAGTAACCACCTGGAATAGCATAGCAATGTACTAACAACACCTTAGCAACAACAAGTGCCTGGCAACATCTTAGCAACCACCTGAAATACCACAGTAATGGCCAAGAAACACCTTAACAACCACCTGGGATACCATAGCAACCAACAAACATTAACAATCACCTCAGATAGTAACAGCCTAGCAGCACCTTAGCAACCATCAAACACCCATCAGACAGTGCTCTAACAACAAGCTGGAACACCACAGCAATTGCCATACCAAACCAAATTAAGTTCTTTTTCTAGTTTTCCATTTGTTTTGTGGCAGTTAATTTCCATTTTGCCACAAGCGACTATGAAATTATGAATGTGTTTTCCATGACATTTAATATAAATTACAAGATTTGCACACAATCATTATTTGTACCGTTATATGACATTTTTTACTACTATAATACGTTATGTTATAATACTTTTTATAACATTTTAAAACCTAACCTTTCATTACTGTAACACGACAGAATGACGCAGACGCTCACGGGTAAAAGTTGAATGAGAGGCTTTACTGATGAAAACGTAATCCACAATCGAAGTCACAAAACAGGCGTAGGTCAGATCCAAAAAGGGCGAGCAACACAAAAGCACAAACATATCCATGTGAACAGTCCAAAAGGGGTCAGGCAGAAGGCAGGTCAAAAAACAGAGCAAAATAGTCAGAACCAGAAATATACAGAACACAGAAGAAAACACTCAGTAGTTCTTAGAAAAGAAGCAACACCTCGCAAAGAACCTATCCTACAAGCCCAGGCTTTATATTAAACTCATCAATGAATCACAGGTGAACTTGATCAGTACTCTGGTCCAAGGAGACCTCAGAGCCGAGGGAGTTGTGACAAATACAGGGGAATATTATTTGCACAAAACTTCATAAAATGTTTCCCGTGCAGTTTCACTATTATGTAATTGTGGTGGAACAGACAGTCACACTAAGAGACATATATACAATATATACTCCGATCAGCCATAACATTAAAACCACCTTCTTATTTCTACACTCATTGTCCATTTTATCAGCTCCACTGACCTTATAGGTGCAATTTGTAGTTCTACAACTACAGACTGTAGTCCATCTGTTTCTCTGCATACCCACTGTACCACGACAGAGCAGGTATTGTTTGGGTGGTGGCTCATTCTCAGTACCGCAGTAACACTGACGTGGTGGTGGTACGAGTGACTCAGACACAGAGTTTTTAAACACTGTGTCCACTTACTGTCCACTATATTAAACACTCCTACTTTGTTGGTCCACCTTGTAGATGTAACGTCAGAGACAGTAGCTTATCTGTTGCTGCACAGTTTGTGTTGATCATCCTTGAGTCCTTCATCAGTGCTCACAGGACGCTGCCCACAGGACGCTGTTGGCTGGATATTTTGGTTGGTGGACTATTCTTAGTCCAGTAGTGACACAGAGGTGTTTAAAAACTCCAGCAGCACTGATCCACTTGTTTAGAGTTGTGTGACAATACATAGTTTGTTAAACTGAACATCTATAGACTATATGGAGACAGCTGTCTGAATAAAGTGGCACCAATGTTTTGTTTCACCTATTCATTTTGTGAAATACTTTAACCTCTTTACAGTTTTATTACACACTTCTATAACCTAAGAATAGCTCAACCAGTTTGCATTTAATTCCCTGTAGTTACTGAATAATAAGCCTTATTATGTAATAAGCCTTGGATTTTGAGGGGTTAAGGGCTTCAAAACTGTTTTACCGAACTCCTTTTATTGTCAGTTTATTCATAGCTAGTGGTTTAAACATAGATTAGAAACAAGATAAACTGATCACATTCATACTAAATTTTTTAAGAAAAAAGCACAATATGTAACAAAAATGAAACACTTTATTTCAATTATTTTGAACATTTGAGAAGTTTAGCATGTGCCCTTAGATTTACAAACAACACAATGGTGCTAAATTTAGCAGACCCTCAGACCTGACCGATGTTATCTTGTTTATGTGCACTGTTAAGGCTGACATATGTCGCTGGACGAGAAGGCCACATGGTGAAGATCCTGTCCTATATCAGTCCAAAATATTTCACTCCTTCACCAGCTCTCATCTTTAATGTAAGACACTGGTTTAAAAGGATTTACTACTTTGAATATTTGTCTTTTTTAGTAAATGCTGTAGTTGAATTAAGTTCACTAGAAGGCGCTAGAAGAGTGGTCCCCAGCTTTGTCTTCAGGGCCCCCAAAGAGTTCCCAATTTTCCGTCATCTCTGTGTGTTGTGAGTCGGGTTTAAGCCAAATTGTGGATCATCCAGAGGGTCCTGAGGACCAGGTTGGGAACCATTGCCCTAGAAGATGCAAATCCATGTGTGCAGACAAACATGCTGCAATTAGTACTAAAACAAAAAACACAGTTTCTGCTTTCATCTAAATGTTTTCTTTTTTTAATACAGGGTATTCTGGCTATTTTCTACATAATTCCAGCAGATATCAACACTCTCATTAACTACTTCAGCTTTGCTCAGTGGCTTTTCTATGGTCTGACTGCCCTCGCTCTCATTGTCATGCGCTTCACAAGAAAAGAGTTAGAAAGGCCGGTGAAGGTAAGAATGGGGTTGTTTTCTCCTTAATCCAGGACACAAGGTTTCCTTGTGACAGTTGACCTTATTCAGTTCACATCCTTATTTACTTTCAGCAGTTTTTACTTAGCAGTAGAGAGTTAAAGCAGAATGGTGGACAAGCAGGAGGGGGGCAGCCTTTATGTGAGATGCTTCCTCAACCATGCCAACATGTAGTAAAGCAGGTTGGAGAAGTTGGGTTTGTGTGGAAGTAGATCATTATGTTAAGCCTACAGCACTACATGCACTACACTACACTACACTACTGTTGCGGACTTTATGTTCACAACAGACCATTTTCCAATCTCTCTTTATCCTTTAGCATAACAGTCCTTATAACCTTAATGTGAATGAGTGAAGCTGAACTGCTGCACACTGTAAAAAAATTACTCTGTGTGGTAACAAGCAATTGAACTAGTTTTATTCAGCTCACTGACAGAACTGACAAAACATTTCATATATGGACTGTATGGACTGGGATGTTATGAACCTTTAACAACATCAAGCTCTTTTATTATAAATACTGTATATCGTATATTCGTATTTTTGATCGAAACAAGGTATAAGCCGGGATCTCTGAGCTAGCTGAGCGCTACTGCTCAATGATAGGTTGGGGTGGTGATAGGAATAGGTGAAACATGATATTATTGGTTAATATTATTTTTCTCTGCTTGCTGTTACACAGTGAAAATAAGAATTAAACTGCTATGGTATGATGAATTTTGCTTAATACGACCAGAAACAAGCTAACAAGTCAAAAAAATTGAATGTTGATTTCCGTTTGACTTTAACAGCAAATTTGATGTAATAACAAACCTGACTCAGTAGAAGTGAACTGAAAAAACTGAGAGTGTCTGATGTTTCTGCCTCACAGGTGCCCATTATAATCCCAGTTGTGGTGGTAATAGTATCCTGTTACCTGGTTTTGGCTCCGATCATCGACAAGCCTGAGTTTGAGTATCTGTACTGCACAGTGTTCATCGTAGGCGGGCTGATTTTTTACTACCCCTTTGTCCACCGCAAGTTCAGCTGGACCCGCAGAGTCATGAGTGAGTAACAGCATTCATTAGTTTCTTCATTCACAGAGACTTTCAGCTGAGACTTCACTGCTAAGATTGATGGAGTGGAAAAGGTACTGAAAATACCTGCTTAAATAAGTAGAGTTACTGTAGTGAGTCCATGTATAAGCATTAGTAAGTGAAAAAGAGAAAATTAATACATGACTAAAATAGAATGATTTACAAAAGAGAAAAATGTACAGACTGCAAATGTAGTATTTGTCATTCATTACTTTCCAACTCTGGTTATCAATCAGTAGAATTTATTAAGAGCTTAATTCTGTGTAATATATTTCTGATCCCAAACAATTTACAGTTGTACACATTTTGTGTTTTATTTTTTTTCCCAGTATGTTAAATTCAAACAATAAACAGTAATTGTGCATTAGAATGTGGAGATCTGTGTTGTCTGTAGATGATCTGTTAACCTATTTTCACTTAGAAAAGCAAGAAAACATGTCATTTGATCACGGGTGCACAAACTTTTGCATATCACATTAAATTTAATATGTAAGTATATATATATATTATTAGCTTCAAATATCTGCTTTGCAAATGTTGAATGGCCAGTAGCTCTGAAATTGTGAAAATAGAGATGACAGCATTATCTGGTATAAGTTTCAGGCTGTTATCAGCAGAAAATGCTAGATTAAACATCTGAAGGAAAAGAAGAAACATCCAATCCAACCCTGTAACAGATCCAGCCTGAAGCAGCACACACTCACATTGTATCATGTCATGTATGTCCTAGTTTGAACAAGATAGCCTATTTTTAGGTGTTCATCTTAAAGGGGGCAGTCCAGCCAAAATGAAAAATGTAACTGTTGCTACATCTGTTGTAAACATGCCTACTTTGCTCCTACAGTGCTGTAGTCACTAGAGTAAGATTTTCTGATTTAAAGACTAGAAAAGCCCCCTTCTGATGATGTATCTTAAAGGTAGGAGGAACTTTTGAAAAATGACAGCTGCTTTGGGGTGGATTTTAAGGGGTGGACTGTTTTAAAATGTTTTCCCATTGGCTGGTGAATGCAGAGGGAAATCATATAACCAACAGTACTACTGTGAAGCCGAAATACCATATTATAACTGCATAACAGTCCTCAATTCATTATTACAGTGGAGAGAATGGATTATTCAAATAACAGAAATCACCTTTCAGCAAGCTAGCATGGCAGCTACCATGGCTAGCTAGATAGCCTGAGTTTGGCATCTTTTTTCTGGTTTAATTTTGTGCTGAATACAGATTGAATCGCTGTTGTTTACAATTTTGTTTAATGACCAAGTGACCAACAGCCACTAATCTATATTCTAGATTAGTGGCTAGTGGCCAGGATTGTTTGACACCACAGGGACTCTCAATGGTTGTATGATGCAGTTGTGTAATGCATGCTGGGTGAGAGAACACTGAGGAGAAACATGAAACCAATGTAAAGTTGTGAATTCTGTCAAACCAATGGGAACAATGCTGCACTACAGAATAATGCATAACATGACAATATATCATCGCTGTCCAAAGGAAACAAAGTATCTCTAAAATACTAACTTTACAGAAGAAGGCAAAAACATTCTTACCTTTCAATGGTAGTTAATGTAAAGACGTTTTATTTCAAGTGATTTTGGAGCATTTCTATTGGTCCATTCATCATATAAATTTCAGACAACGTAAAGGTTTAAATGATGTAGAAAAATAATAATAAACAAAAATTTAATACATGTTTTTCTTTGGACAACGAGAATATAAAACTAGTTTTAGGTCACAATGCCCATTTAAGGAAAGTGCTTCAATTAAGAAGAGCTAATTTTGAAGCATCGTACTATTTAAAGAAAAAATATCATAATGGTATCATTGTTGGCCTGTACTCAAGCATCTCTATGCCATCTCTAGATGAAAAGTGCCAAATGGGATACAAAAACCTGAGATATTCTGCATTTTATCATGCCATGTTGTGTTTCACTTGGAATTGGTATAGCACTTGTTTTAATCTTTAACCTGTCTTATTCCTAGGACCCATCACCATGCATCTGCAGTTGCTAATGGAAGTTGTCCCACCAGAGTTAGAGTGAAGAACTGCAGACAGTAAGTAGGAAAGCACCGGATATGACAACCTCAAGACTGATCAGTCAACACATTGCCACAGAATACTTAAAGGGAAACTGACTGCACAGAGAATTATGAAGAACTGCAACTGCCATCTTGCTGTACTGCACTACATCGCCAGAGGGAGCCCTACTGAGCAAAAAGAAGGCCTTGAACATTGGCTAGAAGATGCTCATTACCAAAGTAAGATACAGTGCAAAACAACCTCCCATAACAGTGTTCTTCATTTTGCTGGTGGCCCCAGAAGCCAACAAGGCAGCCCATGATTGTTTTGTTCCACTAAACAAAAAATGATATGTTTTGTTGATTTTCTAAATTTATCCTCTACAGAGAACACACTTCTACACAATTTAATGCAAAATTAATATTTATTTGCTGAATTTAACAGATTTGGAAAAAAATTAAACATGACATGTGGCCTGTAAAAGTTATGGCACATTTTATATTTTACGTTTTATTTTTTTGTAATTTGTTAAACGTAAACTTAAAGTTGTAGACACACACACATATCTGAAATATAAAACAGATGTTTGCAGCAGTAGCTATTTAGTGATCAACTTTAAATTGTGAGTGTCCCTCTGGCTAAGTAGTGTACATAAATTTTACAAATACAGACCAAAAAAAAAACTGAGAAAAACCCTCCTTTATGAGGCCTTCTGCCCAATGAGCGCTGAACTCTGAGCATCCTTTATGAGGGTTCTAGATACTAAAAAACTGCTCACCGGTAAATCTCAAATATGTATAAAATCTTTTTAAGAGGTATGTGTAATAGCTGTGATACAGATTTATGTAAATATGAAAGACATATATTTAATTTTTCAAATTCTTTGTTATTAATTTTCTGTGTTGTTTTTTTGGCTGTTGTTTCATATGGAGTCTGCACTGCCTCTGTTATGTTTTAGAATGCACATGGACACCATCCGAGTTTACAGTGGTTTAATTTGTAAAGTGATGAAGTTCTTGTTTGCATGTGAAGATTGAGTCCAGATTAGGAGCTGTTTTAATGTTTAATGTGCAGCCCCAGTATGTCACTTGTGTTTAAACCCCACTTTACAAATGTTCGCGCAATCTTTGTATGCAGTTTTAGGCTGGTAAAGCCTTGATTGTTGCGTGCTAAAAATATAAATACTGCTTTTTCAGTGGTTTACAGTGATGCACCATTAGTGCCTTAGGACAAACATAATTTTTTGTTTCTGTTCTTAGTGTTTTGAAAATGCATGCCTCTCCCTGTCTTGTTCTCTGTTAGTAGGGCTGCATCATTGTGGCCTTGGTGCTTTGCTAGATCCAGCAAACATTTCCAACCTGCCTTTGCTCTGTGGCAAAATTAGACTACATTTCATCAATTCCTCAATTCATCAATGTATGAAATTTGTCAGAAGCATTTTATCATGTAAATGTGTGGGACAAATTTTATAGGCCTATTGAAGCCAGAGATTAAACAGGTGTCTCTGAAATGTAGCGTTTCTGTGTTGTTTCTGGCATTTTCATTATTAAAGAAAAAATGTAATAATTGTTAAAATACATTTTGTCTCTCTTCTGAAAAATAAAAAAGTCTTATTACCTCTGTTTTCTTTTCTGTTTCTGTGACTGTGGTGGTGAAGAAAAACTTTTTTTTTTTTACTCATTTCATATAATTATGTTATATAATGTTCTATCTTGCTAAATTGTGTTTAATGTTTAATACTACTAATTTTGGTCAGAAATCCAATTGCTACTTTCACCTCTTTTGGGCCTTGATTGCCTTTATTGTCATCTGAATCAGTCAGTTTCTCTACAATGAAACACTTCACATCAAACCAATCTGAATGACTGTGTTTACATCTCAAAGACTGAATTAGTCATAAATTTTGAAAAAATGGTGAAAGTCCCCTTCAGATCCAATGTGAGTACAGCAGGTGGCAGCAATGCGCTTTTTTTCTGGGTTGGGAGCCCCTAAATCAACTAAAGAAGCAGGTAATTAGCGAGTGTCAGCGATCAGTCTGCCCAGAGAACTTGTAGAGATGAGAATTACCACTTTGCAATGTCTTCCGGTTTTCTCAAACGCTAGAGGGCGCTCCCGAGTGAGTCCAAAATGAATGGGTTGATATGGAGCATTTGAGCAAAATCATAGTTTATAAATACTTAAACATTTTTAATGTAAAAGAATGCATTCAGTTCCTGAACACTGAACAGCATAAAACATTTTAACACTGCTGTTACATTTTTAAGAGCTTTTAAACTCGAGTTATAGGAATTTTAAACAGCACTTTCATGTATATTCATGACGTCAATGAGCGCGAACAGCCAATGAGCTGCTCCGCTCGCCAATCAATCATCACGTTCTAGCAGTAGTGCCCGCCTTCTGTTGCCCAAAACCCGTTTGCTGTAGAAAAAGGGAAATATATAGGTGAGTTGTCTTTGTTTTTTTAGTGAAATACATCCTTCTACTTTCTAAAATTAAAGAAACATTCTGGGCGAGTGATTAGAAACTATTTTAACTTTTCGTTTTAGCCGTTGAGCTCCATTTACTCCCATTCATTGAGAACTCACTCGCGGGCGCCCTCTGCTGTTTAGCAGGCCTGTTTTTGATATAATGGGGGAATAGGAAGTGGCCAGGCTCCTCCTCATAAAACGGCTCTGGTCTGCCTGTATTCCTACTACTCAGATTATAACTAAAAGGATAAAAACATCTTGTTTTACCAACCTTGGGAAGATATTTTGATTGGCACAATAGTGTAGTTCACATGCTTTTGCACCGCTTTGCTAAGAACACGGTTGTTTCCCCACTCACCGCCGTATCATCGAGTTTAGTTACTCAGCATATAAATCGGCTATGAAGAGAACAATACAATCATATATTCTAGAGAAGAACAGTTTAATGAAAAGACATATTTACATGTATCATCTACTCCCTTCATTAAGATTATAGTTGTGGCTGCAATAATAATTATGAATACAGTACTGTGAAATATCATGTTTACCAGTCTGTGACAAACAGACAACACAACAACGTTACTTTGAACAGGCAGGGTTGCCTGCAAATTATGTAACGTCAGGCTAACGTTAGTAGCATTAAAAATAAGTGACAGCTAGTTACTCTGTGCGGTCATTTTTCCACTGATTTTGGGATAGAAAAGGGACACTGAGGGAGTCAAATAGTTTATGTATCTGGGCCCTTCATCGGACAGAAGGGTACTGAGATAGGCTGGTGTTGAGATTTTATGTTAAAGCTGTTTCAAGATGTGGTGTCCTACAATTTCTCACTCCTCTCCTTGTAAACTTTGAGGAATGTTTTCCCCCTTGAGGGGCGTGGTTTTCCCTCTGATGATGCAATGCACACTGTCTCAGAGTCATGTAGAAAGACTAACATTTTGCTTACCCTAATGTACCTGCTGAGGCATTGTCTCAACATTATTAGCAATGAATAATAATAATAATAATAATAATAATAATAATAGACATTTACTGTTTTTAAACAAACCACTCTACAAGCATCTTCAGACATCTGGAATGTCATGTCTCTAGGTGTATATCTAGTTCAAGGTGATCAAACAATAACTGTGATTGTGTTTTGGCATTATTTTATCATTGTACCGTCTTTTAAATCGAACGAATGCCCATATTCTGAAAATTTGCCCACATAATACTGTTTTAATGGGAAGTTCTGAACAACTGAGCATAGGAGACTGGGTTTTTACATATTTGTTGTATATAAATCTCAAAATATTCCTTTAAATAGATTTTTAACTGACAAAACTTTAAGAGAGCAGCTTCAAGCTCATATAAATGGAGAGTGGTGGTTCAAGGATGTGTTGATAAAGAGTATTCAACAGTCTTGTCTGCAGCAGATCAATAGGAAAGGAATACTCTGCTAACCGGAGAAAAACAACAAAAGAAGCAAGTAAGCCACGTTTCAACAGAAACAACCACATACAACTTGCTACGACTGAGCCACATTAAAAAGGTTCAAATGTGATAAAGGACATCACAAACAGTAGGGAAGACTTCATTGAACAAAACATGATTCGTGGAAACTAGAGGCCCTCAAAAACAGGAGAAAATAATGCATGCAGATTCAATATATATGACCCTGCAGGATTTAGGAAATGCATTATTTTTCAGTATTTCTTGTATTTTTTTTAAATTGTGCTTCATAATGTATACATACGCAGCCTACAGTTTACAATAGTTAAACTATCTAGCCTATTAATTATAGCCAACATTGTGTCACTCAGTGCGTTTAGTCTCTTTTTATTAGTCTCTTTTATTAAGGAAAATGGTATGAATTCGTTGTATGTCCCACATCAAGGAATGCCTGTAATAAATATTACTGCCCATAATTTTTCATTAGTTGTGTGAAATCTGAAGTCAGGTGCACATTTAGTGGAGTAAAGACATTTAGAATGAAGAGAATGAATGAGCGCGAGAGCTGCGGCCGCCTCTCGACTTACGAAGCGTTCCTGCTCTAAAAGAAGCCGTTATTTTTCCCGAGTCCCATTTGTGAAGGTTTTCAGTGACAGAGCAGGTAAAACAAACTCTTGGTATATGTTGGAATATATGACCTTACTGCTGATATGATAATGTATGAGGTGCTCGGAATTAACTGTTGGCTAGCTATCTAACTGCTTCAGAGCTATGAGCTAGCCAACAGCTAACAGCTAACAGACAACTTAGCCACCTAACTACCTACCTAACTAGCGAAACAGCCGAACTGTTTGCTAACAGCAGCTAACGCCAATGCTAACTTGCATTTGCGAGCTAACGATATCTAGCTAACATTAGTTGACAGCTAGATTCAAGTAATCGCTGTCTCTTTGGCAAAACATTTAAACACCTCAAAGTAAATAATATTTTTAAATGTTTACCTCTTCCAGCTTAGAGACTCTCACATCACACACCGTGGCGCTTCTTTACCTTAAATCATCCAACAGGCGCTTTACTGAGGTTAAGTAAGTCTGTATGAAGTCCGCTGTAGCCAGCTAAAACATCTGTCGTGTAGAGTTAGCTAGCTAGCTACTCTGTAGGGCAGTCCGTGCACAGCAGCAGGTTAAGTTATGTCTCAACGTGTAAAACGCCCTACTCTTCATTCACAATGTCCTCCAAAACACTCCAGTTCTCCGAAACAATAGAGATCCAGATTTGCAACAGTTGTCTTTTTTACCTGAGGTAACAAAAAGCAGGGCAAAAAGAAGGCAGATATGCTGATACATGTACATATACATTTTTTACGTGTAGTTTCTTAAAATTTAGGGTTCCCAAGCATTCACAACTGTAGCTAGCTACATTATATTGAATAGTTTTGTTCTTACTAAAATGTAACTGTTTTTTCCATCATAAAAATCCTTCATTGTCTTTATTCTTCTTTGTGTAAATTATGTATTTCAAGGTGCTTGCAAGAAGCGTTACCCAAAAAAAGCAATATTATTATTATTATTATTATTATTATTATTATTATTATTGTGTAGGACATTGGGAACTTGGAATTGGGAATGGAAAAAGTTCTGACATTTTCTGGTATAGAGAAATATATCTATTACATTCTGTAGAAGTAAGCAAGTGGTGATTAGGAAAATGTCAGGCTGCATTCCATATATGGATATTTAAATAACCAAAAGTGCAATATTATTAAATAAACCAGTGTTTCACAAATAATTAATAATAAGAGTAATTGAATTGTTTTTAGTTTATTAATAATTATATGATAATACTATGATGATTATTATTATTAATAATAATAATAATAACAATAATATCATTTTTATAGAACTGAAAACCTCTAACAACATAAGTGTCTTACACCCATCAAAATGATACAAAAACAAAAATGAAACAAAGTGAAACAGTATAAAGAGAATGAACACTTAAAAAAGCTGAACTAAAAGAAATTAAAGCAGTTAAAATGAATTCTTTGGCCTAGTAGTGAAGTCAAGCAACATAACGGTCAAAGATGACTCCATGAACAGCACAATCGTTTTAATAACTTGCAGCACCTTCACATTAGTATGGAATTCATTGATCTGTGTACTAATGCATGTGTATATAGAGTATTTTACTGTTTTGTTGGCTCTGCCAATCAGATTTTAAAACCAGAAATATTTCTACATAAAATGAATTTGGTTAGACATTCTGTTGTTTTTAAAAATGATGTGAAGTTCTGTGCGTAACAATGCATCAGCTGTCTGTATCACGAGTTGTTCATCCTCATTTGTGGCAAATAAAGTAAGTTAGTTGTATTAGTTATTGGGTGAAATTTCATTGTTTTGATACAAGTTAAGAACCGCATTGTAAAAAAATCTGACTTATCTCCGTCAGGAAAGTCAGGAAAACACCATTTTGTGCAATCAATCAATCATAGTAGTAATTGTGTTCAATACAATACAAAACATCAGCTGTCTGATTTGCAATTTGCAGCCACAAGCTTGTTTGTTCTTATTCGTTAGAAATAAAATGATTCAGTTTAGTTAATAATTAAGTAATATTGGCTATTTATTTTTAGGAAGTAGGACAGGATTGAGCTTGAAGTCAGGACTGTAGCAATACTCTGATATTTTGACATTAAAGTGGGTATGCACCTGAACGAAAATACGGCCGCTTATTCTGCAGGTACATGTTGGCAGTCTAAGCCAAACCAGATATTCCATATTTTACAATGGAGCAATGCCATAGTTAGCAGAACATTTTGTCTAGTTCAGTTTTCTCAAGTTTTGCCGGTGCCAAACATCTCATTCTTGAAGTCCAGTTGCATGCAGTGGGCCTACTATACAGCAAACAGTAAAAGAGTACTGAGCACTCTCCTGACTTTTTCCATGTTAAATACAACAAATACACTGCTAAAATAAAATTACTGCTAAAACTCACCTCTGATGATCATCCATTTTTGCTAAATAATGCTGTCACCAAGTTTGCGTGGCTTCATGCCACCGTCGGTCTCATACTGCTATGAGGTAGGTACAACTGTTTTTTTTAACACCAACATGTAAATACAGCTGTCTTTAATCATCAGCGCTGATAAGAGGAGAGAAGTATATCACTTAGAGAAGGGCAATAATACCTGGTTTGGCAGAGTTATATAAGCACTTCTTTCTTTCCATGATTACAAATGGACGATGAACTGTCACATGTATTGACTGTTTTTCTTCAGATCTCAAAACCGTGAAATCGAGTGTTGTGTATCTCCATTTGTGCATGTACTGTTTTTTAGTGGCCATTGTTGCATTCATTGCATTTGACATGCATTTCTTTCTTGAAGGTTCTAGGTGTTCTCTTTCTTCTCTCTCTCTCTCTCTCTCTCTCTCTCTCTCTCTCTCTCTCTCTCTCTCTCTCCCCCTCTCTCCCTCTCTGTCCCTCTCTCTCTCTCAGCACATATGATATTGGGTGTTTTTGACAAAGAGGTCCTGTGTGTTGCCAGCCAATCCAAGCCACTCTCTTCCCACAGGCTCACTCACCTGTTCCAATCAAAGCTGAGTCTGAAAATGAGCAGTGTAGGTTCCGCCTCTTCTTAACTGTTAATAAACATAAATGAAAGGATGGATCAGAAGTAATCAGAAGCGTGGAAATCCAACATACATAATCTGGAAGAGTCTGCTCTGAGGTTTGGCATTCATTTCTTCTTATAGAAAAACAAGTGACATTAGGCATTAACTGGCATAAGGTTTCGAGATTAATTGTGTTTCAGGATTGTGTCAATGCCTGTCAGTTTGATGTAAAATGTAGTTAACATGCTTTGCATATATATGAAGCTATATGAAAACCTCTAGGAATCTGATTCACAAAATCACTATAAAATGTGAAATTTTTTGCAATCCTAAAAGAGTTTGTTTTCTTATATCAAGAGGGCTGATATTTCTCTGGAAGTTAACATGATGTACATTCAAGTTAAATATGAGTCTTTCTTTTATCACAGATTCATCTACAGCTATTAATGTAATCAGATATAAGTATATATACAAAAATGCTTTATAGAGCTGTGAAGTTTATTTGTACTATTTAAAACAAAACAGGGCATTTTGTTATGTCTATGTAAGCCATAATTACTGCAGACCATTCTAGGGACATCAGGACAGTAAGTCTATAACCAGTGTAATGCAGGGGGGCTGAAATCAGTGTTTTTCATCATAATACTTCCCCTCACTCTCCATTTTGTTCTTGCCACTGTATGACAGTCATTTAAAGATAGATTGTTAGACAGTAGAAATGATCTGATACAAAAAACATGTTTAAAACTTTAGTGATTACCAGATTCTAGATGTTCCTAACTGCTTCAAACCAAATGTTTTTAGAAGTTTGATGAATTCTGTTGTGTTATTACCTGATCAGCTATCAATATGTAAGTCAGAGTCCTCAGAGAGAAGAATTTGATCATACTTTGTAGACACAATTGATACTAAGGTGCAATTTCTGCCAAAGAATTACTATATGACCTATGTTCACATATGCAACCCACTTGTCTCCAAGCATGACAAGCGGAATAATTGCCAAAAATTTGACCAGAGTACATTGTTTCAGAATTCTCATGTAGATTTGAAGCACTTCGTTTTTAGCAGAAGAGTTTTGCATAGGGGGTAAGAATGGAGATGATTGTAGTGCAATTCTCTGTGTAACTGTTGATCCTGTTGCTTGCAGGCCGTCCTGCACCTCTTTTTGAGTGACCGCTCTCACTTGCTGTCCTTATCATTAGTATGAGAGAGTGTTGTAAAATCCTGCATGGTGCATCTGTCTGGGCAGGTTTAATTGAGGTTCCATAAACTTTCAAATTACGTATTATCAAAGTCATTGTACTGACAGGTATTTTTAAAGTCTTTGCTATGGATCTGTATTTTTTTCCATACAGCCATTGTTTAATAATGCTATCCCTGAGAACTTTTGCCACTTGTCCCAACCAGTGGACCGGGTGAAATAGCTAGAACTTGACTTACATATATACACACATATATGTATGTGTGTGTGTGTGTGTGTGTGTGTGTGTGTGTGTGTGTTTGTTAATATAGTGTCTGAATACTTTTTTATCATTTAAGTTTTTAAACATCTTTGTTCATGCTCATAAATGCATACTTTTTTGTGTATAGTTAAAAGACATTATGGATATGCGAAAGGGTATATGCACTGGTATATTAAATAACAACAGCAAAGGTGTTTGAATAATTAACTCCCCTCACTGTACATGACATACAAAAGACAGAAAAGTACATAGTAGGATCAGTATGTCTGGTGAGCATGTAATGAAACAAAGATCCAACTGAAATCTCCAAATTTGCAGACATGATGGATGAAAAAGACCTGAAGAAACGGAAGGACACTCGCAATGGCAGCATCACACACAGTGTGGGCTCCAAAATGAAACCGAATGAGGAGGAAGTCAAAGTCATACTACACAAAAATGTGAGTATTTTAGAAAGAGAGAAGAGCTAGAATATGACCTTGATGTGCGTTGGACTCTAAACAGTTTTCTCACTCTCATTAGTTTTTTTTCCTTGAACTGTGTCTGTCTGTGTGACAGGTTTTGCACTATTACAAATAAGGAGGTTCTTTTGTAGCGTTGAACTGGAGTGATCAAATGAAGTCTTCAAAGGAGCATCCACTGAAAAGGTCTTTAGAGAACCAAAGTGGTTCTGTCTATGGCATCACCCCAAAGAACCTTTTTGACACTTTTATTTTTATAATTGTGCTGCAGAATTTCCAGAAAATGCTGACAATCCGACTTCAAGTGGCTAAATTCTATAAAAAAAACAGTTGTGTTGAAATAAGTAAATATTATTATAGGACCGTTCATTTTAGGACTGGGATGATAAGCAGCTTTGAAAAATTGAGGACAAATTTATGGATAAATATGAATATTTTTATTATTTGAAATTATTGCATTTTCACACAAACAAAAACTAAATAAATGCCCATCAAACAAACATTAATACTAATGTGGTCTTTTACATCAGAGCTCATTGTTGCTCTTGTAGTTTTTTCCTCAAGCTCTGCTCTACACACACAGTGTTGCTACAAGGCTTCAGCTTGTTTGATAGAACCCCTCATGTTGTGTACTGGCTAAAAGAGAAATGCTTGCTTTTTGCCATTACTGCCACACAGGACAGTGATATTGAGTAAATGGAGTAAAACCAGGATTGGTGTTTAAGATGATGGATTGATCCACAACGTATTCATGCATGTGAAATTGAATGAAAAAATGATACATTCATACATTTATTATTTTAATGGTCGATTTACATGGTTGATAATTATCATTAAATCAACAAGTGGTCCCAGGCCTGATCTGTCTAGACTAATCCATCAATAAGCACTTGTACTAAAAAGCACCTCTTGTATTTGAAAGAGTTTTTGCATTTTAGTCACATTACCTGTTGTGTGTTGTTTTGCTCTTTGTGTTTTAGGTGGGTCTGCTAAGTGGGATCTCTCTGATTGTGGGGACAATGATCGGCTCGGGCATCTTCATCTCTCCCAAAGCTGTGCTTGAGGGAACAGGAGCAGTGGGGCCATGCCTGTGTGTGTGGGCAGCATGCGGGGTGTTGGCCACTCTAGGTTAGTAAAGAGAAGACACATAAGCAGCCTATTCAAATACCTTCAGGCATAAATCGTCCTAATCTGATTACTTTTTATTTTTGCTACATTCCACATAATCAGTCCAGCATTTAGCCAATATCAAAAGTTTTTAGAGGAGAACTTTTCAGTTGGAATAATTATCTTGACTAATCCTTTTAGGAGAAGAGCATATTCTCCATTGTGAAAAGTCTAAAAAACACACCGGTTTCATTCAGCTATGCTTTACAGTTCTGTTGTACAGTAAAGGACAGGGACGATGAACAATTTTGAAAATCTAGACAAAATTATCACCACTTATTGTTTCATTGTTTAAAACTGTGGTATTATACAGTTGTATATTAAGTATATCAAGGAAAGTGTCTGTTTATGTTCATTTTGTTGCCTTGAGCTCCAAGCTTAATCAGAACCACAAGTTCCACAACACCCACTGGACTGCTGTAGACGTTTTGGCGCATTACTGGAGTTTATAGGATTAATCATGATGTTTACCAAATGATTTAGCAGAATTGATGAAAGACACAATACAGCTGCAAAAGAGCTAAAATTCAGCATTTCGTGCCTCAGTTGAAAGGGTTTTATTCCAAAGCCTAGCTACTTTTATAAAATATATAGGGATGGAGGTTTTGTCAATATACATTTTTATGCAGTTGTCTTATAGACGGCCTTACATTCATGAAAAAACAACATAAAGGCTTTCTGAATTTTCTTTCAAACATCAAAAGAGGAGGCAAAGTTTGAGTAGGTTTAATCCCTGTTGATAATGTTGTTTGTGCTTATATATTATAATAATACAACCCCATTTCCAAAAAAGCTGGGACGCTGTGCATAATGTAAATAAAAATAGAATGCAATGACATGCAAATCATGTAAACCATGTTTTTAAAGGAAAATACTACAAAGACAGCAAATCAAATGTTGAAACTGAGAATTTGTTTTGTTTTTTGAAAAATAAATGCCCATTTTGAATTTGATGCCAACAACACATTCCAAAAAAGTTGGGATAGGGGCATGTTTACCACTGTGTTTCATCACCTCTTCTTTTAACAACACTCTGTAAGTGAGAACTGAGGAGACTGACTGCTGTAGTTTTGAGAGTGAAATGTTTTCCCATTTTTGTTTGATATAGGATTTCAGCTGCTCAATAGTTCAGGGTCTCCTTTGTTGTATTTTTCATTTCACAATGTGCCAAATATTTTTAGTGGGTGACAGGTCTGGACTGCAGGCAGGTCAGTTTAGCACCCGGACTCTTTTAATACGGAGCAATGCTGTTGTAATACATACAGAATGTGGTTTTGCACTGTGTTACTGAAATAAACAAGTCCTTCCCTGACATTGTCTGGATGGCAGCATATGTTGCCAAAACATGTATATATCGTTCAGCATTAATGGTGCCTTCACAGATGTGCACGTCACTCATGCTATGTGCACTAATGCACCCATATACCATCATGAATACTGGCTTTTGAATTGTGCACTGATAACAAGCTGAGTGGTCTTTAGCTTAGAGGACACAGTGTCCATGATTTCCAAAAAGAATTTCAAATGTTGATTTGTCAGACCACAGGACACTTTTCCGCTTCCCCTCAGTCCGTTTTAAATTAACTCGGGCCCAGAGAAGGTGGCAGCATTTCTGGATCCTGTTTATGTACAGTTTCTTCTTTGCATTTTAAAGTTTTAACTTGCATTTGTGGATGCAGCGACGAACTGAGTTTACAGCCAGTGGTTTCCAGAAGTGCTCCTGAACCCATGCAGTGATTTCCACTAAAGAACCCTGTCTGTTTTTAATGCAGTACTGCCTGAAGGCCCAAAGATAATGGCCAGCAAATACTGGTTTTTGGCCTTGTCCCTTGCATACAGAAATTTCTCCATATTCTCTGAATCTTTTAATGTTATTATGTACTATGGATAATGAAAAGCAAAGGTACTTTGCTATTTTATGTTGAGAAACATTATTCTTGAATTGTTGCACTATTTGATCATGCAGTCTTTCACAGAGTGGTGAACCCCTCCTCATCTTTATTTCTGAAAGACTCAGCCTCTCTGGGATGCTTTTTTATACCCAGTTACTGACCTGTTGCCAACTAACCTCCAGGTGTTGCCCCTGTATTGTTGCCCCTGTCCCAAATTTTTGGAACGTGTTGTTGGCATCAAATTCAAAATGGGCAAATATTTTTCAAAAAAGAAATTTCTCAGTTTCAACATTTGATATGTTGTCTTTGTACTATTTTTAATTAAAGATAGGGTTTAAATGATTTGCACATCATTGCATTTTGTTTTTATTTACATTTTGCAACATCCCAACTTTTTTAGAGATGGGGTTGTAAATATATGTATAAAACTTACAGATAAGACAATTCAGGGTCAAGTTCCAAGTGACTTTATTGACTGGTTGTATACAGTTTTGCCAGTACATAAACAATGACACAGCAGTAACAATAAAATAATAGTAGTACAGTTATAACAGACAATAACATTTTTACAGTTAACACTGGTGATAACACTAACAGTGGAGGGAAACTACGTAAGCATACAGATTCCACAAAGTACGGCTATGTTCACAAAGCAGGTAAAAGTGGTCCAAATTCTCACCAAATTCATTTTTTTGTTAGGCTGTTCACAATATCTTTTAAATGTGCCCTATATGCGACATTAGTCTGAACAGATCATGCTCCTAAACTGACCCGCATGCACAAAAGAACAATGCTTCAAATGGCACCTTCGCATAACAGCTGCTCCCAGAGCTTTCAGTTTTGTCTTCGACAGCACCACAGGAGCTAATAAGAAATTCTGTGGTCAGGCTCGCTGTAAAAATGGCATGTTATTCGGCCACAGCCACTTCTTTGATCTGTGTCCTTGCTTTCTTTAAACTTTGCTTTCAGACTTCTAACTTTTCTTTTCTGATACTGCAGCTTAGTTCTGCTATGGCTATGTTCGGCCATTTCTTTTGAAATCTCTTTGAACACAGAGTGATTTGGATATGTATCTTCTAATTTTGTTTGTACAGAAACATCACCCTAAATGTTTATGAGATCTTAGCAGCGTGAAATTATGACAGATGTTTTGGATTGATGTAACAGTTGCATGAATTATGATTTGGCTGTTCAGACTAAATTGCATTGCCGCATATCGGATATATATATATATCAGATTTCAGTACCACATCTCAAAGCCTCTGTTCAGACTGCAGGCAAATCGGATTTGTTTCTCAAATTAGATCTTTTTGGACGACCATCTGCACTGTAATTTGCAAGTGATCAGATCAAGTTTGTGTGTCCGGACGTTACTAGCCTATATGCGCGGGTTGCTGTGGTAACAACGTAGGCATCTGTTACTATGCAGCTATGCTGGGCATGCAGATTTCAAACGCAGAGGCAGGAGAGATGGAGGTGCATCATTTTGTCCTTCAAACTCTTCAAAAAATCAGTTTTAATGTGGTTTTTAGCTGTCAAACTATGAAAAAAACAATCTGAATACAATCAGGATATGCCAAAAATCGTATTTGGTCTGGCAGTCCGAACATAGCGAAAGCATCTCAAATGTCAGAATTCAGATTCAGTGTGATTTTTGCTGTTCACACTGGCACACAGATAACACATCTGTGTCACATGTAAAGAAAAACATGTTCAGGCACTCGAACTCAGGATAGCTGGCTAGCAGCAATAGGGTTGGACCCAAAACTACCAAACTATTAAAATGAAATAGATAAAACATGAACACTTAATGTTAACTTACAAATAGGTAAAACATTAACTTTATTTATAGAGCACTTTTCATACTGGTGACAAAGTGCTTTACAGACAGGTAATAAAGCTGTCAGTAAAAAAGGGAATTAGGTAAAAACAGTAAAAGAAGAAGCTATGAGTAGAGATCACATAAGACAATGACACCGATCAAATTAAAAAGATAAATACCAAAGAGATGTAGAATTTTATTTAAATGCTAACTTTAAGAGATATGTTTTCAAATGTTTCTTAAAAGTGTGCACTGAGCTTGAGTGTCTAATTAAAGGCAGAATTGAAGCAGTATAACAGAAAGAAAATAAAGTTTTTCTGTGTGAGATAGAAAAGGCTGAACTTTAGCAATACATCTCAAATAATAAAAAGCTACTTTAGTGACAGTGTTTATATGTGAAATAAAACAAAGCTCAGAATTTAAGATTACACTCGGGTTTCGTATGTCAGGTTTGGTATATGAAGCTAAAGAACTTCTCATCAAGCATATTTTTTTTGAGTACCAAGGATCAGTATTTATTTTTATTAGTTGTAGAAAATTTTGTGACATCCGCTGAGAAATATGAGACACACACCTGGTGTGTCTGTCAACGCAGTCTGGTGAGATGGTGGATTAAAATCTTGCGATCAACGGTATCACAAGCTACACTAAGATCCAGTAAGACCAAACTAGAAGAATTTTGTACATCAATGCTGAGCCTAAGGACATTGACAACAGGAATCGTTGCAGTCCTATTACTATGATTAGAGCAAAAATCTGATTGAAGCTTCTCTTATAACTTGTTTGATATTAGATATGCAATTAGTTGCTTCACAACAGCTTTTTCAAAGGCTTCACAAAAAAGAAGGTTTGAAATTAGTCTAAAATTATTTAGAACAGAAGGTTCCATGCCACTTTTTTTAGTAGAGGCTTTACAACTACAGTTTTAAAAGCATCTGGAAAAGCACCTGTTGACAGAGAACAGTTTACAATAGTGAAAACATCATTTTGAACAGAGTTAAAAATGCTCTTAAGGAGTGACGTAGGAACAGGGTTCAGATCACATGTGGACATACTTAATTCGTTTATAACAGTTGTAAGCGCCTGATAATTGATAACAGAGAAGGATGACCTTACTGATGTAGGTGGCTTATCAGGAAGGCTATTAGAACTTGTTTCAGCAGACTGAGCTATGTTCTGTTTTATCAAGGCCAGTTGAAAACAGAAGGTCAATCACCATGCGACACACTAGCAGAAAAGGTGGGGTTAATTAGTCAGTCTGCGGTGTAAAAAGGACTTTGGTATTATCTATGTGTTTATTAACTACACAAGAATGGCATTATTGTAGGTGGAGATCTGTTCTTTGGGAAGATCATAATGTAGTTAGTTTTACATTGTGAGCGCTCTATTTTTTCTATTTTTTTCCATTTGACTGGTGTGAGAATGAGTTTTATTTAATGGACCATTTAGCTCAGAGACCAGATCAGTACAGGGGGGAGTCAGAGCTGTGTTCGATGCACTATTATAAGTATTTTTAACAGCTTCTGAGTCAATGTAAAGACCATGTAAAGAATATACAGAATAGAGCTGATATGAAAACATCATAGATAAGAGACGTGTTTGTGTTTAAACCTTTAATGACTGCCAGATCCAGGATGTGACCTAGGTCGTAGGTGGAGCTGCCCACATGCTGCTTCAAATCGAATGTCTCTAGATGTCTCATGAACTCTATTGGGTTACTGCCTGATGGGCTATCAATATGTAAGTCAAATTCCCCAGAGAGAAGAATTTTATCATAGTTCATGGACACAATGCGTGATGAAATTTAGGCTGTTTAGGTGCCCCTCTGGTACTGCGTTAGCTATTGTGGTTGAAAGTAGTACTTCTTTTCTTCTCTGGCACAGTCAGTCTTTCTCTACCTGCACTCTCTCCTTGCCTGCACTTTCATCATCAGCTACATACACGTGCACTGATGATGAAATGCACAAAACACTCCAGTTAGCAATCCAGTTACTGTGTTCCAAAGATGTGGTGCTCTGTAGCTGATTATTATAAAAAAAACAAAATGAGGAGAGGTTGAGGAGGCTGGGGGAGAAGGAAATCCAACAGGTTTCATACACGTTGTGCCAAATTCCAACTCGAATTCTACTCCTCTTTGTGTACAAGCCCGTCACGCAGGCATGTGGAAGCTACAGATTACACTCACAATTTTGGTTGTTTCTGTGGGTCAATTCTTAATTTTTCCTTCACAATAAACACTAGAACAGGGTATAAGCAAATGACCAATGTGCTGACATTCCTGTGTTTGGTTAGAGCTGCAGGAAATTGCTTGGAGATATCCAAGTGCAGGGCACATGGAAAACAAGAGATAGCAGCATTCCCTCTAGAACCAGCTACTTTCAGGTGTCTGACGATGTAAACTCCGATCACTAAAACACCTACCGAGGCGCTGGGGCAGACGGAAAGCCTAGGACTTCGAACCGGTTACTGGAAGTGAAGTCCTGTGGAGGAAGTGGTGCAGACCTTCTCCTTCCTTAGCCTTGCTGGCATTCCTAGCCCTGCTCTGGTGCAAGTGTGAAATTGGGAAATCCCTGTGTTAGCCATGTATGTAGTGCTGTGTCTGGAGGAGTCAGTGTTGCCATCAGACTTAGAGGACCCTGAAACTGCCATATATGATGAATCCTGGGCTTTCAGAAAGCATTCCAAATGCATTTTCCACTTGTTCCATGGCGGTCTCCATTTTCTCAGTGTCCACAGAGAAAAGAAAAGTTAAGGTTAGTTAGATAGGAAAAACTAAAAAAAGTGTTAAAAGCAGTGAAGTTATTAACAAATTAAGGCAATGATTGATTAATCAACAGAAGAAAGTAACTTAAAACATTAAAAATAAGATTAAAAAGCTAAATGTAACAAGCTGTGAACGAGCAAACACACAAACGTGTGACCTGTTTAGACAGAAATGGCGTCCTGTGACCCGTTTAGTCTGAATGGCAACCGGAAATTGTTCACTAATAGAAATCTTAGGAATTAAAAGTATAATTGAATAGACAATTAATAATGATTAAAAACCTTTATAATAGTCTTACATTTGTTATTTACCGGCTGTTTCTCACTTTTCCAAATTCTCGCTATCCCTTTGTTCTAGCGCATGTTTAATCATTTAATGTATTTCCCATTTTAATTACTTATATGATATTGAGTGGACTTAAATACTAACTTTGATACTTTACTGCCTATTCATTTATCACAAAACCTTTTGAGTCTTATAGTTAATGAATTATACTACCATATTCATAGAAGAGGTCTGCTACCTGACTCTAACACATTATTGGGTTTTATGTTGGGTTTGGGCCGTTTTTTCACAACACTGAGATGTTTAAAAACTCCAGTCTGATCCACTTGTACCAGCGCAACACACACTAATACACCACCACTTAAATAATAAATACTCTGTGATGGTCCGGGAGGGGGCACCTATGTGGTAAGTGGAGCTGATTCAATGGACAATAAGTGTAGAAACAAGGAGCTGTTTCTAATAAAGTGCTTGGTGAGTGGATAACTGCATATTTGACTAAGAATTAAAATTCAAACATGGGAGTACATGTTACATATAACATTTTGATTTTATTTTTGCTATGGACATACTTCTATACATCTCTCTTTGTATATCTCTTTACTACAGGAGCTCTTTGCTATGCTGAGCTTGGCACAATGATCACTAAGTCAGGCGGTGAGTACTCCTACCTGATGGAAGGTTATGGGCCCGTGTTGGCATACCTCTACTCCTGGACGACTGTCTTTGTTCTGAAACCTTCAGCCTTTGCCATCCTCTCCCTCAGCTGTGCAGAATATGCCTCCACACCTTTCTACCCAGGATGCACCCCACCTGTGATCATCAGGAAATGCCTGGCTGCAGCTTTTATCTGTATGTCAGAACTTGTTTATCAGGAACACTACATTATTCACCATAATTAAGACTAACCAAGCAAATATTACCATAAAATATAAGCAGTTAAAATAAAGTACAGTCTGTCACTGGCAGTTGTTGATGAAAAGGGATCTGCAACTAAGTAGTTAACATGACAACTGTGAAAAAGCATGGCACTTAAACCTCATGGTCATCTTCATTTTGTTTTCAAAACGACAAAAGTTAAGTTTTTTTAGGATTTGATGTTTTTTTTATCGTATGGGAACTAAACACTAAACATTAATCGTTGATCAATCTAGTTCTGAAAGGTCACTGTTGCTGTATTTTGCACTTATTAATGTGCCCTGTTTTTTCAATAAGAGGCAGGTCTGGACTGCAGACAGGCCAGTCTAGCATCTAATTGTGTGGCTATGCCGTTGTAACCCATGCATATGTTCCTCCAAAATGTGTATATATCTTTCAGCATTAATGATGCCTTCCCTTCTTGGGTGCTTCACATTTTATATTGAGCATTACAGTATTTGATATGGAAATATTCTACTCCAGACTGCATTTCCATATATTGATTTGGTATATCTGCTTCACTTTGTGTTATTTTTTATCGATAGTGATGTGGTTTGTGTTGCATTTCTGTGCATTGACTTTTTTTTTCCTTTATCTTTCTCTCCCGCTCTCACTCTTCCACAGTGTTGATTGTACTCGTGAACTGCCTAAGTGTAAAGCTTGCCAGCTATGTCCAAAACTTCTTCACTGCAGCCAAACTCCTCATCATCGCCATCATAGTGGTATCAGGAATTGTTATGCTGGCCCAAGGTCTGCACACACTATGCTACCAATGCCAATTAAACTGCATAACTGTGGCTGCTTTCCTTAAGCAATTAGTATTCTGTCAAATGCAGCAGGTATAATGTAGCAGCTGTAGGTATTTTTACATGCTTACCTCATTCTTTATTTCTGTTGGGTAAGTTAATGAGTTATTTTGCAGACGATTGATTAAACCTTTTGTACAGATGCAAATCCATGTTATATCTATAATGTCCTTATTTTCAGGCAATACACAGAATTTCAAAAATTCATTTGAAGGAGCAGCAACTTCATTTGGTGCAGTCGGACTGGCTTTTTATAATGGCCTCTGGGCCTTTGATGGGTGGTAAGTTATTTTATCAGCTGATTATGTTTTTGTTTCCAGGTCATAACCTGATAGGCACTTGCATTGAAAGAATTATTTGTAGAGTGATTTCACTGAAAACAATAACAAATCAGTTGCTAAAATTTCCTCCATATCAGAAAGTCTGTTCATGTGAAGGCACCAAAGATGTAAAAATAAGCTTTAGTCTTCCATCCATTGGCAAGGAAGTGTGAGAAGAGACTAAATGTCTGTCTGTAAATGTTTTCCTACCAAGAATCTTACGTGAACTGGAATGAGAGAACAAGTTAATCAGGGCTTAACAGTACACAATATTTACTGTATTGCTAGGACATTAAACACTTCGATTTCTGCCTTCTACAGGAATCAGTTGAACTTCATAACAGAGGAGCTGAAAGACCCATACCGGTAAGTCAAGTCAGTGTTTCATATTGGACCACACTGATTCATTCTGCGTATCTTCTTTGCTGGAACTAAACCTTGTGTCTCCAAAATTGATATTTCATAGGAGAAGGAAAAAATTCTTAACTTGTAATGGAAATCAATGTAACTTAATTGTTTTTCCATGTAATTTTGGACAAATTTCTATTGGTCTGTTTATCATGAAATTTAAACACAATGTAAAAGGTTACCAGAGTTTTCAAATTATGAAAAAAAAAAAGTAGAAGGTTTTTGTGCGACAGCAACGATATGCTGCACAACCAGTGAATCCGGTAGCAAGAGTTTTGCATTGAACCAAATGTGTTTTGCTACATTATCTAATGTTATGTTACAAACACAGTTGTGCATATTGCTATTATGGATACAAGAAACCATTTTACTATAGTGTTACATTTTTATATTAATTTTGGTGCTGAGTGTGCGCTAGATAACATACTGCGCAAAAAGTCAGCCAAGAAAGTATGCTTTTACCAGAAAAACAATGCATAACATTAGAATAAATACAAATAAACATAAATACAGTCAAATCTAACAGAAGTATTTTGATATGTTGGTTAGAAGAATACAGTTAGAAGAATGCAATTTTGTTTTCTGCAGCACTTCTGTCATTGTAAGGATTTGTTAAGTTCTAGCAGCAGCACATTTAAATACATGAAGGACTGATTATCTGGAGGGTATTGAGTGGTAACTCTAAGTACTGCATTTTCTTGAGGAGAGCTTTGGAAATGGTATTACATAAATATTAATTTTATTAATATTACATGGTAATTACATGGTAATTTTATTACATAGAATTAACATGACATATTTATTAATATATATTCTGTTGTTACTGCTTTCTTTTTTTAACCAAGTAAATATTATAATTTGTTAAACATTTGTCTGTCTGCATCAGTACTCTGTTTAAGCACTCTAAAATAACCATTTTTTTTTTTTGGAAAACTAAAAACACTGTTATTGAGCATAGCTTGCCAAACAAAATTCACTCGTATGTTTTCTTCTTTTTAAGCTGCTTCTACATTTCTCTGAAAATCCTCTGGATCACTGGCCTTTTGAAAGACAGTTTTAGTTTTGAGGCAGAGAGGGAAATGTTCTTATAGTTGTTATCCTATTCATTTTCTTATCAGTGCTGAAATAGGTGCCAGCCTCCGCTGTTGAAAATCATCATAATACCACCACCTCCACTGCTAATAGCATTGTGGGCATTAAGTGACTTGGCTTGTGTGCAGTAGCTGATTCGGCCCTTGCCCACCGCTTAGCCTTCAGGCCAGAATCTTTCGAAGACTTGCAGTATTAGCTGTCTTACAGGTGACTTCCTGTAAACATTGTGAGCAATGACTTGCTTTTATCTCTTTCTCATAAAGGCCCTTTCTGTGGAATGCCTTGTAGATTGTTGACCTGTGACTTTTTGAACTCATTCAAAGTCATTGTTTGACTCATAGTAGCCCCCTAAGAACTGCCCTCTGTATCCAGCATTTAAATTTAAATTTAGATGGATGGCCTGATTTCATATTTTTACACCTCACATGAGCCTCTACTGTGTATTTATCCTCTCATGAATTTCGTGAACCACTTCTTTTCAACCTAGATGGAGTTCATCAATGTTTTGTGTTAACTGTTTATGTAATATACTCCATTAGGCTTGCAGTTGTAAACACAGTTGAAAGACTTTGAATGTTCTTTAATTCATTGCTTTCTTTTTTTTTAATGAAATAAAAGGTTTCTGAAATGTTCCTTGAGCTGATGTGTCTGTATCTGTGTGCGAGAGCCTATTAAAATTTTAATAGAACAGTCTCCATGGACTTTGTGTTGTAATGCTGAACATCTCTCTACCCTGTGGACAGGAATCTTCCACTGGCCATCATAATTGGGATTCCTTTGGTGTCAGTTTGCTATGTGCTAGTCAATGTTGCCTACTTCAGCGTCATGACACCCACAGAACTACTTCAGTCGTCTGCTGTTGCTGTGGTGAGTGTAGTTGTCATGGAGATACATGAAGTTAATGAAATAATGTTTTAAAATGAAACTAAATTACTGAATTGCATCAGGGATGTTGCAAGATGAGCCATAGTTTCTCAATCAACTGTTTGACAATTATATATTTTGGTCATGTTAGTGTTTCATTTTTTAATATCCAGTTTTCCACATGTATACCTATATTTCGCCGGTTTCTAGTGCTGCCTCTGTTCTTTTCTAACAGGACCAAAGATCCAGCATTGTTTCAGACTTTTCTTATTGCTCTTTAACACTTGATATTAGTTAAGATGGTTCTTTTTAAAAGCATTGTCTGCTTCACAGACTTATGGTGACAGAGTGCTGTATCCAGTCTCATGGTTGGTGCCGCTGTTTGTGGTCTTCTCCACTTTTGGAGCTGCTAATGGAAGCTGTTTCACTGCTGGAAGGTAAAGTAGATAATGCTCATAACTCAAAAGTTCAAAATGAGCTGCAAAATCCAAAACGAGCCACATATTGGGAACAAAAAAATCACATGACAACTGAAATTCACAAATCAAATAATTTCCCATGCTCTTTAGTATGAGCACCAGATAGAGTGTCACATTAGCTGTGATTGTGTTATGAAACAATATATTTTTGACAAAGCCAACATACTTTAGTTCTTGGTTTTATTATTCTACTCTTTTTTTGTACCGTTTTCATGGGTCACAGTTTTAGAGCAGTATTGTCAAGTATATATTGTGCCCTTGGGACCCATTGCCCATGTGGTTTTCATACCACATTCACTCAAACACAATTATTTTTTACCCATACAAAAATAAATGGCAGAATGGTGGAAAACTAGCTCCCACAAATGATTACACAAAAGACATCTCTTACACTGCCTCTCATAGACATTACATACAGACTCACACATTACCAACTACCTGTGACACCATTACACCATTACAATGGAAACAACACCTTAGCAACCACCTGGGATAACACTGCAATGGCCAAACAAATCTTAGCAACTACCTGGGATATCCTAGTAACATCTTAGCAACCACCTGGCATACTAAAGCAGTGTCCTAAAAACACCTTAGTAACAATAGTATAAACAACATCCCCAGATACCATAATGATAGCCTAGCAACACCTTATCAACCACCTAACACCCACCAAGCAATGCCTTAACAACAAGGTGGAATACCATAGCAATTTTGTAGCAGCATCATAGCAGCTACCTGGAATTATTATATAAGCCCAATTAATATATCAAAACCAATCAACAGTGCTCTGCAACTGCTAATTTAACTTTTGAAGTATTATTAGCTGGCTTGGTCAGGCCAATTTGAAGTTTGTTCACAAACTTTCCCTTTCCATTTTTTACCGTTTGTTTTGGGGATGTTCATTTCCACTGTGCCACAAGCATTGGAGTATGAAATTATATAATGTTTTCATGTCATTTCATATAAATTATAAGGATTTATCTGTACAATCATTATTTGCACTACTAGAGAACATTATCTAATACTTTGATGTTATGATTGATACTACTTGTTATAGGAATATACTTTTTATAATGTTTTAAAAAAACCTAAAAATTTTATTTATAATTGCACATTATGTGCACAACATCTGAGACAACTGACAGTCAAACTAAGAGACTTAATTGTGTGTATATATACAGTATATACACTTTATTTCTGTAATCGATTGTACATGTTTTGCTCTGTAGATGTTTAGCTATTTTCAACAACTTATTTACTAATGATCTCTGATGATAATCCTAGCCCAATTTTAACCATGGATATAATCTCAACATTAACTTTAACGGGAAATATATTTTTCAGTTGTGTGTCAGTACATAGTTTGTTAAGCTAAACATCTCTAAAATATCTATAGACAGCTGTCTGAATGAAGTGGCACCGATATTTTGTTTCACCTGTTCATTTTGTGAAATGTTTTAAAGGCTTCCAAACCTTAACTCCTTTTATTGTCAGTTTTCATAGCTGGTTGTTTAAAAATAGAACAGAAACAAGAGAAACTGATCAAATTCATACCTAAAATTTTAAAGACAAAAAAGTAACAAAAATTATGAAACAAGTTACTTTATTTCAGTTATTTTGAACATTGGAGAAGTTTAGCATGTGCCCTTAGATTTACAAACAACACAACGGTGCTAAATTTAGCAGACCCTCAGACCTAACCTATGTTATCGTGTTTATGTGCACTGTTAAGGCTGATTCATGTCGCTGGACGAGAAGGCCACATGGTGAAGATCCTGTCCTATATTAGTTCAAAATATTACAGTCCGGCACCAGCTCTCATCTTTAACGTAAGACACTGGTTTTACTACTTTGAATATTTGTTGTTTTTAGTGAATGCTGAGTTAAGGTCACTAGAAGGCGCTAGAACAGTGGTCTCCAGCTTTGTCTTCAGGGCCCCCAAAGAGTTCACGATTTTCCTTCATCTCTGTGTGTTGCAAATTGGGTTTAAGCCAAATTGTGGACCATCTGGAGGGCCCTGAGGACCAGGTTGGGAACCATTGCCCTAGAAGATTCAAATCTATGTGTGCAGACAAACATGCTGCAATTAGTACTAAAACAAAAAACACTGTTTCTGCTTTCATCTAAATGAAATCTTAATGCCCTAATCCTGTTTTCTTTTTTAATACAGGGTATTCTGGCTATTTTCTACGTAATTCCAGCAGATATCAACACTCTCATTAACTACTTCAGCTTTGCTCAGTGGCTTTTCTATTGTCTCACATCCCTTTCTCTTATCGTCATGCGCTTCACAAGAAAAGAGTTAAAAAGGCCGTTGAAGGTAAGAATTGGATTGTTTTCTCCTTAATCTTGGACACAAGGTCTCCTTCATCCCACTGACAGTGTGATTCAGTTCATGACCTTAATCAGTTCACATCCTTATTTACTTTCAGCAGTTTTTACTTAGCAATAGAGAGTTAAAGCAGAATGGTGGAGAAACAGTTTTATGTAAGATGCTTCCTCACCCATGCCAACATGTAGTAAATAAGCAGGTTGGAGAAGATGTGTGTGTGTAAATATGGATCATTCGTTTACGTGTTCAGCACCACTACACACAAAAAATGAAAATTAGCCAGGTCAGCTACTGTAATTTCCTTGTGTATTTATTATTTTCCCTGAGGTCCACAACATTGTTGTGTATTTACGTACGAAAATAGTTTAATAATTCAATTTTTACATGACCATTTTCCATGTTTTACTGAAATGACAGAATGTTATAGTAATTTATTTAAGTAGTTGTTACCACATTGTTACCACACAATGTTTTTTTTTAGGTTATTTTTTTAACAGTGTAGGTTGAACTGGTGGAGATATGTAACGTGTTGTGTTGTTTTCAAGCCATCACAAAAATAATGAATTCAAAGCAAGCTGTATTTACAGTGTAATTTTCACATATGGACTGCATGGACTAATATGTTTTGAAACTTTAACACCATTTACATACTACATCAAACTCTTATTATTAAATTGACAAAATTCCATTTTCCATGATATGGGCCCTTTAAAGTTTGGAAATCCTTACACATTTTCCATCCATACTGTGACGTATTTCTGAGTGATATGCAGTATAAGCCGGGATCTCTGAGCTAGCTGAGCGCTAGTGCTCAGTGATAGGTGGGGGTGGTGGTAGGAGGAGGTGAAACATGATATTATTGGTTAATATTATTTTTCTCCACCTGCTGGTATATAGTGAAAAAAAGACTTATACTGCTATTGTAAGATGAATTGTGCTTAATATGACCAGAGACATAAGCTAACAAGTCAAAAAGATTCAATGTTTATTTCTGTTTGACTTTAACAGCATCAAGTTTGATATAATAGCAAACCTGACTCAGTAGAAGTGAACTGCAAAAACTGAGAGTGTCTGATGTTTCTGCCTCACAGGTGCCCATTATTATCCCAGTTGTGGTGGTCATAGTGTCCTGTTACTTGGTTTTGGCTCCGATCATCGACAAGCCTGAGTTTGAGTATCTGTACTGCACAGTGTTCATCGTAGGCGGGCTGATTTTTTACTACCCCTTTGTCCACCGCAAGTTCAGCTGGACCCGCAGAGTCATGAGTGAGTAACAGCATTCATTAGTTTCTTCATTCACAGAGACTTTCAGCTGAGACTTCACTGCTAAGATTGATGGAGTGGAAAAGGTACTGAAAATACCTGCTTAAATAAGTAGAGTTACTGTAGTGATAATTCTCTTGAGTCCATGTATAAGTATTAATAAATAATTAAGAGAACATTAATAGATGATTAAAATAAAATGATTAAAAATGACAGTGTCTGGAAAATATTTAAAGATAAGGTACTTTATTAGAAGTAAAAATACAAGTAAAGTACCATTATAAAAAAAACTCAACTACTGCAAACAGGATTTGTCATTCATTACTTTCCAACTCTGGTTATCAAGCAGCAGAATTTATTAAGAGCTTAATTCTGTGTAATATATTTGTGGTCCTAAACAATTTACAGTTGTATGCAATAGTTTGAACTGCTCCAGTCAAACTACTGGGAACAAACTTACATATGGTATTTTCTTCTAATTTTAGTGCGCCAGTTCTATTTATTTGCTGGAAAAATTAAAATCTAAAATCTAAAAGGTGCCTTAACTTCTGCATAGGCTGTATTTTATGTTGTTTTTTTTCCAATATGCTAAATTCAGCAAATAAACAGCAATTGTGCATTAGTATGTGCAGAAGTGTGCTGTCTGTAGATGATCTGTTAATTATTTTCACTTAGAAAAGTCACAAACGTCATTTGACCAGGAGTGCGCAAACTTTTGCATATGACAGTAAATTTAATATGCATGTATTTTTGTAGTTTTAAATGTCTGCTTTGCAAACGGTGAATGACCTGTAGCTCTGCAATTGTGAAAATAGAGATCACAGCATTAGTTGGTATCAGTTTCAGGCTGATACCAGCAGAAAATGCTAGATTAAATATCAGGAGGAAAAGAAGAAACATCCAATCCAACCCTGTCACAGATCCAGCCTGAAGCAGCACACACTCACATTGTATCATGTCATGTATGTCCTAGTTTGAGCAAGCCTATTTTTAGATGTTCATCTTAAAGGGGGCAGTCTAGCCAAAATGAAAAATGTAACTATTGATACATCTACAGTGGTGCTGCTGTAGTCAATAGAGCAAGATTTTCTGATTTAAAGACTAGAAAAGCCCCCTTCTGATGTATCCTGCAGGTGGAAGAAACTTTTGAAAAACAACAGCTGCTTTGGGATGGATTTTTAGGGCTGGACTGTTTTAAAAAGTTTTTTTTCCCCATTAACTGGCGAATGCAGAGGGAAAGCATATAGCCTACATTACAACTATGAAGTATACCTCATTATAATCTTCAAACCATCATTACAATGGAAGGAATGGATTACAAATAAAATAAAGATAGAATCACTGTTGCTTACAATTTTGTTCAATAACCAATGTAGGAGTTAAGCTAGTGCTATCCTTGTTGTATTTATTAGCCCATAAATCAGTGGCTAGTGGTCAGGATTGGTTGACATAACAGGGACTGTCAATGGTTGTATGATGCATTTGTGTGGTGCATGCTGGGCATTGTAGTGAGAGAACACTGAGGGAAAACATGAAACCAATATAAAGTTGTGAATTCTGTCAAACCAATGAGGCCGAGCGGGACATTGCTGCGCTACAGAATACTGCATAATGTAGCAGCATATTAAACTCTAGATTTAGGCCACAATGCTCATTTAAGAAAAGTGATTCAATTAATCATTTTAAAGCGCAGTAATATTTAAATTTGTGTCAGTATTGGCCAATACTCAAGATTTCAATATCAGAATCAGAAAAGAAAAAGTGGTATTATGTTGCCTCTAGATGAAATGTGACAAATAGGAGGTAATATTAAGTAGTAATTACATCCCAATCTGTTACTTGTTAGACCAGCATACTGAAGATTAAATAGAACAATATATGTAACACTGGTTTTAATCTTTCACGTGTTATTCCTAGGACCCATCACCATGCATCTGCAGTTGCTAATGGAAGTTGTCCCACCGGAGTTAGAGGGAAGAACCGCAGACAGTAAGTAGGAAAGCACCGGATATGACAACCTGAAGGCTGATCAGTCAACAAATTGCTATGAAATTCTTAAAGGGAAGCTGACTGCACAGACAGTTATGAAGAACTGCAACTGCCATCTTCCTGTACTGCACTACATCGCCAGAGGGAGCCCTACTGAGCAAAAAGAAGGCCTTGAACATTGGCTAGAAGATGCTCATTACCAAAGTAAGATACAGTGCAAAACAACCTCCCATAACAGTGTTCTTCATTGTGCTGGTGGCCCCAGAAGCCAACAAGGTGGCCCATGGATGAAATCCCCAGTAGTCTCTCTTAAGTTTAAAAGTTTAGGCACTCCTTGTCAAATTACATGTTTTGTTGATTTTCTAAACTCATCCTCTACAGAGAACACACTTCAACACATTTTCATGCACAAAGAATATTTATTTTTCATATCAGGTAATAAAAAAACAAAAAAAGTTATGGCATATTTTATATTTGATTTTTCCCAGTATAATAAATTCAGCAAATCAGAAATCATGAACTGAAATTTGCAGAAAAATGCTACATTTAAACTGTGTTCTCTGCAGAGGATGTGTTACTTATTTTCACTCCAAAAATCAACAAAACATGTCATTTGACCAGGGTGTTCAAACTTTTGCATAAAACTGTACACACACGTCTCTAAAATACAAAACAGATGGTTTTAGAAGTGGCTGTTTAGTGATCAAACTTGAAATTACGAGTGTCCCTCTGGCTAAGTAGTCTACATACATTTCACAAATACAGACTGAAAAAAATGAGTAAAAACATCCTTTATGAGGGTTTTAGATGCAAAAAAATTACTCAGGGATAAATCTCAAATATGTATGAAATCTTTTTAAGTGGTGTGTGTAATAGTCGATGAAGACTTATGTAATTTCATGTAATTTTTGAAATTCCTTGTTAGTAATTTCTATGCTCTTTTTTGTTTCATATGGAGTCTGCACTGCCTCTGTTATATGTCTTATAATGCACATGGACACCATCTGAGTTTATAATGGTTTAATTTGTAAAGTGATGAAGTTCTTGTTTGCATGTGAAGATTGAGTCCAGATAAGGATTTTTTTATGTTTAATGTGCAGCCCCAGTATGTCAGCTGTGTTTAAACCCCACTTTACAAATGTTCAAACAATCTCTGTATGCAGTTGCTTGCTAAAAATATATACTGTATTTTCAGTGGTTTACAGTGATGCACCATCAGCACCTTAAGACAAACATAAATTTTTGTTTCTGTTCTTAGCGTTTTGAAAATGTATGCCTTTTCCTATGTAGTTCTCCGTTAGTAGTGCTGTATCATTGTGGCCTTGGTGCTTTGCTAGATCCAGCAAACATTTACAAACTTGCCTTTGCTCTGTGCCAAAATTGGACTACATTTCATGAATTCTCAGAGTGTATGAAATTTGTCAGAAGCATTTTATCATGTGTGGGACAAATGTTATAGGCCAGAACTCACAAGTACCTCTGAAATGTAATGTTTCTGTGTTGTTTCTGGCATTTTCATTATTCCAAAATTGTGATAATTGTTAAAATACATCTTGTCTCTCTTCTGAAAAATAAAAAAAACAGCCTTAATACCTCTGTTTTCTTTGTTTCCTTGATTGTGGAGGTGTAGAAAAACATTTTTTTACCTTGTAAAGTGTGTCTAGTTTTGCTACTATTGCATATTGTACAAAACATTACATATACATGGGCATTAATACGGAGTTGGTGCCCCCTTCATGGCGTTTACAGCTTCAATTTTTCTGAGAAGGCTTCCACGATACTTTATAGTGAGTCTGTGGGAATTTTGTGCCAGGCAAAAGAGCATTTGTGAGGTCAGGCACTGATGCTGGACAAGAAGGCCTGGCTTGTAATCAACGTTTTAATTCATACTAAAAGCGTTCAGTGGGTCGAGTTCAGGCCTCTGTGCAGGCCACTTGGGTTCCTCCACACCAAAATCGTTAGGACAGTTCTAGCAAGGCAGAAATTACACAAACTGACTTGTTGGAAAGGTGGCATCTTACGACATCACTGAGCTCCTCAGTATGATGCATTCTACTGCCAGTGTTTGTCTACGGAGATTGCTTGGCTATGTGATTGATTTTATACACCTGTTTGCAATGGGTGTGGCAGAAACACCTGAACTTAGTAATTAGGAGGGATGTCCACATACATTTTCCATAGAATGCAAGTCATTATTTTGAGATACTAAGAGAATGTTTTAGAAGAAAAAATGTAGAAAAAAAAAACTGAAACATGGAAGAGGAGAAAAACTCTTTACTGTCTTTTGTCCTGCTGAAAAAGGAATACTTACAGTTCCACAGAATTTTATGATGGAAGCAGAACAAGCTGGAATGAAAACTGAACAGAGAGAAAACCATGATTCACAAGACTTTGCCACCATATACTTCACTCATAAACAAAGCTGGGTTCTAATTTCATTTCTTCATACATAGCTAGCATGGAAAAGTCTTTAAGGAATACTTACAGTTTCACAAGATTTTTTGGTGGAAGCAGAACCTGGTAGCAAACTGGGCTGAAACCTGAACACAAAAAGATTGTATTTTAACATCTTAAAAGACTATCATCAAATACAGCACTCAAACAAAGCTATTATACGATTTCATTTGGGATATCCAAATTATTCTCAGTCATTCCTACATGGAGTGAAATAATCTTTAAAGAAAACTTACAGTTCAATGACATTTTGCGGTTAAAGCAGATGCTCGAAGCAACATGGATTGAAAACACAGAGAAAGACATAATTCAGAGTGAACATACTTCAACATCGTAAGACACTTTATGATTATACACTGCATTCTGAAACAACACTGAGCTGTAGTTTAATTGGCCAAGTGCAATTTATTCACACAAATCATTCATATCTACTTCAGATTCAGTATGAACACATTTAAACATTTACTATAATATATAAAGGTCATGAAAAAGTCATAGCTGAACTAATTTAATTTCTCCATGCATGGTGTAGGAAAAAAAAGTATATATATATATATATATATATATATATATATATATATCTATATATATATATATATATATATATAGTACACTATAATTAATTATAAATAGTTATAGTTAAATAGTAAACTAAATAGTAATAGTTTTATATACATATATAAAATTATAAATGAATATAAATAGTAAAATATAATTGTAGTATAACGGTGCTAGAACAAGGCTAGAACAAATGTTCTCAGGCCAGGTTTCAGTGACCTGTGCTCATATTACCTTGTGTCACTTAATTATGCACAAATAATGAAGTGAAGATTCTGACTTTTCTTGCATTATATTCAGGACTGATTTTTAACATTTTGTATTTAATGTTGACTCCCCTAAATAATAGTGGAAATCACTATTTGTGATTTGTGGACTGTGTTTTAAACTTGTTTAAAACAGTTTAGATTGTTATTGAATTGCTTACCTTTTCAAGATGCATTCAGTTTATAAGAACAAAGAACAAGAAGCCATTACTTCTCTTCATGTTTCGTAGTTTAATTGCTGAATTAAGTAGCGGTTCATTCGAGGTGGTTGCCAGCTAATGAACTTTCACTAGGTAATAAAGCAATCTTTCAATAAGTCGTAGTGCAGTCTGCCATAGCAAACCTTGCCTTCTCAACACATGGCCTTTCAGCTTCAGTTTACATGACCATTGTTTAATTCTTTGTCTTTTGCAGTGTTCCAGACAGCATCTCGCCAACATCAGCTCCCCTCTGAATTACAGAAAGCTCCCCCTCTTAGGCTGATGATGCATTCCTCCACTGAATTTTGTGCTCTCCAGAGTTGCCCGAAAATTTTCAAGAGTATTTTGTAATGAAGCAAGTCTGCTAGTCATTGTAGCTGAATTTTTCCAATAAAAGAAAACCAAGTGAAGATGTGTATCTCTACCTTCATTTATTCATAGATTCAATATTTATTTTGCTTCTTCTGTCCCTCATCTCCAAGCAGTGCTCTGGAAGCGTTTCAGTGTCCAGCAGCCCTTACAGAGTGCAGCATAGACAGACATGAGGTTCTTCCACTCCGAGGTGTTCCGAATGTTTCTACACTGCGTGGTGATACGGGGAAGATTGAAGATTGTGAGGATAGTCCAAGGCCACAATAGACTGTTTCCTTCAAGAGCCACAGCAGATTAGTGTTGCACAAGATCAGGATGGCAAAGCTCAGTTTCAAGGTATTTTATTTAATTGTATTTTTCAACAGCTGGGATGGGCTCCAGCACCCCACCGCGACCCAGAAGGATAAGCAGTTTAGATGATATATGTATGTATTTATGTATTTTTCATGTCAACTATTCTGCAGTCCCTTTATATTTTTGCACACTGTTTTCACTGCGATACCTTGACACTTATCAATTATTCTGTAAAAGATGCATTGCGTTGTTGTTCATACATTGAGTGTGTACAGTGCAGGACTGCCTTGTGTAGGACTGTTGAAATTCATATTTCCTCTTCTTGTTTAAGAAGACGTTTATCAGTTTAAGATAAGTCTAATTTTGCTGAGATTTGTTGATGAGGAGTTGCAAACTCTACCTTCTCACCCATACGGCCTTCTAGATTCACCTCACATTATCATTTTCTTTTTCTTTTGCAGTGTTTCCTGCAGGATCTTCCCAACCTCTGTCCCTCTCCTCTGGATTACAGAAACCATCCACCATTCAGGCTGATTATGCATCTTTCAGTCCCCGAGCATCTTCCAGACATTTCAGCTGAGATCTTCTTTATGCATTTCCAATAAAAGTAGGTTATCACATTAGCTTTATGTGGAGCGTTTCCGAGCTTTAGAGGAGTTGAGTATGTTAGGTGTTACTAAAAATGCAAAGGAGTCACACAACAGGACAGATATTTCACTAGTGGTCCATATAAAGACTAAAGCTAGTTCAAAACAGCTTGTAGAAGTGGCACACTCCAGCTCAGAGGACAAGGCTGAAGTTTCTTTTTTGCATGTTCTTATTCAAATTTTCGATTCCACCTTAAAATGTATTTATAATTTTTTGCTTGTAGATGGCACCAATTAGTCGGTTTGTCTGTGTATTCACTACAAAACTGCACTGAGCAGGCATCTTATGCCACTTCCACTAATTGGATTTTATTGTAGTGACAAATTGGCAAACACGTTTCATTTTTTTACAGTGCCCTGTTAAAACAGTGCCCTGTCAAAACTAATGTAATTAGTATTAATCATTGTATTAATTTTACATGCATTAGATTTTATTAAAAAATGTGTGTGTGTGTGTTTTTATTCTTTTTTTCTTGCTTCTTACTTTCCCAGGTGCTGCCTCACCATTTTAAGTAAGTGTAATAATGTCCACCCTGTGATGCCCAGGTCTGGTCCACACCCGTGATGTCCATTCTGTCATGTTCAAGTTTTTGGAACATAAACAAATAATTCCTGTAAATAATCAAAATAATTATAAAACTGAATTATTATAGACTAACGTGCAGCACAGCAGAGCTGTTGAACGAGTCCCAAACCACACACTTCTGTACTTCACCTGCTACACTAATGAGTGCACTTCTAACGGTATATGCACTGTTTGGGACAGGGTGCCAAAACGCAGCAGGAAATCTCAGCCATTTAGATTTCAGCTTTCATTTGTTATCACTACAGAAACAAATGAAATCAAATCAAGGCAATACACTCAAATATGTCAATTAACAGTTTAATAATGAAATTCAAAAAAGTCATTTAGAATAAAAACACCTTTGCTAGATCTGTTATGGCTTTGTAATCTCGTTACAAACCGCCACAGCGCTGCTGAATGAACTTTATGCCTACCAAAACGGCGGCAGCACAACTGTGACGTCTGAATACTGTCAGTTAGGAAAGGGAATGAACAAGTGAACACCAGCCAGTTCTAAATACAAGAGATACTTTTATTGGTCAGATATGCTACTCTTCTACTTCCAAAATACAAACAATAGGGATATTCACAGGCTGTTTCAATGAGATGTCCAATCCTTATGTGGTTATGTACTGGAATCCTTCTAAATATCTGTTAACCAATAAAATGAAGGAAGTGAAAATTACAAAATTATACACAGATGCTATCCAGTCAGCCAGTTTCTTGTTAAATTTAGAATGGATATCAATGTCAACTGTTCTTTCTGTGATGTAAAGAAACTCTTCTACACCTGTTCTGGAACTGTTCCCACACAAGAAAGCTCTGGAAGGATGTATGTAGATTTATCATGGATTGTATTGACCCTGACTTTAATCTCTGCCTGGTTAATGCGTTGTTTGGCTTCAGTCATTAAAAAAATAATAAAGTTAAAGAATATTATTAATTTGATCATTCTTTTGGCAAGATTTCATATTCATAAATGTAAGTTTACTTATTCCAAACCAGATTATGTCATATTTGAAATAGAAGCTAAACAATACATAATCTCTCTTACCATCTCCAAAAACAAAGAAGCTGTCAAAACTATGAGTATATGCACATTACGTTTTTACTGTAAAAACATGAGCTCTATCCCCTGACTCTTTCTTATTTTTTATTGTTTAAACTTTATTGTTTCAAATTGTTACAATATTACATTTTTATGTTTATGCACTTTAACTATTTTTTATTCTACTGTATACTGCATTTGTATGAACATAATACATTCGTATATGCAGGTAACAGTGTTGTTGTATATGCTGAGCAGTGGTTCACTGTTACCTGATCCTTTAGTATATGCCAGTACTGAATACCTGTATATATATAAAGGGAATAAGGAAATGCAGAAGTGAAGATGCAGAGTGTGATCTTAAAATAGGCCACGTTCAGATTCAGTGAGTACAGCAGGTGGCAGTAATGCGCTTTTCTCTGGTTTGGGAGCCACTAAATCAACTGAAGAAGCAGGAGCAGAGTGACAGCGGTCAGACTGCCTCTATTCATTTCACTCTAACGAGTATCAGGGTTGCTGGTCCTTCCCCGGGGCTCTAACGAGCGCTGGGCTGGAGTGAAGATGAACACAGCTCTGAGGCGCTGGAAGGAGGCGGCGACTGTCATTCTTGCTGCAGGAACAAGGCGCAGTCCGGTCACTGAGCCGCCGCTGAGAAGCGCGGACAGAGTCACTTTCCCTCACAAGACCGCGTTCGACTACGAGGTGCTGCTGCTGCAACGGAGCGGAAAAAGCGGCTTCATGCCCAACGCGTACGTGTTCCCGGGCGGCCTGGCGGAGGCGTCCGACTTCTCCGGCGAGTGGATGGATCTGTTCAAGTTTTTCCGAAAACTGCCGAACTTCGGCGTCGGGGTGGTGAAACAGCCGCTCGAGGCGAGGCCGCCCATGTTCGTCACAGACCGAGCCCGGCTCGGCTCCCCCGTGCCGGGGGACGTCGCTTTCAGAATCTGCGCCGTGAGGGAGACCTTCGAGGAGGCCGGGGTGCTGCTGGTTGTGCCCACTAAAGAGGCGGAGCGCTTGGTGACGAACGCTGAAGAGGCTCGGTTAGTTCCCGCAGCCGTGACTGAGCGGTGGGACAGAAGCGTGATCGCTGAATGGAGGTCTTTGGTCATTCAGAACTCCTCGAATTTCATCCGCATGTGTAGAGAGCTGGACTGCCTGCCTAACATCTGGGCCATGCACGAGTGGGGAAACTGGCTGACTCCCACTGGAGTCTACGGCAAGCAGAGAAGGTACGATACTGCCTTCTACATGTGCTGCCTGGAGGAGATCCCGGACACAGTCCACGACCAGAAGGAAATAGTGCATTTTAAGGTGACCAGTTTGTCTTTGTGGCCGGTAGTTAGCAGTCCTTCAGGCCTAGTGGTGGCTGGTCTTCATCGTGGTGGAGGGAGAGAGGGAGCTTCTGCTTTAGTAATTCTTCATTACTTACAGGGAAATCCACTTATATTTCAAAATTTCTACAGAATTTTATGGTTAAGATACAAACATTCAGAGTAGTTTGATGTAAAATGCTTCGTTCTAGAGAAACCTTTCTAGACCACAGTAAAGTTGGCTTGTGGTCAGCGAGTCAGATTTCTACCTGTGTTGTTCTATCTTGTCGAAATGTCCTGCCGGAGCAGGATAGGTGGGATATTTTGTTATCCTAAATCCCCCTTTTAGAAAATTCTACCAGCACTAAAAGAATAATCAGGATATTCTGATAGTCTAATTCACCTCCTTAGGGTTTAAGTAGTAATACTAAACTGAGTTTGTACTTAATAAATAATATAAACATGATAAACTGTTTGGCACAAAGTTCATACGCTACACTGATGATGCTCGGTAGGACCGCAAACAAACTGAGAATTGTGGGAACACCCGGTTATAACTCTGTAATACAGTAACGTACACCTGTAAGCAATTCACTTGTTTTAGGTATTACCTGCGAGTATAGTTGTGAAAATGTTCATAGATCAGGTGAGTTCATATGAGCCTGCTTTCATCTCTTTATTACTTAACCAATATTTGGCCAACTAACTGAAATACCCTGTTTTACACATGATAATGCTATAAACCAGAATAAATCAAATACAACAAACTCTGTGAAAATGTCATCTCACAGAAAGAAGGGCCTGGGTTCAGTTCCCCAGCTGGGCGTGATCTCCCTGTGTCTGCTTGGGTTTCCTCCCCCCCAGTCCAAAGACATGCAGTCAGGCAAATTGGCACCAGCAAAATTTTACAAATCAGCCTGGTTTCATTCATCTGAGTGGTAAACTTTTGAAGTCAGCTTTTAAAAATAAATCTCTCACTCTGCATTACAGAGTTATGTGGATGTTAGGCTTCTGCAACCCTGCACCCAGGAAGATAAGTGGCTTAGAAAATATGTGCATGTGTGTAAGAAGCTGGTAATTAATTGTAGCTCCAAATTCTAATTGAACTAATATTAAAGGCCACAGCACTCTGACACAGCGTTCTCCAACACAAACATACACAGACGTTGGGTTGGTGTTCCATACCTTTGTGTGATCGCTGGAACAGGGGTGCCTGAGAGTTTTGTCTTGGGGAGCCAAAGTGTCTTTAGCCAGCATTATGACATTATTTTATCAGCTCCACGTACTATATAAGTGCACTTTGTAGTTCTACAGCAGTGCTGCCTCAGTGTCACTGCTGGACTGAGAATAGTCCACCAACCAAAAATGGTCCTGTGACCACTGATGAAGGACTAGAGGATGACCAGCATGAACTGTGCAGCAGCAAATGAGCTATCGTCTCTGACTTTACATCTACAAGGTGGACTGACAAGGTAGGAGTGTCTAATAGAGTGGACAGTGAGTGGACACAGTGTTTAAAAACTCCAGCAGCACTGCTGTGTCTGATCCACTCATACCAGCACAACACACACTAACACACCACCACCATGTCAGTGTTACTGCAGTGCTGAGAAGGATCCACCACCCAAATAATACCTGCTCTGTGAGGGTCCATGGGGGTTCTGACCACTGAAGAACAGGGTAAAAGGGGGCTAACAAAGTATGCAGAGAAACAGATGGACTACAGTCTGTAACTGTAGAACTACAAAGTGCACCTATATAGTAAGTGGAGCTGATAAAATGGACAGTGAGCGTAGAAACAAGGAGGTGGTCATAATGTTATGCCTGATTGGTGTATATTTGTAAGCCTATTCCCAATTTAGTCCCAATTTCTGCACTTTATAATTGTTTTTGTATCAACATCGACAGATATGTACATGAAAAATATGATATGGGTATCGTCCCACAATTCTCATACGGGTGTAAACCTTTTATCAAGTACTCCACAGTTTGTGATTAATGCTTTACTATTTCACCATGTGCCTACAGTGGTCCAGTCCATCGGAAATACTTTGCAGCTACCGGGATAGAGAGGTCTGGATAGCACCACCCCAGTTCTATGATCTTGGACGAATGTGTCATTTCCCTTTACTGAGTGATCTTCACGGCTTTGCCAGACAGAGATCATTGGAGGGCTGTGAGCAGTGGTTACCTGTTCGCCTGCTGGCTACTGACTGCTACATATCTCTCTTACCAGGTATTGATTAGGGACTAAAAAAAAGGTTTTCCTTGTCAGAATCTTCCATCAGAATGTTCACTACCTCTGCATTTACTGATAACATCTGATCTAATTCTCCACTGAGTCTAGGACTAAAACAGTAGATTCCAAATATCGAAGCAAAAAACAAAATCAGCTGTAACACTTAAATATGAATAGAATGGGCTTTAATTGTGATCTAACATGGGTGTGTGGGAGGGGTTCAGGGTTATGCCCATGGTCTTAAGACCTAGTAAGACTGGCAGTTTGTACACACCCCTTGTAAGCTCAAAGCAGTAGTTGTATCTGTTTTCTTATTAATTGTAAATTCCACTCACTCCAAATATCTAGTTTTTTTTAAAACACACAGCTGTATAGAGGCTGGCAGTATAACACAATTTATTGTAATCATGGTAAATTAGGTCACATTATTTTTCTGAAAATAATTCAGACATTGCGTTACTTAAAGAACACTTATTAACTGCCTGTTTCATTACAACGCATAAGTAGCATAAGTAGTCCTTTTAATTGGATTTAGTGCAGCGCAAATCGTATTCAGCATTTTTGAAATAATTTTTTTACGTGACAGATTACTGCAACTGCTGGGACCACAATAATTCTGTGGCTTTTCACTTAGAAAAGAACAGAAAACGTGTTTACTCTAAACACGCTTAAAATAGAAATTAACTGGAAGCTTCTGAATTTCGTCAATAAAGGTTTCACTTTCATGAGTTCTTCACTTAGGTATAAAGCTATAAATCTACACCAATGAGCCAAAACATTATGACTATTCTAATGTGCTCTTGGTCCTTCATGTGCTGCCAAAACAGCTCCAACTTGCAAAGGCATGGACTCTACAAGACCTCTGAAGGTCCCCTGTGGAATCTGGCACCAAGCCATTGCAGCATATCCTTCAAGTCCTATAAATTGCGAGTTGGAGCCACCGTGGTGGCACGTGTCCAACTGACGTCCATATAAATGCTCGGACCCAGTGTTTCCCAGCAGAACGTTGCACAGAGCTTCACGCTCCCTCAACCAGCTTATCTTCTTCTCCCAGTGCATCCCAGTGCTATCACTTCCCCAGTTAAATGGCACACATAGGACCAGGTGATGTTTTTTGCATTGTTCCAAGGTCCAGTTCTGACACTCGTGTGCCCACTGTAGGTGCTGTCGTGGACACCCTGACTGGTCTGCGGCTACGCAGTACCATGCGCAGCGGGGTGTTGTGACATTCCTCATGTAACCATCATTAAACATTTATGTAGTCTGTGCCACAGCAGTGCTTCTGTTGGTTTTCATTGACTTTGTGCATCAATGAACCTTGGTAATCCATCACCCTGCTGTCAGTTTGTGGATTTTCCCACTTTGGACCATTTTCAATAGGTATTCCGCCCTGCTGACCAGGAGCACACCACAAGCCTAGCCGTTCCTGAGATACTCCGACCCAGTTTTCTGCCCATAATGTTTTAGCCCTTGTTGCTCAGGTCTTCACACCTGGGATATGTTTACCATATAATATTTCCCAGACCTCGACATACGCAGCTTTTATGAGAATCAGCGTTATTTACTTCATCTGTCATAATGTTTTGGCTAATCAGTATCTATATTTGTTTTTTCAGAGGTGGGACTAGTTTTCTAGCAGGAAAAATGTGTGTTAATATGTTACCAGTGTAGCTGCATGTGTGGAGTTTTTGCAAGCCTTAAAGTGATAATGCATGGATACCAGTGAGTATCATATTCTGTTATAAGCAAGGTTTTCAAGGACAAGGAAACAAAATTATTGTCTTTGGTAACTGAGTGTGCAGTACAGTGCCAGCAGATAGAAATTAGGTTGAGAAAATTTATATTTCTTTAAACAATATTAATCTAATGACTTTTTTTCCTCCTGTCTTTCAATGTGCAGGTGACAGCCTGTACCCTGAGAATCCAGACTACTCAGGGAAGATGAACAGCACTGTGCCAGCAGAGAAATGCCTAGAAGAACTGCAGAGAGAGAGTGTAAACCTGCATCGTATTGTGAACCATGATCAATACACAGCCTCTGTACATATTAACATCACACCCAAGTACAAACACCTGCCTCCTCTCGCCAGCTCAGCACACGAAAGCTCCTCAAAGCATGACAGCAAGCTTTAAACTTGTAATGTAGCAGAATTAGAACTTCAGACTAATGAATCAGTCTCTGTGGCAGAACACACATGAACTGCTTCATGTAAACCTGACAGCATTATGAAAATGTGTATTACACCACTGTAAAAATTGGTGTTTAACAAAACAGGATTTTAAATTTCCATTTTTGTCCTTTTTTTTTTTTTAAACCTTTTTGCACAAGTTAAAAACACCCTTTGCGTTGTGTTGAAACTGCATGATGAACAAACCAACGGAAAGGTTCCAAAATCTTATGACCAACTTCAATTCAACTTTTTGTTCTGACACTATTGACGCTTATAAATAAACTGGGGGGAAAAAAAACTCTACATACCGCACATAGACAGCAGGCTTCGTTAAGACAGGTAAACATATTTAAGAACCTCCATTAAAGGGGCACTGATTTTTCATTGTTATTCAGAGGGGTTTGATGTGAAATGGTGCATTGTAGAGATTTCTTTACAAGGGTGGCGACAGGTAGCAGGTGTGACGATGAACACAAGTATAGCCATTTCATTTATGCTCCAAAACAACAAGAGAACCTAAATGTTTTATTGAGTTTTTATATGCAATTTGATAATGGTAAAATAGCGTTACATCTGGAAACTCAAATTTTCCTGCATACCAGAGAGCACTGTGAGTAACTATATATTCTTGATTTAATTCCGCTGAAATTTTTAAAAATGGTGGGAGTTTTGTTGCGTCTCTGTGAAGAAAATTGCTGAAAGATTTTCTTTTTAATTTTTTATACCATCATGCTGCATGACTTTAGCAGCCATATGCTAAGGGAGTTGTGGCTTTCTGTTGCTTGATGCTGCTAGTCATATGATTGTCATATGATTTTTGTAAAAGCACATTGGGTGGGGGGGGGTGAGACTTTTAAACGATAATTTATGATGTTAAACTATTTTGATGAGTTTATGCTGTGAAAATATATTAGTAATAAAATTACATATTTAAACTGACGTGTCCTTTGGCCCCAAGCTGATGGCGATTTCACCAACTAATTTGCAAGCAGCATGTTTCAGGCTGGTGCCTGTGGTGTCTCTGAAAGGTCAATCAATACTTTAATTGACCTATTAAAAGGTTATAAGTAGAGACGGCATATCAGTATCAGCTGATATAAATGCCGGATCAGATATTGGAGGAAAAAAGAATGAATCTGATCCAGTCCTGTAAAAAATCTAGCCTGAAATAGCACACACTCAGTGTGACGTTAGCTGTGTATTTCTTCTGTGGGGTGGTACACTTTCTCCCTTTTTGATATAAACTGGGTGGTCTTTATCTTAGGCTTAAGCCTTACCAATCACAAGGCTGATTGCTTTATTAAATCAGTTTAACCCCCCTGTTCTGCAGAAACTCAGCACAGGAAACACAGCAACCAAGAGAAAGCTAACCTAGCACATAGAACTGAACATTATCAAGCTCATCCACCATCTATTCATTCAGGCCATATTTATGTAAGATGTGAAAAACAACAAAACATGTTGGAAAGAATGGTATTTTACCTGACCTGTGTTCAGCAAGTAGCACGTTTCATGAGGAGCATATTTTGTTGACTTGATCAAGCTGCATGCTATTGGCTATAGCATGTCCCTGATATATAAGCAAATAGCCAAATTTAACCACCTTTATCTTCAGCAAAAACACACCATCAAATTTTCATCTTTCTATTTGCAAATCACAAAGAAATAAGAAAAAACAAAAGTAAGCTTCAGACACAAAGGGTGTGAATCTTTTCTGTTTAATCAGACAAACAACCCGACCAAAGATAAACTACAAAATGACTTCTTGCTGGGTGTGCACGTTGCTATATTTCTGTGGAGACAGTAGCATGAAATTCTTAACCACCATCACATTTTAAATAAACCTCAACAGAAAACATTCAGAAAAAAGCCACTCCTCTAGACATCTAATGAACTCCTCACTCTACAATTCCAATGAAAACCATAACTTAAATGACAAAAGAAAACAAAACAAAACAAAATTAGCTTTTTATTTCAATTTGAAGGCTGCTTTATAGAATTACGTCCTTAATTTGTACAGGCTTATGTTTGGTCATGGTGGCAAGTTCTACATGGCTCCACGTGTTAGGATTTAAATTTCACATTGTGAAACAGAACTTGGAAGTAGAAAAGGCAAAAACTGTACAAATTTTTTACTATTAAATACAATCACTCTGTACCAATAATGACAAACATCCCACAGGTAATTTTTTCAGAGTACATTTAAACTCACAAACAGCAGCTTAAAATCTAAATAGAAAATGCCAAAAAATTTCAACATCAAACCCAATTAGTCCGTAATCATTTTTTGCTTGCAATCTACTGTTGGAAAAAAGAAAGTCTAATAAAAAAATGGGCGTGCCAAATTTTGCAGAAGGAGATCATATAAGAAAATCAAATGTAGCTCTCATTCAGGGCACAAATCAAGAGGGCAAACACTAATTAAATGGTGGGGTTTAGAGGGCACTTCTCAAACGAGAGATACACTAAAGGCAGTGCTGGGAGAGAGAGAGCTGTGGTCAGACTATGACAAGAGCCAATAACAGAGCTGGAAAAGTTGAAAAAGTTACTTTGGATGCTTTCTGCCAACCAAACAGTTCCCACACTGTTGTCACAAAAATGGCTAAATCACTAAACAGCTTAAATTTGCTTTCATAGGCACGAGTACTTAGACTGAGCTAAGACAGAGTGGATTTGTAAAGTCAGTATAAAGCCATGATACCAGAATCCATCTAGAAAGAAAAGAAAAAGGAAAAGGCTCACTTTCAAACGTGGTCTCAACACATTGAGACGTGTACCAATCACCAATGATTAAAACGGGACCACAGTGGAAGCAAACGTCATGAAAAACAAAAATACAGAAAGTGTGACCAACAGCAACATGCAAAACTTTTGGCACCATTTTATTCATTTTATAATTTTGATTTTAAACAGAACTGAATCACATTTTGCTGAGGATGTCAGTGCAGTTACAAAAAACATGCATACTTTAATATATTAACTAACTGTGACAAACTCAATTCTGCTCAATTTATGCATTTTTATTTCAGACTAATCCTGATTTTCACACAATAAGAAAATGAAAAACATTATGTGCCTGTGGTGGCTCGACACAATACATTGGAAAAGAAAAAAAAAAGGCAATTCAAGTGTCTATTGTAATGTCACTCTGTTAATAGGAACTCCCAAAATTACATCATGCCAACTAACCTAGCACAAAAATTACAAGGTTATCCTCAGTTTCAGCAAAATGTGACTGCAAAACATCCTAAAAAAAGGTTTAGAACTAACAAGTGAGAGAAAGAGGAAAAAACACACCCACACTCACACACAAAGTGATTCTATAAATTGATTGGCTGCTTTCAGAAGAAAACAAATGAGTAAAACTGAGTGCACTAGGAAGACTGCATTAAAATGACAAAAAATAAAATTTGCTAAAGAAGAAAAGAAAAAAAACTTAACTGGGTAACGAAACGATGAAAATTAAAAGCTTTTTGCACAATCTAGTGGTTATGTTTGCAAGTTCTAGAAAAATAGACTCTTTTTGCTCAGAACAATATTCATGAAACTTTTTACATTTTAGTTATAACAGCAGTCTTTCTAGCGCCCTCTATTGGCAGCACAAACAGAAATGAACACACGAAAACAAACAAAAGTAAATCACTAAGCGTCAAAAGTTAACACAAAAAAAGGTCAAGGGTGAAAATTTCAAGCGTCAGAGAAGCGAAGAGGACAACGGACTGGACGATGAACTTTTGACGTCACATCGACATGCTAGGGAAACGATGAACAAACGGGCACGAAGATATCTAGAATAAAACAACAAAAAACAAATAACGAACAACAAAACTAGGTTAAAGCCACAACAGAAAAAAAGGAGAGGGGAAGAAACAGAAAATCATGTGAAATGATTATCTTTGCATGGGGGGAGGGAAAGGGGAGGGGGTCACAGGTACATATATTCACCTACTTCAGACAACATTCAATGCAACACAGGGGAACAAGAAGGAAGGAAAGTGGGAAGAAGGAGACACAAGCAACATGCCAAAAAGGAGTTAAGGGGAGAATTTACATCCAACAACACCAAGAGACGACAAAGACTGCCTACCACAGCTAAAATAACAACAGTGTTTATTTCAGTAGGTAGTTGGGGATTTCAGTATACTTCTGAAAATAAGATAGGGTGAAAAAGAAATTGCCATCAGCAATATTTAAACGTAAGCTGATACGTTTCAGCTCAGTGCTCTTCACATTTTAAATGGTGACGAAAAAGGTCATTTCAGACAAAATTCTTTTTGTGCTTTTAAGATCCGCTAGACCTCTTGCAATGATTTCAGTTTGTGCTTAATCTCTAAATCGTGAGGGATAATGCAATATATAAATGTAAAGGCAGCTTATTTGTAGTTGTCCATACAGATTTCCATAATGGGCAAAACCAGTGGAGTTACATTTCCTACCTGAAGGTGAAAAAGTGGATACAATAATAATAATAATAATAATAATAAAATAATGGAAACAGAGCTACAGAGTGTATATTCAAGTTGCAGAATATTAAGACGAAATGATCCACAAGCAGCTTGTATAGGACTGTTTGGCACATCAGTGGAATTATTCTGCCTTACTGTCAATATGCAGCTGCTCTCTGTAAGGTGCCTAACGTAGCAGATCTACATAAACAGAACCCTCCTGATAGAAATGAATGTTACAACAAAAAATGATTTCTCTAACAGGTACATACCAGTAACAAGTACTGGGCAGAGTCGACAAGTTTCAAAGGATCTTTGGATTCAGAAAAATCAGCACTGTGCTAGAACACCCCTTATGGTTTCTTCTAGTTTCTTTGATTACCATTTGTATGAATGTGTATTGGTTTCACACAGGCACAAATCAGGGACTGATTCCCAGGACCAGAATCTAACACTGAAAGAGGGCTCCAAGACCAGGGTTCAGCACTAAAGCTATTGCAGTTCATGTAAAAGACACAATACCACCATATGAAAACTAAATTCACCAGATTTTACAGTTTTTAAGAATATGATCATTTTCCCAGGAGTTATACTGTGAACCAAAGTGTTAGTCAATATTCAATAATACTCATTATCTTAGTAAAGATTTTGGTAGGACCTACACAATAACTACACAAATCCTCACATAGACATCATACAGTAAGGGGATCATGTGGTAATACCAACTGTAATTTATAAAGTTAGCTTAAAATACATAAAGAAATGTGAAAAGCATCATGTTACCTTTTACATCTTTGAATTTCTAAGCAAGCTTTTTTGAAGCCCCTTTTTAAGTAGGAACGGGGTGGGGGGGGGTACAATTGGCAGCATATGAAGTCAGTCTTCATATGACAAGGCTTTGTCAAGCTTTTCTGCAGCTATCAGTTCATGAATAGAAATACTGAGGAAAAAAGGTAACATTCTGCTCTCCACATTTGTACCTTAATTGAAATTGCTTGCATATACACACAGTAAACGTTGACTTCACTGTTCCAGTATTTTGGAGGGCACTGTATGTGACGTGGTTACCATAAGTGAATCAACCAAGTCCATTAATTGCAATGACCGCATTTTAAGAAATATTCCTGCTTTACAGAAACGCGTCACAACTGTCAGACTACAGAAACACGCTTTCTTGTCATTCTGTATAGGAGTAAACATAAGTTCTGGAGACAGAGTGTTTCCAAGGTACAATAACTTAAACTTAACACTGGAACAGCTTCAGAGACATCAGCACCCCAGGGACAACACATGAAGAGTTCCATACAATTTTTGAGTGTTGGACAAAGACAAATATACAACACTTAGCTAAAAAGGGCCACATGCCTGTTGCTTTAACAATCTGTGAATGTATTCACAAAACTTCACATCAGGATTCTACAAAATACTGTTGAATCTTTTGAGTGATTATTAAACAATCGTCTTTTTTAATTCAGAGAAATAATTTACGCAATATTATAAAACCTCTATAAAAATAGAAAAGGCTTAATAGCTAAGTAATATACACGATCTGGACAATGGTTTTTCTCTTCCATTCCCATAAAAACAATTTAAGACCCTGTAGGCCTCAAGTATGCACTGATTAAACTTTCCTCATTATGATAAACATTTACTGATCAGTAGCAATCAATCATGAATACAATTTCAGAGTGTACAGAGTAACTCAGTCATGCTAAACTAGATGATCTTTAGGGGTTCGGTGTTAGAATTAGTAAACCCACACAGAGAGGCAAAGCAGACTACTTTTAGAGAGGAAGAAAATAACAAAAGGGGGTAGAAATACAACAACTAATTGCGCAGTTATTTGTACAACAAATTGGTAAAATTTAGTGGAGTGGAAGAAACAAAAAAAGTGAAACCGAACAGCGTAAGGCCGTTTTTCCTTGTAAGCACTATCATTTGTAACTTCAGACACACGCAGGATGCAATTATTGCTGAAAGCATACAACATCCACTTGCACCAAGGTGGAAGATTGTTCTAAACAACCACCATCAAGTTTAAGATTAAACATGTCCAGTAGGCAACTTGAATGAATGTCTGTCTAAATGTTATTTATAATACTTTGAGTCTGAATATCATCTCCGTGGCACAAGTGATACCAGCAGTGAACAGTAATTCATTAAAATGCCTTTGGGCAAAATAAAGTGGCTTGAATCATCCTTGAGGCTACATGAATGGGGCTGACCAGGGGTGTATGTCTGTGTAATGCAATGCATACAAATAGTATTGATCTGTCCAGCCCATCATAAGTGGTATATATTAGTGAGACTCTTCATACTCCAGCTATATATGCTGTACTGGGTTCATTATAAGTTAATTTCATCAGACAAAAGTGAGGCAATCCTGAGAGTAAGCATGACATTCTTTTGCACCTATAGCTGAGTCAATCAACGACTTGTGCTGAACAACAAACAGTAGACTGTGCCAAAAAAATACGAAAAATTATTGAAAAGTATACCAATCCAAAAGATGATGCTGAATTCTGCTTGTTTTTTTCCTTTTTGGTAGGTGAAAAATAAATACATGAATGAAAACATCTAATGAAATATAGATCACTGTTAGCTGAGTCCTCCAGGAAAAATAAAACACAACCAAAAAAACAAAACAAAACAAAAGAAAAAAAAAACAAAACAGACTGTACTTTAACATCACCCCATTATGAAAAATTAGTGGTATTCAAAATAAATAAATAAATTAGTGAAATAAATAAACAAATAATAAAAAAGGCATCTATGAAAACAGAATCTAATGGAGAGCAGCCCGACCTTTCAGATGCTCTAAATCATTGTGGTGACAGAACGATTATCTTTTGCAATCTATGCAGCAGACCTCCAAATTCTATTTAAAAGGCAGCTTAGTAGGAGGCATCAGTTTGACTGTCCAAATATACTGTTAGAGTCTATAGTGTAAACACAAGACAAAACTCTACAGGGGCATGATCAAGATGGAGATAATGACTGTGGAACTGAGAGCAGTCAACGACTGCCTTTCATTGTGCAACATCCTTTGATGCAAGATTTGTACACAGCAAACGTGTAATATGGCACCAAAAACTGCTTAACAAACAAACAAAAAGATATTAAAAAAACCTGAAACCTAACAATTGAAAAGAATCCATTTTCTCAGCTGAACAACCTCACGGTTTTATCATTTTGCATGTTGCTTTTCCTTTTCTTGTTGATGGTTATTAAGAAAGAAGATATGTAGGAAAGGCAAGAGGAGTGAAGGAATAGTAGGAGAGGGTTAAGGGTGGGGTAGGCTTTAACTTTCCAATATCACACTCCACTTACCAGAAACACATTTTCAAACCAAGTCCATTTTAGAGTAAAAGCACTCAGTATGGCTTGCTGTCGTTTTTGGATCGTTTCAGTTGAACCTTCAGTCGCTTCATTCCGATCTGAAAACCGTTCATTGACTGAATGGCTGCCTGGGACGAAACAGGATTGTCGTAACTCACAAAGCCTGCAAACAAACAAAAACAAAGAAATCCATCAGCAACAATAATTACTTAGAGCTACAATACTGATATTGGTTCCATTCATCATATTTAACTAATAATTTGCAGGAGTAAATGCAACACTAAAATCAAAATTGGTGCAACTGATAGTCTGACCAATTATCTTTCCAGAGAAACAATGATAAGATTTAAGGTTGCTATTGGTGGATTCATCTTCTAGGTTGAGATAAATGTTCAGCAATAGTTCAGCTTAGAGCAAATTAATACTAGTGTTTACAGACTATACAGACTGAATGAACCTTTGAGATGTCATTTTTTGCTTTACATGCCAATAGCCATGATTTTAGGTCACAATAGCCTCAGTAAGTTCAATTCAAGAGTAATAATTTTATCATCTTACCAAAACACTTGCTGAGGTTGGTCTGTTTGTCTATGAACACCTTGGCTGAGATGACATTGCCAAAAGGCATGAACATCTGAAGCAGATCCTGGTCACCAAACTCCTGTGGCAGGTGATAAATGAACAGATTTGCACCCTCTGGGCCTAGAGAGGAGAGGGGGAACAAAGAAGAGAGAACAAAAGATTTCTATTACGAAACACTACTATGCAAAAAACACACACATTCAGTCTGCTAACACAGTCATTGATTTAACTTCTGTTTTACATATATGTGGAGCAGACCCTTAGAAGCTACCAGAATTATTGTGTGTACATGTTAAACATGTACAGGGCCAGACTAGCATCATCACGCAAGACTACTTTTAAAAACACAGTGAATATACATGTGAATGAGCTAGGTTTATACATTTATTTTCAAGAATTGTGATTGTTTAGGAGTTCATTTACAGTTACTTTATATATCAGAAGAATTTGTGTGACTGCATTTCATACCGGAGCAAAGAATAATCTGTGTGCATTTCTGGAGAAATGTTTGAGGATAGTGTTTGCAGTTTCGTAACCCAGCAATAAATACTGTTTAAACTGTCAAGTCTACAAGAAAGCCCAAACACATCCGTTTTGGATTATTAGGGCTTGATTTTCATGCTTTAGGAAGTCGACTGCTTACGTCTGCAAACATCCAGAAGAGAGTTTTCGTAAGCTTTCAATAACACCACGCTCGAGTTTAATGTCTTCTATTATCCACCTTTCACACATATACAATGGATGCTTTATGACTAATTGTGACATCTGAGCATTCGTAAAAGTTGAATGAATATCGGGTTAACCCATTGTGGGGGGGAAAAGAGGGGGGGGCTAGCAAAAACGAATTTCAGCTGAAATTAATATAGAACTGTGGCTTACCTTTGGTAAAAACATTGGTGTTGCACATAACGTCATGCAGAGGAATACATTTAAAAACGTGTTTTATTAAAAAGCCAACGGAAAATCTGTAGGCTTTCGTGTTGGCTGAGTAACATAATGGAGAATGTTATAATGAGCTAACAGGCTAAAACCACAGCTAACACTTGTCTTCTACAGGTATTTTTTACACCCCTCTTCAGTGGACAATGTGCCAACATGTCCCAAACATATTTTAACCTAATATCACCATTTCTGGATTTAACAGTCAAAAGCCCCATGCTCTATGCCCTTCTCATTCCCACATTAAGGTACCCAGAATTCAGAGCAGCAAAGCATAAAATAGCATACTTACTCAATTTTTAAACTTTACAAACTTTAATGTTTTACAGTTCTGTTACAACACTTTAACTTAATTGTTGGTCTGTACATGTTCTCCATCTTCCCAAGTTGTACACCACCATATTTCAATAAAACCACCCCAAACTGGTATTTTAATTTGAAGAAAAACATGTTCTGCAAAGGCAAAAGGATTCTGTTATTGAAACTATGAACTAGAGGACTACAAAGGAAACGCTACTCCTCTGGCACAAGGTAGCTCGGCTCTGCCACACCATTATCAAATTACATCATTATATCAGAAATCAAATCCATCCCAGACTTAGGATCTGAATTTTGTGTATCTTTACATGAAAACAGAATGAGAATTTAACTTTGGCCAAAAAAGTGCATACCACATAAAAAAAAAGAAAACGTGAAGAAAACCTGCCTGCCAGTTACATCCTTGTATCTACAGCTCATCCAAGACCTGACCTAAAGCATTTCAGTAAACATAATTCCAACCTCCTAGTAAATATTTGGTACTGCTACAGCAACAACTGCCACTTCATAAAATATGCTGAAACGAAGAGACTGTACACCATAAAGACCACTTCAAACCTTTCTACTATTCCTCAGTTCTGTAGCCCATGGTCATCAGCATTAGTATGTAATATTGCTCATCCAAAATGTGTCAGTGCTAAAACTTTGTTACTGTTCAGTTGCCTAAAAACAATTTCTCTCCAACTATGGCTATCTATGACAATAATGACTGTAGGTAACCAGAGAAAACTACAATGTTTTTTGAAATGCAGGGGTTTGCGGATCTTAAATCTTACATATTTTGTAACTCTACTTGAGTAAATTTGACTTGATTGAACTACTTTTTTGGTTAATCAGGTGGGCTACAACAGGAAAACCAAAAGACCGTTAAAAACACTGATCCAAATCACTGCACACTTAAGCACTGACCTTCTTTCTGGCTGCCAGCAGCACTGATGCTCTGCTGGGAAAGTAGGCTCTGGTTATAGAGGCTGGGCAGCGCAGCTGCTGCATACTGCTGGATCCCCGAGTATGCTGCCTGGGTCAAGGCCTCCATAGTGCTGCCAGAGCCGTTAGACAGACCTCCGCTGCCCAAGCCACCATTCAGCGCAGCCATGCCTGTAGAAACACATCACAGAGCGATTTCTTTACAACTGCCACTAAAAAGACAAATGTTGCCATAGTCTTGTTTGTAGCTTTTAGGTGTTTATGTGCTGAATCCTGTTCAGCAGTCTAGTATAACAAATCAGATTAAACTATTCAAAAGATATCTGCTATTGAAAGAAAGTGCCTATTTTGTGTCAAAGGGCTTTGTCTCACGTTTTTCCACAAAATTTAATCTCTCTACAGCATGTTGTTACTATCCAAAGAAAAACAAGTATCTCCAAAATGGCAACTTTACAGGAGAAGGCAAAAACATTCTTTACTTTTAATGTGAATTAATGTAAAGAGATTTTATTACAAGCAATTTTGGAATATTTTTTTTGGACAACAACAATGTGAAATCAAGAATTATCATGACTCAATATTGTTACTATATTTACTCTTATAAACATCAATATGACAATTTCGAATATTTAAATTTTCATTTCAACTGCCTGGCTTTTACCATCAAATACAAACCAAGTTTTTTTCTTACCTGCTAGTGAGCTCATGTTGAGGCCAGCTCCAGCACCTGCAGCAAGAGACTGCAGGGCACCCAGAGAAGCCATGGGATTCACAGATGAGCTAGTACTGGAGGTGGGAGAGGAGCCCGCTGTGCAGACAGAACAAGAGACAGCAAAGTAAGTAGCAAGTAACAAACAAGTAAAACTAAAAATAAAAAAATAGCATCAGAAAAGTAAAGAACCAGAGCTTTTGGAAGTTTGTTAAGGCAACAAGCCGATACAATCATATGAATAACGTTAACTAATAATACAATTAGGCTATTTAGATAACTGGAAGATCACTGGTTAGAAAGAAATTGGTGTCAACCTCAATACTGAGACTAAGGCTATCATGTAACCTCGGCGAATACTGATAATATGCATATATTTGGAGAAGGTGCCAAACATACAGAGAAGCGTTCAAGTATGGGAGTGACTGAGATGTTTAAGCAGCAATTAAAAACGATCGCAAAAACTTACTGGGGCACTTGCATATCTCTAGTGATGAACGTGTAAACTATCTGGGATACTCCCACAAGCCTTTCATGTTTGGGTTTAAAAATAAACTATCATAGAAATCAAATACAAAAGTAGCTTAACAACCTCAAGATAAAAATACAAAACTCAACATAATTCACGAATATTACGTTTCATCAATGAGCATTAACAAGTAGCACACTTGGGGCTGGTATAACAGAAAAAAACAAAATTACCAATAATATAATAATAGAGCATTGGGAGATAAAAAGCAGGACCAACCCTTGCAGCCATCCCAGGCAGAGTGAGTCTGTTGTCCGGTGGGCGTACCTGAGCTAGTGAGCACGCTGAGCGGCGAGCTGGAGGTGGTTAGCGCACTGCTGCCAGTTGGAGTGGCCTGCGTGGCACTTGCTGCCGCCGCCAACGCAGCCAGATTCTGCATGGCATTCAGACCTACACACATGCACAGACACATTTACACAGCTAAAACACCCAACTTCACTAAATGGATTTACCCCACAAATGTCAGCCAAGCGATCACCATTTAATTACCCTGTTGTGCAAAAATGCTTAGTCATACATAAATGTTGCATTAATTGAATAAAAAGGCACCAATTTTGCGCTCCAAAGTCATAAAACGTTTGCCATGTCATTCCAGAAAATGTCTTCCTATTCAACAGAAATATCCAAGTATGAGAAGCAAACTGCAATAAATTTCAGTTTTAATAGGTTTACTTTTATTTGTCTCTGCTGTCAATCACCAAACAAAGATGCTGTAACAGCAGCAGAAGTAACAGACTGCTACTGTACGTTTTTGTAAGCGTGACAATTCACAAACTGGATGGATTCATCACTTGCTCAACTTACACTTAATAAATCACAAGATGAACATGTGCAAGCTTTAGAATTAACTTTAAACTCAAGATTATTTGAAATTCAAACTGCTATGTAATTTACATTCCTTTAGACATGATCGGATTCTATGCCATACTTGTGTCACAAGTGATCCTATTGCCATACTTACATTCTGTGAACTGGCTAATACATTTCATGTAGCGTGTACTAAAGCTCTTAATACCATGGGCTTTGAAGTAGACCTCTTTTTTACAGTTTTAACTGTTGTAAGCCCAAAGCCCAGCATTGTTGAAAGTTTGCATTTTGTCATCCTCGGTGTTCATTAAAATAAGTGCAGGTGTGAAAGATCGGTGGCTTCTAAAGTAAGCTTGTTAAACATCTTGGGGGTTCAAATATTCAAATAAGTTAAAATGCTGCTGGTTACATTTCCTATAATACACTGCAAATGCACAGAATCGTTTTGTTTTGTGCTGTACGGGTCTAAATCTGAGGACCACACTATCGTATTAAACTGGTATTATATTGTAATTGCATAGTGCATCACTGAGGAGATTCAGAATTCAGGCTTGTGATATGTACATGTACCCTCGTCCGTTCGCTGCAACTAGCCATCGTCGATTGCCGATGCTATTGTTTCGGTTGTAGGAAGGTGCAGGAGTCCAGGCAGGTTGTAAAAAAGAAAGAAGGACCACTTTCCAGTGTTGTCACGAATGTGCGCTTCTCCTTACAATGACAGATTAAGGATCCTTTACGTCACATATTTCTCTAGTAACCATTTCAACATGGTTGGTTATGCAGTAACACCATATGACCTGCCATGCCTGCTTAAACTATAAATAATCACACATTCTGGCCAGAAACTCCGTTAGAGGCAACCCTTGTTTTATTAATAAAACATAGCCAGGTGAAGAAGCCTAAAGGCTACTACTACTGCAGCTATGTTTTGCCTTGTTTACTTTTAGAAACTGATGTGATCATAATACAAAAATCCCTGTTCATGTCTCATGAGGGAAGCCATTCCATGTGTGGAAGGCTGCTGCACAGCCTTATAATTTTAACAAGCATGACAAGGGGGGGGGGGCTACCTCCATACACATACATATACACACACACACACACCAGAAGCCAGAAGCTAGATAATAAATAAGGGCCAATTCAAGACATGGACCAATGTTACACATTAAAGGAACACATTAAAGGAAAACTGACAGGGACAAAAACAATTAAATTTTGTGCATCTTGGAGCCATGGATGACAAGTATTCGGACATTAAGATTATCCAACTTGACTGAATCTTGACAGATAAACTATATCATTGATCAGCTCAATTCTTTTCCCCCATCAGAATGATAAAACCTGCTGATGAGCAGATAAGCCAGTAGAATGGAATGGAAAAATTGATAGGTGTGGCCAGCTTAATGTGCAAAAGGTATCGCTCTGTTTATGTGTGGGCAGACTGTCTGACGTTAATACTAGTTCTAACCAAGCATCATTAGCTTAACACCAACAACAATGTGGCAAGGCAGTTTAACTTCAACACCACACTGACTCCACAGACATATCATGGCTAAAACTGTACAATTAGGATTGACATAGGGGTTCTTTATGCTCTGCAAGTGTGAATGACAAACCATATTTAATGTCAACGTTTTAGGCAGATAATACTGATGAGGTATTTAATGCTGAACACTGTTATCAGAATTCATATACAACTATATTCAAGACCAAAGCACACAGGGATAATGTTTGCTATTCAAAGTCAGCCATTCATTCAGAGCATTTAACTGAGCAGTCAGACACAAGTGTTACCTTTGACTTTAAGTCTAGCTAGCTTAACCTCTTAAAATCCTAGTCTTATTACATACTACGGCAGTAACTACAGGGACTTCAATGCAAACTTGTTGAGCTATTCTTAGATTATACAGGTGTGTAATAAAACTTGGGCCCTGGCCATGTAAGGGGCTGGCAGTTTAGATTTACAAACACCCCTTGAGCCTCTGTTATAATAATTTTTTAGACCCACAAGTAGTCCTTCTATACTCTGCAAAACTCAGAGAAATGAACACAGCCCCTGGGCTCACCTGACATGGGGTGGAGATTGTTGAGCGCATTCCCAGAGGACGCGGATTGCTGCAGGAGCTGCAAATAAAGCTAGACATTACACCAAAACAGAGAACACAGAGAGAGTCAGGACTGCATCCAGGACTGTGAGCACAGGAACGAGAGAAAGAGAGGTAGAGAGAGGTAGAGAGAGAGAGAGAGAGAGAGAGAGAGAGAGAGAGAGAGAGAGAGAGAGAGGGATAGATAGAGACAAAGAGAAATGGAGAGAGACTGAGAGGGGAAGGGGAAGTGTCAAGTTACAGTAAGAAAAGACAATGAAATGGTTCAAAACAGAATAAAGACGTGTAAGAGTAAAATAATCAAAGATTTATGATAATGCCAAAGATTAAGGAGGATGAAAAGAGGAGATGAAGATTAAGGGGAAGCTGATAGAGATAAAAAGAGAGAAAGAGAAGGAGAGAAAGAAAAGAGGATTTTTCACAGCATACCCATGGAGCAGCACTAACACATTCACACAGGGCTCCACATCTACACCAGCCTAAAAAATGATAATCGAATGGCTCTAGGAGTTTTAATGAGGTCAATCAGAAAGAACCAGTAGGAGATTTGAGAGGCCAGAATTGGAGTAAGATGAGTTGAAGTTGGCCAAACGTAGATCTGTAGCCCAGGTGTAAAAAACACAAACTTCAAAACACAGCAAGAAGAAAGATGTGTAAGGTGATAATCTAACCACTCTAATGCAATTCAACAGATTTTTTTCAAATCTTAAAAGCTTAACTATTCAGAAAGGTGCTGAGGTGAATTGGGGTGTTTAAGGTGCTTAACACTAAGGTTTTTAATTGCATGCTGTACTCAGATAATGAATCGGGCATTTCTAAAAACCAGAGCTTTTAATTAAGCGCATGGTCATGTAGCTCATGCAGTGCTACAATCACAAACAGATTACCTCCATCTGCTTCAATGTTATAGGAAATAGATTTCCAGCTGTTTGTGGATCAAACTGACAGCAGTTTGATGCAAGCTTCCATTTCTGACCTATGCTGTAGGTGAAGGATGCATGCATGTGTGGTGCTTGAGTGTACTCACTGCAAGGTACTGTGGGCCTAGCGAGTTGAGACCAGTTAAGTTTCCCCACATGGAGACAGCATTGAGTTGCTGCATCTGCTGTTGCAGCTGCTGTGCCATGCGCTTCTGTTCCTTATCCTTCTGTGTGTCTGCAAACTTCACCACGATTGGAGATGAACAGCCCTGATTGAAAACACACATTTTAGGTGACCACCTTAAAGGACTATGCAAACAAATACTACTTCAGAGAGATGAGGGGAAAAAGATGGTCAAAAAGCCAAAGACAGGACACAAGAAAGAATGTTACACAAACTATTCAAACATGGGCACGAGTCAGGCTCAAGTACCTCCATGGTCTGTGACTGGTGCATGGATTTAATGGCAGACTGAGCCATCTGTCTGGCTGTGAATGTGACGAAGGCACAACCTAGAGAAAGAGAGAGGAAGGTAATGAATGAACATGTACAGGAGACAGTTTTCCTTTTGTATTAATGGAATTCTCTCAGTTTCATCTAACAAGTTAATGGTGTGATAGGAACCAGACATTAAGAGTTTACTGCATCTTAAAAACTAACTCACAGAAAGTTATTACATAAAGTGGTCAGAATTGCAGCTGATGCCTGAGACATTGTTTTACAATAATTTGGAGACAATTTTGGCCTGAAACGTATATTCACAGTGAAAAGTTACTACCTTCCACTCTTCGCAATTGCTCTTCTTTGTCTTCCTTCAAATCTCTGCTAAAAACCTTCCTTTTTTCATCTCTGTAGTCTTCTAGATTTTTTTTTTTTGGATACTATGTGAAGCGTCCTTGGGTTTGTGAAAGGCGCTATATAAATTGAACTTTCTCTAGAAGTAACCATTTCACAGCCAGCCACTCTGAAGGTGTTTGTATCTCAGCGATTAAATTAGGCAGAAAATTAGAGAAATTTAGAAGAATTCCTTTATAAGGCTGTTACACACATGACTTGAAAATGTGAAATATTCAGGAGAGGTTTTTTGCCCCCCCCGCATTCAAAGTATACACACACTTTTTTTACACAGAGAACAAACAAATGGGCAGAATTTTTTCAAGTGATAGGTAGAACGTTGTCTATGCTACTCCCTAAATGGGCAAAAACATGGTGAATGGAAAGGGCAATAAATAAATAACTAAATAAATAAAAAAAATAATAAAATGTAAAAGAAGGAAAAACACAAGTGATAAATGACATTTTAGACTGCTAAAATGATACAGCTCAAGCTGCTGATAAAACCACTGTGGTAATTTTATTTAAGCATTTAAAGTATTTTAACAATTTAAAATGCACTTCATACTTCAGCTCAACAGAATTGATTAGGGTCACTTTGGTCAGTTTTTTTTTATTTATTTAATTAACAGCTATGTATTGTGTTAACGTTTACAGGCTGAGATGAATGTGTCTTACCACGGCTCAGTCCGTCAGGTCCTCGGAGAATGCGGCACTCCTCAATCTGACCGTATGGTGAGAACATGAGCCGAATGTCATTCTCATTGCACTTCTTTGAGATCATCCCAATAAACAGCTTTCTGTCTTCTACCGCTGAGACAAATGGGGGAAAAAAAAGACATTTAATTTTTATTCATTTATTCCACTGAAGTAGCAGGCTGAAGACCAGCACAATGCTGCTCTTCCAGACAACTGCTATCTTGGGCATCTCTATAGATTTAAGCCAGCATCTGTCATACTTTTAAACTGCGATCTGAACTAAGACTGGACGTCAATTCTTTTTCATTTGTTCAAAATGTAGCTTATTTTACTGATGTTTTGATTTGAGCTTCAGGATAATGGAAGCTACTACAATGACCATGTTACACTACTATCAACAACTTTACATCAAGCCGTAAGGAACAGCTCAGTGTTATCTATTTTTGGGCATTAGTATTAGGGCAGAGCTGTGATTGACAGCTAAATTTCATCTGGAGTGATAAATATGTGAAATGCATTACTTTATAAACTACAATGTTTAATTATGTTCACAATCTGATGTAGGTTTAGAAGTCATTTCACAACCACAACGTTTTGACCTAAATTAAATGCCACACCAATACAGCACCCTGTCTCAATCACAATTCCTCAATTGTACACAGAAATTCATTATACACTTACAGTTGTTCTTCTCACTGTCTGCTGGCTTCATCTGAATGGGATGATGCATCTGCCACACAAGAGAACATATCAGACATTGACTTTTACTTACTTAATTTGTCATTTCGCCATTCATTTGCAACATGCTTACAGTCTACTCACCCCTGGAAGAATTTTCATGTTGTGAAGGGCGTTTTGTGCTTCTAATGCTGATTTACGTGTATAATATGTGATAAAACAACAACCTGAAAAATGGGCAGAGAACTTAAGTAAGCAAGCAAGCAAACAAACAAACAAACGAAAACAAACAACCAACACCATTTACCACAAGCTCACCAACAAGATCTGATATCACATCACAGACACCACAGAAATGAACAGTTTGGGACTAATTAAACTAGTTCAGGACAAGTATAAAAGGTAAAAGTAAAATGTGTAAACCTTTAATTACCACCATTTACTGCCTTAGGGCGTATTCACACTATGCCGGTTGCCTTGTACCATCATCTCTATGTGATTTTTGTGTTGAAGAAAAGCGTTCTCACATAGCACAATGTAGTTTCATGACTGTACTTACTTTGTGGATTATTTGGAGGTGTTTTGGGTGCACTGACACAAGCCCTCTAAAATGCTCAATAGATGTACACTTTTGGTCAATTGTGCTGCATGTATAAGAAAATTTTTATGGAGGAAACTGATATCGAGCAGCTTTACTTGCCGACTATAGTTCACGTTCATCAATAAGGTGAGAACAAGACCCGTTATTAACTCAAATATTTTTGAATGAATTGAAAAGTGGGACAATGGCATCATTGACGTCACGTTCAAGTTCTGTGCTCAGGCATGGTTAGCGATCACAATAGATGTGTAATGTACGAGTCCAACTGAATGGTGCCCGATCTCAAGTAGGTATGGAGCAATCACACTAGTCAAACGAACTGGACTTTAGGGGACAAACATGCTTGGGCGCGGTATGGTACAGACCACCTACTGGGAGTACACCCTTAACTGCCAGTCACTGACCTTTGCTCTGTGGGGGGTTTTGACTCCTGTCTCGGAGGACGTTGATTTCATAGACGGCACCATAGGGTTCAAACAGCTCCCGCAACTGCTCCTCTGACCAGGACCGCGGGATCTGACCTACAAACATCTTTATGGCATCGATGTCTGGCTGGTCCGGGTGGTCCATTGTCCCATTCATCTTCTTGGTTCTGAAGAGAAATAATTAAAAGATTTCAGTTCACCTCTGCCCCATGAGGAACACTAAGGAAAATCTGTTAACTGGTTACAGACATTACTGGCATAAAGGTAGTAGCCATATAATCAGGATCATTTGCATTATTTGACAACTGAAACATATGGGTTGCATTCAGTTGGCAATTCAACTGACATTTAGACCAGGCTGTTATCATAACCACTCCTGTTTCAGCTGAAAAACAGGCCTACTTAAAATATGCTTTCTTTGGAACACAGTCTGGTGATGTGACAAGTCAAGCCTCGTGTTGCAGTCATGTATTAAGTGGAAAAAAGAGGGGAAAATACATCGTTCATTTAAAAACAAATCTTTTAGATAAATTATTTTTTTGAGATGACAGCATGACAAATATTTTGTGTGCGTCATTCATTAAATGGCCCATTCAAAGACAGAAGTGCCAGATTTTAAAATTAGACACACAGGGTTATCAAAGGCTAAAAATTACACTGCATGTAAAAGTGGCCCAAATCTGAGTTTTTTCCTTCGTATTTTGTGTGTTTAAAAAATTAAATTAAATTTTTAAAAAAAGCCACACACACACACACACACACACACACACACACACACACACACACAACACACACACACACACACAGGGAAACTGAGTTTCAATTTGCAACCCTTTGCTAGCATTCTTTTTCCAGCAGGTAAACAAGCTCTCTTTCTCTGCGCGAACACCTTTCACAATTAAAACAGGCATAGAAATTCAGCATTTTTGCTATTTTCTGTCAATTTTCTTACTGTTTGCTGTTTGTACTTTAAGCTTAAAGTAGCAGCGTTCATGGTTCATTTTGAGGTCATGTGAAAGGATTCTGTTAATCCTTATGAAAGCTAGAGGACAACTGTGTTTGCTGGATGAGTATGCAGGAGGGCTCCGGGTTCTTCTGCGCATGTGGGTCAGTGCAGGAGCATGTCTTAGTCAGAATACTGCCAGACACAGGTCACATTACAAAAATAATGTGAATGATAATGTGAAGAAAAAAAGTACCACTGTATCGGCAGCGTGAACATAACCAAAATCCATTCAAACAGAGCAATCTATGATGATGATGACAATGCTTTAGTAGCAGCATTTATTCTGTTTCCAAATATCAAACTAACAATGAATACTGAAAGCTTTTGAGTTGGTTTATAGCCACAATAAACATTTGCACAGAAAAAGCTTACAAGCATGCAATTCTGAAATACTTCGGTATCATTCTTTGTCTGAAAAAGTTCTGATGCTGGCTTAAGCAACTAGTGGGGCTGTTGCCACTGACATTTAAGTTTTAAACACAGAAAACTTAAATGTCAACTTGCTGCATGAATCAGGCTTGACTGTGAAAAGATTAAATCTATGACTGGCAAGAAAATAAAGCATCTGATTAACTCAGAACATGTCCAGCTAGTTGGAAAAGTGGTTAACGTGGGGTTATTGGATCTGTCGCAATGCAACTGACGATCACTCAGATTCATGATGTTATCTGTATACTCAAGGTTTCAGAATGAGTATTAGAAAAGTAAAGAAAGTGGTATTGAGCCATTTCCAGTCCAAACTGAAATTGTTTGCTGCACAAATTTAATGCACAACTGTTCACAGAAATGTTTAAAATGACACTGTGACTGTTCCAAAATGGACGTCTCTCTTATTTATCAGTGAGTTTTTCTACTGTCATATGAAATTGAGTGAAATGGAAGCTGTGATGTCAAAGCCTAGCTTGGATAGGAATGAGGTAATCTTCCCAGGCAACCCAATACAGAACTCCCTGACAACTCTACCGAATAAACTTAACAGTTTTACAGATTTTTTGAAAACTTATTCCTTTGAACTACCAGATCGCCTTAATTACACAGAGCATCACTTGATTGATGACATGATTTTTCATTGTTGTGATCTCCCTGAACCGCAAGTTAATATGCTTCATCTGGCACAACCCAGCATAACATGTATAAAGAGAAAGAGACTCCAGTTAATGGGATTCTAATAGACAAGCCTGAAGCTCTCAATCTGTCTTCAGCATCAACTGAGCCGTGACGTGACAAACCGCTTTAAGATGGTGTAGCACTCACAGGCTTTGCAGAGTCTAGCTGACAGCTAATAGCCAGATTAATGGAGTTTATTGATCGGTGAGAGAAACGGAATAAATCTTTCCCTTTGTCGATTCTCTGGCAGAAAGAACTTGTTCAAACAAGGCAGATTACACATTCAGACAGAAGGCACTGAGGATGGCACTGTATTTAGTATCAGTAGGATGCGCTGCTGAACAGCAACTGTTTTCAGCTGTTCTGAAATCTGCTCAAACTAATTTTTACTTCATGGAGAAAAGACCTGTTACATTTTGTCAAATTTAAGATCATAAATATTGATATAGCAGTATAAAATCGTACAGGGTCAGAGGTATAGCTTAAACAGCTTTAGAACGTTTAGAAAGTTTCCTAGAATCACTGACATACATACTAAATCAATTACATTATCCAGATTTTAGCCTTACTGAAGACAATCATTTGCTGGCTGTGACTACAGCTGTATTTCCTCTTTACAGCCTAATGGTAAAACAACCACAATGAGCCATTCCTTGTTAGCATGGACTTGCGAGACTGATTACAGTTTCTTTTTTTGTGCTGCTAAATCAGGATTAAGAAATCCCAAAGAAAAATATACATGGCACTGGCTAGCATGCTAACAGCTCTACTCACTACAGAGGGTCTGATTCAGCTAAGCGTCACTCAACTGTGCTTTTTAAGGTTGGATTTTTTTCTCTCTAAACTTGCATCAGTCGAGCATCAGTCGAGCATCAGTCGAGCATCAGTCGAGCATCAGTTAGGTGGAGGTAAACCTCTCTCGTAATCAGTGAAGCTGTAGGCCTGCTAGCTAGCATATATGGTACCACCAGCACACTACAGAGCTGGGTTTCAGTATTGTTCAACATTTAGCATTTTTTCGGTAGTTGGTTTAACACTTTTTGTATGATGAACAGGAAATCACAATCTGGACCTGAAAATAAATAAATAAATAAAAAAAACTGCTCAATTAAATCTGCCACCACGAGTTATGCTTCTTATTAGCTGCACCACTCACTCATCACTAAAACTGCTTGTGTGTTTTTGTTGTTTTGTTTTTTTGAGTGGCTGTGAGAGCACATTTAGGACAGAACTTGATAAGTGCTTATTGTTTTGTTTAATCAAAAAAAGATAAAAAGCACAACTAATGTGCAGCTTATATTCGTGTTTATTTCTTATATGCATGTGTTTTCTTATTCAAAATGGTAGTTTGTGACAAACTGTTTCACCTTTTCAGATTTTGTAGCTGTTACATCCCATTTTTGCATGTCAAATAAACAAAAGAAGCATTTAGAAATAATGTCGTTAACGAAAAAGAGAAATTGCCACTTTTCAGAGGCAGCCTTAAAGGGTTAAGTTTTATGGACTGTTTTTGGACTTGAAAGAACACCAGATGGGGCAACAAAAATGCCACAAATATACAGCCAAACAGCAAACATGTGCAACATTATGCCATCTCACCCAAATGGTTCCACGGCACTGAGCATGGTTAGCTAACCCTGCCAAGGAAACCGCACTGAGCATAGATTGCAAGTGTTCCGTGCCGAAGCACGTCCATATGAAAATGCCACTAGAACAGTTATTCTCTGAGCTCAGAACTGTTTAGCCCTGCAGTGGAAAAGAGGCTTGTAACATCAATTCATCTGTGCTGGGACAAACTGAGCCAAATGTACACAAACATAGATGAGTCTGTCCACAATGCAAAACATGACAACCACAACACAATTCTGTATAGAGGTCTTTTAAAATGTGCCCCCCCCCATCAAAGTAAATGAGTACTAAAACTATTTCTCAAGCAAAAACACACAATATATTGTTTGGAATAATGCAGTGCGAGGACATTCACACCAATAATATTTTCTACATAGAACTACACAAATTCAGCAGAAATCAGATAAGGCAAAAGTTACAATGGCATTCCCCATCTCCATGTTACAGAGACAATTGTGAAACTGCAAGACCAGCACAAACAGGGACCTCTTAAGAAGAACACTAGAAAAACATCACTGAAGAACACACTGGATTAGATGTAGTCAACACTTACCAGCCCCATCCAGGACCGAAGTGCCCAAAGGTCATTTCTAAGGCCTGGCCTAAAATGAAAAACTTTAGTAGCAAAACTTACATTTGAGGTATCAGCACATGAGATCAGTTCTCAGGGAAGGTACATTTATTTATCAAAGAAATGTGGCACAATCTCAGTGTGATTACTGACTTCACGTTCCCCTTTAAATGTTCCGAAAGATATTTTTATAGCCATCAGTGATTTTTTTAGATTTGACAGTCTCTGACCAGATTTTAAATTCTAAAATGTCTTCCATGCTATTCTGCAGTCATTAACTGCTTGATACTCAGTCTATGCTGACTGCAGTTCTATTTGTTAAAGGAATAGTATGGAAGAACTAAAACTGAACAGTAGGGCAAGATATTGACTTTTTCTTTACTGGTGCTGATACTGATACGTTGAGTATCAGCCAATACTGATACTGATCCAATACTTTTTCTTTAAAAACTACAACAGCCCTACTACTGTTTACGTACAGAGACGAGTCATTCCAGTTCTAGAGAGTTAAATTTGACCTAAACAGTAGAGGTCACCCACATATATTCAGCAGTAGTGTACTGTACATAACCAAGATAAATAAATGCACGTCATTATCACTTCAAATTCATTACTTGCTCCAAACTGGAATGCTCCAAACTACGGCTGTGAGATTTGTTTGTGGAGTTCAGAACTCAGGAAATTAAGTAGCTGCTGCTGAATTTGTAAAACTTTTCCAAATTTTGCTTTGCCGTGAGCCGCAAGAAGTCATTTTAATCTCTGCTCAGCTGTGAGCAAAAAGGCACCAGTCGGCATAGCAACCATGCTCCTGTTTTCAAACTTTTAGAGACATTCATTCACGCTTGCTTGACCTGACAAACTTAACAAGAAACACTGGTTAGCCTCATCTGCTTCTGAAACTGAAGTGATTAAACTGGTTAGGAGTGAGAAGGAGATTCAGCTGTTCCTAACAGGAATTCAGATCAACCAATATCTAACCAGAAGACATCAGGCTGCCCACATCACAGGTGACATACAAAGCTAGCTTTTAGCCTGAGTACAGACTGAAGACGGCTGTACTCACACTGGACTTGAGTTCAGATTGCAGTGGTCCACCATCATCTCTGGAAGAAAGTCCAGCTTAAAGGAAGCCATTTTTCTCAAACACAAATCCACTTTGTCTTCAACAGTGCCCCGACCAGGTGTGACAGGCACGCCTTAAATGAATGTATGAAGCCTCAACAGAGCAACAAATCCACAAAGCGTAGACTTCTTGACATGTACAAAGGACAGCAATGCCACATCAAGTGCCTGCTATGTGAAATGTCTCTTAAGATTCAGTATTTGTGAAAAGCAACATCGGTGTGGCTGAGAGGAAGAACAAAATGTTGACCTCATCAAGGCTGATCAGCAGGACCAGAAGAACAAAGAAAAACAAACCCCAAAATCCAGTACCTGGAGACACAACAAACTCAAATCAACATGGGGCAAAAAGACAGCACTTGCTTCAGCACTGTACCGGGTGACGAACTCAAGCCGTGACCAGTAACTGGGCAGGGACTGATAATCAGGCCGGGGTTTGATGGGCCACTAAAAGCTGCTCCCCTGCTTCCACAAAGAAAAGTGCTGATGGATGGGGACTTTTTTGTGAGCATTTCTCTTACCCAAGCAGAACGGAGTGCAGCGTCAGGTAAACAGAGTGTCAGATTGATGCTGATAAGCGCCAGTGAACGGCAGGAATGAATGGAGACCAGTAACACGCTGGTAATCCCTGTGCTGATGCACCCTCAGGACACAATCAGGTTCCGGCACTGCGCCACCATCAACGCACTGTTCAGAAATGGGGGTGGGGGGTAGTGGGTTGGCTACGGACAGGAGGGGGGGATTGGCCATTTGGGGTCATATGACTAAGGCCGAGTAAGCCGTTAGACCATGGCTAGTGGTGAGGGAAACTACAGGACACAATAGTTGAATCTATAGGACACAATGGTTGAATTTACAGGACACAATGGTTGCTCAAAAACAACAGATCTAAGTAAACAATAGGGACAAGAATGGCTCATCATTTAGTTTAAATAGATCAAGAGAGTTCTACAACTTGTATAACATCACTTATGAGAATACATCATTCCTACTTTTAACACATTCTGTCCATTGCACAGTGTACTAAAAGTTCTTCTGGAAAATGAGATACAAAGCTCTCTCAGGACTACAAAATCAAATTTGTAAAGCAATCCTGCTACCACAAGAGGAAACCAGCCAGAACTCCAACCTTGCTAAGCAAACACAACTTTTAATGAGCTTCTGTTGACGCTGAAGTGGAACATGATAATATTCAGCCCCCTATTTAAAATTTAGGGCAAGGCTAACCTGTCCTTTCACTAGTTCAGATTTAGCTGACGTTTAAATAGGACGTTTGGAGTCACCTAAACATCAGTGTCTTTGCTGTTCATGGTCTACATAAAACACAAAAGGTTAGCTTTAGCAACCAACCTGACAGGATCACTGACAGGATCACCACAGTGAAATCCGTTGGTATAAGCCACTAGGCCACGTAATGTCAGAGGGAGAAAGAATGAGTTTCCTTTACAGTTTTTGGGGGTAAACAATAAAAAAGAAAAAAACATATCTACCCCTCAGGGGCAAAAGAAATAGAGAATGAGTGAGTTCTTACCCCCCCAGGCTGGATACCTCCACAGCAGTGTGGGGAAGCTCGCACTGAGGCTGCCCATGCTGCGTGGTGGTCAGGTAAAGAGCTTCAGCGTCGATGCTATCCATCCAGTGTCTTTGATAAATGCTACAGAAACACACCAAACAGTACAGGACATACACATATCAGACTCACACACACAAGAAAATACAAACAGTGGACAGGGAATAACAGAAAAAAGAGGAAAAAAAAAGACTAGATCTGACATAACATGCAAAGAGTTCAGTAAAAATCATGCACACTGGACAAGACAAACATGCAACAGGACAAGAGTAAAAGCACTTGCTGGGGTCCAGAGCTTACTCCAGATTCATCACAAGGTGACAAAAAAAAGCTGGTAAATTAGCCCACATGATAAATGCCACAGTTTTCCTGGAAGCATTTCACCCTAACCAAGAACAATCAATACGGAAATAATGATATTCCAACATTTACAACACACAGATCAGGGCTAATTTGATGTACTTATGCTTTTCCTAAGAACACAATGCAATCCATGTTGTATATTTATGCTCTTTGCACAGGAAACGACAGATGATGTTTATCTCAAAATAATCCCAATGCTTCAGGAACTAGAAAAGTGCTTCCTATACAAATGTAGTCGCAAAGTCTCTAGCTACTTATTTAAGGCACTCAACATGATAGTCCAATGAGTGCTCTGTATACTGTATCCAACAGGGTAAGAGCTAATATATCTTTTTTTCTGGAAATAGAGTCGAATACTTTTAATTAATATAATCAAATAAAATATTTCTCCCCATAACATATCAGATGAACTAGGACACTGTTGGCACTGTTGTGTGTAATATGTTTTGACTCTGTGTTGAGATGGTAGAGAGCAATGAGAGGTGAAAGAAGAGGCAGAGGGCCCTTTGCTACTTCCACAGTACAACTTCCACAGTAAAACTAGCAGTGAAACGCAATACACTTTTTTTACTTCCAGTTTTGAAAATCCAGTACATTCTCATGGAAATATTTTACTAATGTATTTAAAAAAAAATAAATACATACATAAATAAAAAAAAACAGGGAACAGGTGGGAAATTTAATTTTATGGCTACAGTGAAAAAAGGTTAAGGGAGCCTTTTATTATTTGGAAGATTAAGAGTTCATTCAATATATAAAGATTTCTGGTGTATTTAGGTCTGCATAGCACTACTTCTTCAGCCTCAATGAGTGCGTATACATGCACTCAATAATCCAATCATAATCGGATTTCTACAGTTATCAGATTACTCAAATGGTCATGTAAACACCATACTCCGATCTAGAAATCCGATTAAGAAATCCGATAGCTGGATTTTAGCTCAGTAATCAGATTTCTCAGTGCATGTAAACTCATACTCTGATTTCTATTGGACGGACGTTGGATGCTGCAAGATGGCAGCAAAACACTTTTGGAGAGGTGCTGAAACCAAACACTAAATGAAGGACTTAAATTTTCTTTGTCTTCTAGATGATGTATGTTCATATTTTCAGGTAAAATGATGTTTAAAACAAATAAATAAAAATAAAACAAATAAATAAAAATAAAACAAATAAATTTTTTTTTAAAAAAAAAGCGGCATGAAGTTTTACATTATGTTTACGTCACATCTTCTGTAAGTTTATTGGCTGGTTGCTAAGCAGAAATCTGACTACTGCGTGACTCATGTAGACCCGGAGTTTCTCCATTATCTGATTACTCAAGTGCATGTAAACGTGATCGGATTACTGACAAAATCTGATTTTCTGCAGTTATCGGATCATTAAGTGCATGTAAATGCACTCAATGACAACCTTGGGAAGTCACAATGTGCAGCTCTTAAAGAAAAAAAACAAAAAAAACAAAAACGACAGTGACCTAATGTTTTAAAGACAGCTGCATGACGCATGTCATCTGATTCATGGTTTGACTATGTAAGGTTGCATAGGCCTGGAATGGGGGTGGTCATGGTGTAGAGAGAGAGAAAAGAGTGAGCATATGGTCAGCAGAGTTCTACTAAAAACAAACAAACTCTTGCCCTCTGTAATGCAGCTGCCAGACATAGAACAAAGGCAGAATCTGAGCCCACACTAAAGAATCTAAATCTGAAAATCACTACATGCATGACTTCTGGCCTAAAATACAAAATTACATAGTTATCACCCTTCAGACCCTTCACCCAAAAGCTTCGCCTTGGTCTAAATCCTTATTCAACTCTGGTGAAGGAAGAATAAATGATGCTTGCTTAAACCCATCCAACTTGAGTGTAAACATAGCAAGGAGTACTACATACTTGAGACCGATTTTGAACAGCTGGTTTGTTGAGATTTTCATTTTTGGGGAGCACACTGGAGTCTATCCCTGACACAGGGAAATGATTCTATTAATATCAAAGGATAGGTGTCCAGGCTTGCCCTTTCAGAAGGCCAGAGGTCATCCCAGCCACCATAACTTATGGCCCATATTCAGCCTCTGCATGAAGATCAAACACCTTAAAATCACTGTGTAGAGCTGAGCTTGCATTATTTTTTTGTAACTAATTACATTTCAGAATGAATCTAAATGCAGCAGTGAAGGCCTACAAGTTGTTGTTGTTCCCAGTACTAATTATTAATTCTGGGGTTTAGGACTACAAAAGACACACATTAAATTCAAGACACTCTCATTCTGTTAATGCGACAAGCAGGACCTGGGTCAGTTCTAAAATGAACAGGAAAGCATACTACAAATGAGTACACATAACTCAACGTTACACTGATCCTTAAGCTGCGCACAGTCTAACCTAACATCTACATATAGTCTAAACCAGTCACTTCCTGAACAGCACATCATACAATTGCATGCACAAGTGTGGTGCCCCAGTCAGACTACATGTTTTGTTGATTTTCTAAGTGGAAATTAGTCAACATATCCTCAACAGAGAACATACTTCTGCACATGTTAAGTACTGTTCATTTGCTAAATTTTACAAAATAAAAAATGGCCTATGCAGGTTTTGGCACGTTAAAGTTAGATATTACAAAATACTGTGGTAATTTAAATAAGTGCTGATACTATGCAAACTATCATTCTTTCGTTCTGCTTTAAACCATGTGACTTTGTATTGTTTTGCCTTTACTTAAATACTCCTTTTGTACAATGATTCTTATTTATGGTTAGTACAAAAATTGATACAACAAAAAAGACTGCACTTAATTATAGACTATACAGCAGGTTCCCCATCCTGGTCTTGGAGGACCCCATACTTCAACACACCCACTCCAACTCAGCAAGGGCTTGTTAATTAGCTGATTAGTTGGAACAGATATATTTTGAGTAAGAAAAAAAAATTGTTCAGGGCAGGGGGTACTCCAAGACCAAGGCTGAGAACCTCTGGACTACACAAACATAACACCTACTTATTACACACATACTCCAAGCATCACTTCAGAAGAAGGGTGCCAACACACCAGTTTGACAATATTTTGGTTTCTAATTAAATAAATATAGAAAACCACTGGAAGTCAAGAAAACTACATGACATCTATGCAGAACATGGCTATCATTACAAATTATTTATCAAGTATTATTTGCTAGCCCAGTTGGTAATTATATGTAATTAAATTAACATTTGGGAAAAGGTGGACTATAGGATAAGGCTCTGTAACACTCGTGGTACTTTGTAAATGAATTTAGATCATTATAATATTGTTCATCCCAATATTTCTACAGATGATAATCCTTTATCTAAATTTACATCGTCTTCCAAGCTTTTGTCCAAAAGCAGAGACAGAGGAACATTTTGGTGCTTGTGATGAGCTGAAGCGAAGTGGCATACGAATGATACATTAGTACCACAGATACACATCATTCTGCACCATCATGCATATACTGAGGAACAACCAAACATGCAGAATATTCCTATTTAATGTATTATTTTTTAAATCCTGATAGTCCAACCATGGGTGGAGACACAGCTTAAAATGACAAACCCTTAACGGTACAATTAAAGTTAATAAAAAAACAGGTCAAAACCTGCTAATGAAATTTTAAGGGACAACACTGAACATTGTTCTACAGAGTGTTTATCTGTCTGACCTAGATATTTAGTTTTATGTAACACCTGAAGCTCAGGTGCAAAACAAAGTAGGCTTTTGACTTCATTGACTGCAGTTAAAACGCAGTACAAGTCAGCAAAAGAGCAAAAATTATACAAGGCTTAGTGTCCTGAAAATTCTTGGAATCAAAAAGTTACATAAAGTGCACGACTTTCAACAATAAATCGTCACAGCAAATACTTAAATGTAATTTCACAGGAATATCAGTACATTATCAGTACTTGTGTTCCTCTAGAGTCAATGTAAACAGTTTATATTATCAGTATAAACTGCATCAATTTAATGCTATTTGCACTTCAATGCCAATGTTTCTAAACCGTCATGTGATAAGGCCTCTGTTTACAGAGCACTTGTAATGAAGCGATGTGAAACCTAACCGGACCAGAAGATTTAGTCTCTATTTCACCCTCTGCACAAACGTACACAACTCGACTACAAAGGAGAAAGTTGGAGTCGCTGGTAAAACTGTAAAAGCAGGACAACAGCCTTTAGCTGGCTACAAGCACTTACAACAGAAATCTCATTGAGAGTTTCTTTTGAGACCCTCTGCTCACTCTGGAGGGAAAATGATACAGCTTCTGGTGGAACACAGTGCTGCGTGTGTATTTCTGGAGCCCTGTGCTTCTCAAAAAAGTAGAGCAGCAGGTGATTGATGGCACCTTTAAAAGAGCCTGAACTCTGACACACATCACTGCCCAAGTTCACACATCATCCTTACAGTACCAAGCAAAAGTCAGAGAGCACCCTTCATTTATTTAATTTCATCACTTAATGTCATTAAGCACAAGTTCATTTTTCAACACTAGCGAAAAAAAAAAACAGCAGAAAACCTAAGAATTTACACAGAAGCCTTAATAATATAACAATTTTCAGTATTTAGTTTGCTTGTCCTTTGCCTTTATTACAGGTTTTCCAATGAAACCTACAGGGATATTCTTCCACACCTCCAAAGTTCAGTCTCAGAAGTTGGTTGCACATTAGGCTTGGGCAGTATCTATTTTTTCGTATTTTAACACCTGCCTGACATTTTACCAGGCTACACGGTATATGACGGTATTTGTGTTTAAAAAACAAAACATCAAAAAAAAACCTGCTGAGCTGCTGGTGACAGAAGTCATTTATAACATTTTCTGCCATCTTGTCTAGCGTTATTTCAAAATCTAATTTTTCAAAAAGTAGTTTGCTTTACGCGATTACCAAATAAGCGAACACAGTGCATGATTTTCAAGCCATCATTCAATTAATGTACCACCTACAAAACAACTGATAAATGTTTAACAGTGCTGCTAGAGTGGAGCTGGTTAGCATTAGCCTCACTATGACAGTCATGATATTTAATGATAGACATATGGTCCTTATATTCACTGAACTTTGGATCGGCTCAATAAAGCTGAGCTTGCCTTCCTATTCACATTTTTCCATTCCACCTTAAATGGTGCAGCAGTTACATTCTGAAGCCTGAGGCGCCAGACAATAACTGCTGCACCATTTAAGGTGGAACGAGAAAATTCGAAGAAGCTGATTCCAGCTTTCTTCGTTTTCTGTTCTCTACTGCCACCTGACGATATTCCAGAACAGCGCACCTGTCCAAAGGCGCACGCGAAGTCGAATGACTGGTATTGGCGTGAAATCTGAAATCGAATGTTTTCTGTGGTGTGTGCAGAGAATGTAGGTTCTGATGCTGATTTCCCCCCTTTTTCTGTTAGCGTCACCTGTCGGTCAGCTCCCACACCATGAATCAGTGAGCCCTCTAAAATATATATGGTTGGAAGGTGTTTATTTATCCATTTTTTCAGACGTGGAATAGATTGACACGTCATAATTTTGAAATGTCACCATTTTTACATACCGTGGTATGCCATAGAACTGCCATACCACGCAAGCCTATTACACATTCTGCATCTCACAATCCAAGTAATCTCAAACACAATGGTACTGAGGTCAGTCTACTGTTCTGGGAACACCAACAGCTTCTTTATTTGATATGCAAATTTTCTTCTTTTTTGTCTACTTCCTTTTCTCAGTAAAAGCTTGACAGCTATACATCCATTCACACACAGCGTTGCCTTCTCACAGTGGAAGAATGGACAACCACCTGAGGGTTTTTTCAGATCTGACGCAAGAGCAGAGTTCGATCTCTAAGTACTGTTTATCAGATGGTGATAGTTTTGGTGGTCTTGCACAGTTGTATTTGTTAATTTTTTGATCTTCAGTTTTAGAAAGTCATGTTTATTTACTTGTTTTCCTTTGAAATTCCTTTCTTATGTAAGTATATTATTATATATCTAATCCATTTAGAAGTATCTCCTGAAAAATTAATAACCTATAGTCAATGGCTGTTTTGACTGAAAATTAAACAAAGGGTGGTCTCTGACTTTTGCACAGTACTATATACGCTCCGACACCTTCCTCGCTAATTCACACAAAGAACATAAACCACCCCCCCCTTTCAAACCACCTCACACACACACAAATATACAGCATATCTACAGCAACATCAAATCACTCTTCCAGACACAGTCTCCTAAAGTGTTCAATATTAACACACAGACACACACAAACTCAATCAGCACAGCCAGCCTGCAGTGCCAGATAATGGAGGTGTTGCCATGCAGGACTAAAATCCACCCACAGAGAACAGTCTAGTAGACTGGCAGCTACACATAAGAGGTGCATGTGGGTGTGCGTGTATGTGTGTGCTTGTGTGTAGGGGTAGCACGTAACCAAGGAAACAGCTAGTCTTTTAATTTAGAGGACTAGCAGCTTTTAAATAGAACCTTATCCATTACATGCAGTTTTGTTTCATGCTCTGCCACAGCACGCAGGTTAAACCTACAGGCGGCTCACAGAAGAAATGCAAGATGCAAAACGAGAGCACCGGTCCATATGAGGGTCAAATAACTAGTAATGACCTGACATTGTCTGTTCATAACCTACAGAAGGCTCCAAGCCCAAAAAGGAAATGATAACGTGAATGAATGTTTAACACTGAGTGCAATGCCCTCCTTTCTAACCCTAACAAATTCAGCTCAGATATTTATTTGGATCAAGAATGCAGAGCAGTGGACATTGCATCTAGATCCTCAGACTGCATGAGGACTACACCAGATCTTCTTTCTTATTTCTAGCATAAACTCTGAGAAATCCTTGCTAGAGTGTTTTTGTGTTATGTACTACTGTTCTATGTTCCTTCATTTAATAAGATGTAACAAAAGAGATTAATATATTAACAGGAATATAAGTGAAACTTGGGCCAAAAACTCTCCCCTCAAAAACTGACTTCAATAAAAAAATATATTTACCCTGAAAATAACAATTAGCTACTGAAAACATTTTGGTTTAGTAGTTTGAATATACAGATCTACCTTAACCTATGCTGGTATGGTCATGATGTGCAAAGTAAGTAGAAAATTCTAGACCAAAAGAGTAATTACTTACCCTGTAAGTGGCTTTTCCCGTATGAAATGTCACTTTTGTCCTGCAATGAGAACACAAGCCCAGTTAAACAGTGCAGCTTATCACTACACACCTGTGGTCATTCCCTGTATGTGTGTTTGAGGGGGTGTAACTGAATAGCAAGACCTTCACTTTCCTGCAACTGAAAACAAGGGGTCAGCTATGGCAAGAGGCAACCCTGCCAAACCTGACATACACCAAGATGTAGCAGTCAGAGATAAGGATGAAAGTTCTGGCAGATTTATTTCACCGATAACCAAATGCCATTAGTGGGTGATTAATCATTAACAGACAAGCCTAAAAAGCAAGCATGTGATCCATCAAAATATCAATTATAAAACAGAATCTTTCAGACCTAAAACCTGAGCTACACTCTAAGTCCATGCAAAATATTTTATGTGCACTATGAGTGCACGTATCAACTGAAATCTGTATTAAAGCACCAAGATAATAAAAAAAGGGTTCTTTATGGAATGAAGTTCTGATAGGTGAGGCTAAGCGCATATATGAAGAACAGCCCATACTAAAAATATCGTAGATAAAAATGCAGTTCTGTTCAAACTGAGGTGCTGACAACTATAACGTGTACATGGTTATATGACTAAAAACTTAAAAACTGATAAAAAGACAAATATATAAAAGATAGGCACACTGAAGTTCTGTATTCTGATGTTCTGAAGTTATATTTACTGTTCATTGCTAGCCCAACTTAAAATGAACATTAACTGCCATGAGGGTTTGCTGCATGCTTCATTTTTTAGTATGCCTACCTATATCTGCCCATTTAAACAGGAACCATTATTTATTAGAAATGAAAACATTAATGTTTTTAAAACTTAATAGCATTAGACAAACAGCTGTTTATTTGTCAGTTAACCAGTTATTCATTTACATCCCTAGTCTTCACATTTCACAGCTCTTGGAAATTTGTTCTGCTAAAAAAAAAGCACAATTTTTTTTGATCTACACTTTTAAACAAACAGTTTCCAAATAGCCCAACAAGGAAATAATTGATATCGCCTTGAATGAGCTAATGAGCTAACGCTAACACTAGAGCTAACCAGTGAAATGGTAGCTGCAGAGGACATCATCTACAAAGGTTTTTTTTCCTCCTCAGTGGATGGTAAGCTAACGTTAGCTAATGTTAGTTTGTTAAGGTAACACTAAGAATAGAAATCTTTATCATTTTAGTTCTAGCTAAGGCAGCTAGAGTTGTTAGTCTAGCTATAGCTGCGCAATCAGTCTTCTCTGCTTATGTTAAGGCATCTGTCCTGCATCATATCAAAGTGTTATACTTGACCTTAACCACAAGCAAGAGGCTCACTTTACAGTTATGTTTGACAAATTATTTTATCATGGCTTCAATTAATCAGGAAAAATGTCCAGCCAACGAAATATTTCAAGACGAACAAAATGTGTCTACCAACAAATTAAAAATACAAGGAGTATTAGTCCTTTTGCACAATGCTCTTCCAAATATAAAACAAGAAATGCACGATATATAGGTGACAAATACATTAGTGGCCAATAAATGTGAAAATGTTTTATTATTGGTCTGATATAAAAATTTTGGCCAGTAATTATAATTGATAACTTGGCAGCCTATTTTGTAGCTCCTGTTTGCACTATAGCATGTGTGGTCACTCGTGGTGGGAAGTTCTCTTCTTCTAGACCCTACAAGAGTCTCTACTGGCCGACTGGAGTTTCCCTGTAACGGCTGCCAACGGCCTGTAATGTGACTTACTAAGGTGAATTCTGATAAAAAGATTGCCACATACTATATTTTAATTAGCCAGTTTATTTGTCATCAACATATTTGCGTTTTTGATTTACAAGAAGTAGTGTTGCACATTCACACATCTGTTTTTGCAATGAATGCTAAGGACTTAACTTTGAAGGGTAAAACTAGAGCCAATAAAAGTGAACACAAAAGGAGCCATTCTGCTTTGTGTAAACATTTTTGTGTGTTGTGAATGGCTTTAGATATGAATTTCTGCAAAATGATAAATATCTACAAAAATAAGGAAACGTTAAAACAACTAATTAAATTAAAATTATTCAACTTTATCAGTTTATGATGTGTATCGGCCACAATAAGGTTTTAATTATGAGTTATCGTTTTGGGCCCAAAAATTTCATACTAGTGCATTTCTACATAAACACCCACTATATCCATCTAAATCAATCAAAACAAAACCCTGGAGAGTATGTGGTGAATGATCATAAACAGTGTTTTTGTTTGGATGGGAGGCCAAAACACAGGGGGGGGGAATATACGTTTTCAAAAAAATTACTTTGTGTGTTACTATGGTTTAAGCAGCAACCAATCATGCTGTCCATTCAGCACAGAAAATGACGAAAGCAATGTGTTTTTCTGTAAATGCTCATGCGTGGTAACTGCACTGTCATGCCAGGTGAGCTCAGTTTTACACATCTCTCAGGAAAACGCCTCACAAGAAATGACGTTAAAGTAAAGTGCCTTAAGATTTTTTAATTTTTGGGTCACTGTAGCGTTTGCTATCTGTATTTTTCCTCTTTCTAGTCAAGTAAATGGAGAGAGCAAACAGATTAGGTTCATTGCCAACAATTATCAGTGATGTTTAATAGTGATTAATTTCTGCAGCCCTTCTGCTGGAACAGGGTTTCAGTGATTTAATTGCCTATATTGTGTTCTGCCTTACTTTCCGTCAAGCAATGTAACAAACACCTAAATTTGAATACTGACACCTTGAACAGTTAACTGACTACCTGAGTACTGTGCACATCCCTAGTCACCATTCCACTTAACACCAGATGCAACACCATCTGCTTGTGTGCTGATTTTCTGTGTGGGCATTTTATATTGCACATTGCCAAAAATGTATTTAAAATCTACCAAATAAAATACACAATTTTAATTTTTGTTCTTTCACACAGATTACTTCATAGAAGTTTCTTAATAGAAGACCAACACTATGATCCACCTGGATCTAATACAACTTTGCCAGGAGCATTAAAGCGAAACCCCCATATGGTTACTGCTCTCAAGTTATAGAAGTCATATGCTGATACTGCACTCTTTTCGTTTACATGAGATTTGGCTCACACTAGGCATGTTTAAGCAATATGAAAGTAGTAATAAAACACTTGAAAACCTTGGTGATCAAACAGCTATTACAGGGTGCATTTCGCAGAAGTGACAAAATGTTCCTGCCTGAGCATACCGGATGCAGGCATGTGATTTAAGAAACAACCCTAACAGTACTCTCATAGACTACTATCCGCAAATGCTTAAGGTCACCACTGGTACAGTTACCACGGTAGTAAGTATCTTTGATTCCAGCGCCTTGCAGACTGCCCAACAATGAATGAAAAACCTGTTAAAGTCAACACGGCAAGTTAACGTCCCCGGCCATATTAAGCATGATGTATAACACCATTTAAAAGACAAGTCTTTTTTCATAATGTACATTGAAAATGTAAAGTCTTTTGCCTGCCTCTGAAACATCTGATTTTTGGTTATGTCACCATGCACCAGCAAGTTGGAAAAAAAAATACTAACCAAACGTTCATCTCTCTCTCCCAACACCCCCAAATACAAGCAAGTGAAAACACTCAGCTAGCTCAGAGACCTTCACTAATACTGTGTTTCACTCAAACTGTGTCTTAGAAAAGAAGTAAAACTTATGATCTCTGATTCATGCTGACTTTAACTGCACTTCTAGGTGGAACAGTCCATTTTTACAAGAGGTAACACGTCTGTTCCTATAGATCTGAAGTCTTTATCAAGGTATAAAGATCCATGTATAATTCAAGAAGGAGGGTAGACTGAATTTCTTTACCTGATAAAACAAATATTTTGGCTTGACACTTGTCTACAGATTCATGCACCCATGCACATATGCACATACACACACAGTTCCTGATATTTCTAAGATATGCCCCAGTATTTTTAGCAGTTCTGTCAGCTGACTTGTCAGATATGTTGGTTGTGAAATTGCTGAACACTTTGCAAACTGACAAACAAAAGCATGAACGGGAAACTTCTTAGCCAGAATCAGAAGTTAGCAAGCTAACTTCAGTCCAACTCAAAGCAACAGAGTTCTGCAATTTCATATGAAAACTGTGTTAATCTTAATTAAGCATTTAATGTCTCCCTGCTCTGTAATGCATGTATGCTTCAGCAATACCACCATCACAGATTTGATAGTTCCTTTATCCCTTTTGCTTATAGTGCATCTGATACAACTTGACACTCAGCATGGGCTTCAAAACATCTAGTATAAAAGTCACTCGGTGCAGAAAGATTTCTTGAACCTGTTGTTAGGATTTCGCTTGCATTCTTTGTATGTCAGCTGACTAGAAGCACACATGAATCCAGAAAGAAATGGGGGGAGAAAAATAACAAATACACTCCTCTAAAAAAAATGTGGCAATAAGTTTAACAAGTTTATGATACGGGTACTGAAATATGCACAAGGAAAATTCTACATTTCACTGTTCACAAACGTAGTAAAGCAGCGAGGAAACTTCCACTCCAGTTAGGAAACCGGTACAACAGAGCTTTAGGATGAAAAATAGTACATCACCGAATAAAATTATAAAAAAGTTGCTGTGTTCATCTCACATATGCTTTAAAACAGCACTGTAATATAAACATCACCATAAGAAGGCACGGAGCAAGAACGAACACTCTTTACCAAACAGGGCCTAACGATTACTGACATGCTGTGAAGCTTTCGACAAATGCTGCGGTTGGGGGGGGTGGGGGGGGTGCATTTCTTTCATGAGTCATATACCACCCTCTACATCAACATGCCTCCTTTGGTATGTATCATTTAAAGAGGACAGAGACTGTCCATCTTTAAAGCCTTTGTGCTTTAAATATTAATCTGTCAAGTCCTCTTTAAGCATACATTCTGACAGCTAATGATAATGGACATGTTCATACTGTGCTTCCAACCATGTACCTCAATCGCCCACCAGTTTGAAAAATTAAGAAACAAATAGCAGTCACATGCTCTATTTGCCCAGAAGAGGGCCTAATGAAAGTTTTAAATACCAGCAGTAATTATCAAATCCTAACATATGGCAAGCAACATGGTGGTTCTAAGCAACTGCTGATAAGCACAGGTTTACCAATAAGGCTTCAACTAGTCCTACAGTCACAAATACTATGTATGCACATATGTATGCAAGGCCAATGCTTTAAAGGAGCCATTCACACAAATCAAATATACACCATTTTCCCCTTATGCCAAATGCAGATGATCCGTTTGCATCTATACTTTTGCACTGGAGCTGCAAGTAGCTAGCAAGAACTGGAACTGTGTCACCCCCAAAAGATTTCTATTACATACACTATTACATTAGCCTTGTAACTCCAGTACAAAAATAAATAAGCAAACTTCAGTCACCAAACGTGTTAACTGATCGGCTATGTTTGGGGTTAAGGAGGGAAAACGTGCACATATTCAGTAAATCACTGCTTTATGACTAAGTTACCAGTTAACAGTATGGTTTTCTCAATTAGCTACTATATGTATTCAACAAGTGTTCTGGACTAGTCAACGGACATTTCGATGTATAAAGTGACAATGTGTTCACTTACTCATGTGACACACTGGACCATCAAGGAAAAGCCTTAAGGTTCCCTAATGTGGACTATTAAAATTCTGATATCACGAAATACAGCTTCTGTGGCAATCCTTTTATTTCTCAAGGTTCATAATCCTGAACTCTCCCCATATGTTGATAAGGCCTTACTCATTACCCAAGCGAGTAGGCCAGGGACCACCACCCCAGGCTCTGCTCCAACGACAAACGCAACGCGTTAAACACTTCAGACTGTAAAAACGCTAATATGTTCTTTGAATTGAAACATGCAAGTAAATAAATAAGGAGTAAACACTGCCGCCTAATATTTCAGTTTCGTCTGACAGTGTGGAACAGAGCTGAAAGGGTGTGGGGCAAGTTTTTTCGATTAGCCAGCAAGCTAGCATCGCCAATCGACCAGATACTCACACCGAAGGGGCGGACAGGTTACCAGCAACAGCGAGTTACTGACTGTACTGCTCAGTAAAGTCTGTTAAACCGACTCGTACGCTTTTTTGGTCGTTTCGAGTTGGCTGAACAGAGTCGGGACCTCCTGAAACGAGGCGTCCGTGTGGCTGAGGTAACGTTAAAGAGCAGCGGGCCTCGCTTAGCTTATACGTTTAGCCGCTGCTCACTTTAACTTTCCTATTGATTTGCAGTGCCTGTATGGATGAGGCTAACTGTGACCGTGCGTTTTCAAGAAACGTCAGCCAGCCGGCGTCCGCGCTGAAGCGACCACTGCCTGCAACGTTCAAATTAAGCCAGATACGTTCAGTTATTTGTTATAAGGTAACTGTAAAAAGGCATAAAATAAGCCAAGTCGTACACTACACATGATGTAGCTCCAGGTAGCTAGCTAGGTTAATTAGCTAGGGTTAACCAACTGGCCCCTAGAAACTGCGGAATTACGAAGTTTAGTCGATTTCTCCTGCAAACCAGCAACACTGACCAGCTGACACAAACTAGGTACAGTCAATCTGTCCACCAGTGTTTTCTCCTCGACAGTTTGTTAGTGTTTCGCACGGTGACGCACCTTAGCTACTTGTAGGCTGAGCAGAGTCTCCACAAGTAAACAAGTTAGCGGTGCTAGCTCTCGAGCTAACTAGCTAATTTGGTGGGTGAGCTAGCAGCGTTTCTCTGAAAGCGGGCATGGAATAACGAGGAGAAATTTTAGTACACTTACCCCTGGTGTGCACCCCCTTTTCAAATGGCTGGAGTTAGGTTAATACGTATACTGAACAAGGGAATGGATTTCTATACTTGTGGGATTTTTTTCAGCTAATTATTTTTCACTGAGAGCGTCTTCCCACGACAGCCCACTTTCTAGCAGGGACAGTGCAAAATGGCTGGCTTTCCTGCATTTACCATCCACACGTCTAAAAGGGGAGTGGGGTGGAGCCATTATCCAAAGACACTTTTACAGTGTGCTCTTCTCTATGAAAAAAACTCATACACACTCACACATCATCTAATCATCAGAGTTCATCTTACTTTTTTAAAACAAAAGACACAGTTACGTACGATTAAATGTCAGTTATATGAGCCCACCCCCCCCGCCTCGTGTGAAATGGACCTTTTGGTCACGTGGTTAATGAAATCAATAAAATTCAAAGAAGGCTTGTCAGTGGTGGCGATGGAAAGTTCGATTTAGTTTACAGAACCGATTCTTACAATTTGTTCGTTTCAATGAATCGAACGTCTGATTCAACGATTCATTTTTGCTCCAAAGCGCGGGTGATGCTTTTGGCTTTTAAAGGATGTTTCGTGGAAAATCAAGTTTCCCATATTTTTTCCTTCTTTTTTAAATAAGAGAATTTGATGTAAAAAAATTGTTGGTCAGAACGTTGTTCTGTGCAAACAATCCATACACTGACAAAACCTTGTCAGTCTTGAATTTGTTGTTTTTGTGATGTCACAAAAACTAGCTCATTTGCATATACAGCCCCATTCAAGTTACTGAATGGGTGTCATGTTGTGGTTATTGACAAACCCAAACAAGGAACTCAGCTGTTTTTCTATATGCGAATATTGAAGCATGTGCGTAGCAGTAATGTTGACCCGTGTCAGCTTTGGAACATTTTTGCTTACCACTGTTGTTCATTTTTCACACTAAGGGAAATGTTTATATTTTTCAGCCTGGACTGCTTTTTGAATGAGGTACAATGCAGGACAACCAGTCAAAACAGAGGTCACTTGCATATGTCACTCTTAAAGGATAATTCCACTAATTCTTCAAAACTGCTGCATAATACAATTGTTGAGATGTAAACAAAGTCATTCAGAGTGTTTTGATGTGAAATGGTAACTGTAGAGAAACTAAACACTAACTGACTGATTGCTTTACAATGGTGGGAATAGGAACCAGGGGTCGCAGTGTCTACAGCACAAATATAGCCAATTTATTTACTATCCAAAGCAACAGATTTACCTTCACTGGTCTTCTGAGTTTTATATGCAATGTTGATAATGACAAAATAGCAGTACTTATAAATAATAACTTTTCTTTGGGGACTACTTTGTCTTACAACGGTCTACATATACCTCTCTACCATGAATGGATTTTTAAAAATATGTTTTAGGCCAAGGTTTATAACAAAATTAGCATAAAATAATATCTCCAGCATCTCAGTATTCGTAACCATTTCATAACCATTTCATGTAATAACTTTCTGTGATGGAGCTTTTAGAGGCAGATGTCTGGTTCCTACCACCACCACTGTGAGCACTTCCAACTCCAAAAATTTCTTTACTATGGAGCATTTCCCATCAAACCACTCTGAATGACTTTGTTAACCATCTTAACCATTTAATTATTCAGGTATGTCCAGAAATGGGTGAAGTACCCCTTTAAATGGCCAGTAACAGCAACAGACTGTTTCATTCTAAGGGATGAGGAGAGGCTGGAAAAAGCTAAAAAATGACGACTGTTCTGATACGTAAAAAACATAGACAACTTAAACAACGCGGAAAAGAAGTTAGCTATAGCTCATTTAGATTGTGTTTTATTTTGTGTGAGGATAAAAAAAAACGTTCGATTCATTCGCGCTGATGGATTCGCTCGACTCACCTAAAAGAGTCGTTCTTATGAGCGATTCGTCCGTAAACCGCCCGTCCTGCATGTGGGAAAACATTTCGGATAGAGTTAAAGGGGAACTGTGTTAACGTGGGTGGTCGCTACAGGACAGTGAGCCTCCTGGACTGGAGTTGCCAATGGACTACATGGCAAACCCCTCTGTGATGATGACGATGGAGCAGTAAAGGTTCAGATTCTCTACTATTCTGTAACGTTCTTGGGAATCGAACACTTAAAGGGGAATTCCACCATTTTTTCAAAATTTCTGAATAATTTTGTCTTTGATATGTAAATACAGTCATTTAGATTGGTTTGAGGTGAAGTGGTTAATTGTAGAGAAACTTACTGATTTCTCTACAGTGGTGGTGATAGGAAGCAAGGGTCATGATGTCTGCAACACAAATATAACCAAATATATCCAAAACCACAGCTAACTAACCTACACATCTTCTGAAGTTTTATCTGTAATGATAATTGTGATGATGGTAAAATAGCAGTAAATCTGAAAAATATCTGGGGACTGTTTTGCATTACAAAGCTCTGCATGGACCCATTTGGCATGAATGGATGAAAATAAAATGTATTAAAAGACATTTAAGTCAAAACTTTATCACAAAACTATCAAACTATGCACTTTACATTGTAATATTGCTGCAACCCCTAGTTATGTCTATACTCATTGTGCTTTTAGTTTACCTAATACCACTCAGTGCCTGCTATTATGTAAATACAAAAAATCTTTCTCATATGTAAATATGCAAACAGATATACTTTATTTCTGCTCTTATACTTACCTTGTCTATTTTTATTTCTATTTTTTATTTTCTGCATAGTGTATGTAAGTTTATGTGACATTATATGTCTTGCTACTGAAACATTGCAATTTCCCTTCAGGATCAATAAAGTTCTGTCTATCTATCTATCTATCTATCTATCTATGTATCTATCTATAAAACAATGTGTCAGACATCAGGCAGCGTATAACCATTTCATTTAATATGTTTCTGTGAGGGATCTTCTATAGAGACATTAAACTCATCTGACATCTGGTTCCCATCACCACCATTGTGAACAATTCTGACTCTGTAAGTTTCTTTAGAACAGAGCATTTCACACCAAACCACTCTGAATGACTTTGCTTGCATCTCAACTGTTTGATTATGCAGAATTTTTGAAAAATCGGTGGAGTTCCCCTTTAATATGACTGCTTATGTGCATAACATAGTACGTAAAATAGAGGCGAGCTAGCGTTTTTACTGCGAAATAATTACTTGTGGTTTAAGCTGTCCATCCTTCTGTATGAAATATCCCCGTCTCATCTGGTCTGATCGCCCCCCACCAGAAGGTGGCGATCGCGGCTCAGACGCGGAGGTGCGCCAGTAGTCGAAGCAGAAACAGTCCTGGGAAACCATGGGCTTACAATGACAGGCAGGTGGGCTTATGAAGCATGCACTGCTTTAGAATAACAAGAATCATGTCAGCTGTGTTAGCAAGGGTTTTATTTTACCCCACACTCGCCTACAACGTGGTGATGGAGAAAATCTCCTCGAGAAGGTGGTTCAATCGAGTGGATCAGACGGTGGTTCTCGGGGCTCTGCCTTTCAAATCAATGACCGAAGAGGTCAGTCTCTCCTAGTAAAAGCGCTGAACCTCAGAAGATTCTAGACAGCGATGTAATTGTTATGATGCCCCCCAACTACGGAGCAGTTAAGGTTCATGTTTCGTGTTGCTTCGTGATGAATGTTCTTACTCTGGGTCTCCTCTGATTTATTGCAGTTGGTTGAAACGGAAAATGTTCGAGGGGTGATAACAATGAACGAAGAATATGAGACAAAGTATTTCTGTAATTCAGAGGAGGTGAGTAACCGTGTATCTATGTGGGTTTCTGTCAGTAGACTACTTCTAAATTAAAACACCTGAAAAACAACTCCAAACATTTTCCACTGGAATATATGTCAATTTAGTAATTCATAATAATGAGAACGTTTCCATAATTTTGACTTAATATCTCACAATTATGACTAGTACCTAATAATGAGAAAACTTTGAAATAATAATGAAAAAGTGAGTAATAAGTATATCAAGTCATAATTATGACATAGTAATTCATTATTATAAGATATTAAGTCGTAATTATGAGAAAGTAAGTCAGAATTATGAGATGCTAAGTCACAATTATGAGAAAGTTAGTCAGAATTATGAGTTGCTAAGTCGTAATTATGACATAGTCATAAATATGAGAAAGTAAGTCATACCTGTAAATACTAAGTCATAATTAGAGATGCTAAGTCAGTATTATGAGATGCTAACTTAGTAAGTCATTATTATGAACTACTAAGTCATAATTAGAGATGCTAAGTCAGTATTATGAGAAAGTAAGTCATACTTATGAGATACAAAGTTATAATTACGAGAAAGAATCTCATTATTATGAGATAGTAAGCCATAATAATGAGATGCTCTGTCAGAATTATGAGATACTAAGTCATAATTATGGAAACATTCTCATTATTATGACTTAATAAATGGTTATATATTTTTTCCAGTTGGCAGAAACGGGCTTTCATAAAAATGATTGCAGTTCCAATAAGTGACATAATTTTGTTGGTCTTAAAAGAAGCATTTAACTTATTAATCTCTTCACCTAAAAGGTCTTGCATTGATTTCACTAAATTTGAATGTGTACATCATTTGAATGTTAATAAAATATCCTATCAACACAATATTCTCTCTCAGTTTACTCACTTTGACAGTTTGTAGATTCGTCTTCCTTAGTTACTGTTGCTTCATCTGTCAAACTTTCAGCTTTTAGAAAATTTAGATGCACACAGTAGCATGTTTGATAAAATATGAATGTAGGACAATACAGAGCAAAAAAAAAAAAAACTGGACCCCTGTTTATATTAATCTAACCAGGTTGAATCACTGTATGCTAAAGCATCAGGCTTTCATGTCTAATGTTGGAGCTAAGAATGCGGCACCCTCAGATGAGCTAATGCTAAAGCTTACATTTTCTTTAAAAATGTCATCTTAACATTGTTTATTGTTAAAATGAGTTATTAATTAATTTACTGCCAGCATTTTCTCTACTGTTTTGTTCTGAGGACTTTGTGATTTTCTTTCCTTCGCTTGATGGAGGAAGTAGCACTGAGAGGCAGCTGTCAGTCATTATTTTGCAAAAGGTCAATTGTGTTAAAATACTGCATCCTATTGATGTGAAAATGATGTAGTGATAATGAAGTAAATTCAATGTGATATTGTTTTCAGTGTAATCTTACTACTCAGTTACTACCTAGTAAAAACTATGACTTATTTGGTAACTACTATGAAACGACTATGGGAGAATAATGTCTTAGATTATAAAATTTGATTTACAACTAGGCTTAAAATTACAGTTTTAATTAGGGTTAGGTTATAGTTATGGTTAGGGATGGTATGAGGTCATATTAACCCTTAGACATCCAGAGTTACTACTTTCATTTTGCAATGCTATTCAAACATAATTATATAATAATTTTTTTAATGAGACAGTTGTGCCGTGAATTATGAATTTACATTTGATTTACAGGTTCAAGGCTGCACGTATGCGAAGGGTACAACAAACAAAGGATGTTTTTTCTTTGGTAGAACAAGATTGTGCATACAACAGTAACATTTCATCAAATTCAAGGCATCCTTTCTTGTTTACCACCTTAAGTGGGGTATAGATTGAAAGCGTAAATTGGACATTTCTCCTTCTGTCAATGAGCTATGAGTGAAATAATATGGAATTACAGCATGCTTTCCTTATCACTGGCGAAAATTATGACTTCTAAAGGTTAATAGTGAGGTTTAGACTTAAAATAAAAGAGATTATGTCCCCCAAAATATGTTAATGTGTAGTATGTGTGTGTTTTACAGGAATGGAGAGCAGCAGGTGTTGAGCAGATCAGACTCAGCACAGTAGATCTGACAGGAGTTCCTAGCCTGGAGCACATCCACCAGGGTGTAGAGTTTGCTCTCAAACACCGTGAGCGAGGAAACAGTGTTTACATCCATTGCAAAGCAGGCCGCTCCCGCAGTGCCACTCTGGCTGCTGCATACCTCATCAGAGTGAGTAACAGAGTAATGGAAAGAGGGTGAAAGATTGAGAGAAAGCAAGGGAGATTAGGGGGAAGTCAGATTTGTAAAGTCGAAAACATGATCAGCATGATGAGGAGTGTTTCATTCTGGACCGCTTTTTGAAGGAGACACAGTACAGGGCAGTCAGTTAGAATAGAGATCATTTACATGTCTTGAAGGCAAGGTAACAAAAAGCCTGTTTACTTCTAGGGGATAAAGAGAGGATGGAAAATGGTCATGTAAAAATGATTTGCAAAGAAAAAAAAAGAAGCGCAAAGGAAATTTAGTATATGGGTCCTTTATTATTTAAACCTAAAGCGTAACTTTAAATATCACTGGATTGTCTGTTAGCAGTTTACCAATGTGGTTGTTAAACAAAGCCATGTTCTATGGATTTGGGCCATTTATTTCATATATACAATGATTGTGATCAGTATGTGACTGCAAACATACATTTACTGCATTACTGAGGTCCTGCATTTTTTCCTCCTCCAAGCTCATCCATAACCCCAGCCCTACTTTATAATGTCTCAGTCTGTGCGTGAGTTCATTCACACAGTGTCTATATAAAAATCTGATCGAGTGCCCTCTGTGACCTCAAACGAATAGAGAGATCATTGGTAAATGGAGTAAATACTGGTGGTTAACAATCAGCACTGGTTTAGCACCCTGCCAAAAATAAATCTCAAACATGCAAATGCTGCATAGTCAGCTCTACACCCTTTGTTGGATCTCTTGTTTATCAACCAGTGATTTAACAACACATAACAAGAGAAGAAACTGTCTGATTACGTTATTTGCGTTACGTTACGGTCTATTTTGGGGGGGATGTCAACTTAGAAAAGGGTTATAATTCCTACACATTTCACCCACTATGGATGTACTTATCCCTAATATTTTTGCATAATTCAGTGGTTGAAATGTAGAAGAAGTCATTCATAGTGGTTTGAAGTGGTTTACTAGAGAAAAACATACTGACTCAGATTTCTTTACAGTGGTGGTAATAGGAACCAGGGGTAATATTTGCTACAACACAAATATAGCCACTTTATATACTTTCCAAAATGAATAGTAAACTTATATGTGTCTTTAAATTTTTATATGTAATGTTAATAATGATAAAATAGAGTTACATCTGAGAAAAAAAAACAATTCTTTGGGTGCCATTTTGCCTTTCAATGCCCTGCATATACCTCTCTGCCATGAATGAATTTTACAAATATGTTTTAGACCAAACCCTTATTGCTTTTCTATCATAAAACTAAGTTTCAGACATCAGGCAGTGTATACATAATTACTTCATATTTATTTGTGTGGGAGATTTTAGAGAGCAGCAAGTTCCTCAAGCATTTCACATCAAACCTCTCTGAATGACTTTGTTGGCCTTTTAATTATGCAAAATTTTGTGAATTTGGTGGAAGTCCCCTTTAAGCTACAATTCTGTGCTTTATAGTTATAGTCACTGGTTCATTGCAAATCCAGTGTACTTAAATTCAGAGCTAAACAACAAAAATGTGTTAGTGCACACGTTTTGGTGCTATATAGAAACATTTTCAATCTGAAAAGCAATTTTACCATGCAAAGAATCATTTAAGCATAAAATGGTTCGAACTCATTTATGATTTTTTGACATCAAAACAAGCAGAAAAAGAAAGAAGGAACTTGTTGATACAGTATATGAAATGTTTTTTTGCAGAACTTACTCTGCACTTAAATACACAATTTTGGCAAAATTAATAGCTCGACTTTTAATAACAGTCGCTGTGAAAAATGAGCAGTAATACTTAAAATAAGAGTGTATGTCCTACTCAAATGTTTTCTCAGCAATGCTGATGATCTGTTGTTTCTTTTCTCTTGTTATTTCTGTGTAGATACACTGTTGGAGTCCAGAGAAGGCATGCAAAATGCTGGCAGCAGTCCGGCCTCATGTTCTTGTCCGCTCTGCACAGCTTGACATGCTGCAGAAGTACCACCAACAAGTGTGTGGATCGGGACCAGACTGTGTATAATAGAGAATTTCATCGCTGTTAAACTGGCTTTGCTTTAGATTTGTTCACTTATGTACATAGGCAGATTGATGTGACTTTATAAACCATGCACCGAAGTGTAAAACATATCATGTATGCTGTCTTATCATATGAGACGCTTTTGTTACAAATAAATGAAACAGGTTTCATATTTACCACATTTATCCAGCTCTTTTTTCAAATAGGGATTTGATAAAGTATGTAGGTTTTTTATGTTTTTTGAAGTGCATACTTTCAAACAGACTCCTCGTAACATTTGGTAGCTCAGCATGGTTCCAACTGTATTTCACAACTTGCCTCTTTATACTGCAACCAGTCATTTTACTTAAAGCATTGATTTTGTCTTCTTTGCTGAAGTACAGTTAAAGATTGTAGTCAGTAGGGGTGTAATGATACACAGATTTCACCATACGATAAGTATTGTGATTTTTGCGCCGCAATACAATACATTTGCATGCAGAGTGGAATATAGGAGTAATACAGATATTTTCAGGTTTGATATTTGAATCTGAGGTCAGGATTCAATTCAATTTCCCATATTTAAAATATCTTCATTCTACAGTGACTCTATACACTGCAGACTGGTTTGGCTCAGATAAATAAAATAAAGTTTTTTTCAACGCCTGCTGTGTCACCTTCAAACAAAATGAACCCTAAAAAATGTCTTCAGAATAAAGCCCCTTGATTTTTATATGTGTGTTAATAGCATAAGCCCATGTCTTGCAATGTCTAGCCATCTTATTTACTATCCAAATAGACCAGTGAAACTTCATGTCTTTTCAGTTTTATAATGTTATGTTTATAATGATAAAAGATAAGTAATTCCCACAGTAATAATAATACAAGAGCTTATTGGGGTACTATTCTACCTTGTAATGCCCTGTATGTTCCTCTATGCCATGAATGTATTTTAAAATCATGTTTTAAGCTAAAATCTAAACTATTGTAAAATAATATTTGGGGAATCAGGGAACATATTCATAACCGTTCTGTGTAATAACTTCAAGTGAGGGAGCTCTGAGGCTTTAAACAAGCATTAAACTGATTCCTTCACCATTGCTGTGAAAATTCTGACTCTTAGTTTCTCCATCAAACCACTCTGAATGACTTTATTTACATCACAATGATTTATTGTATAGATTTTTTTCTAAAAAAAAAAAAAAAAAAATTGGTGGAATTACCTTTTAGTGTAGACACATTTAGTTTGTTTCTCTTTGTTTTTGTTTAGGACTCGACTTAAGTGTCTCAGGGCTTGGTGTTCTTTAAGACTGGAGACTTGTCTCTTACTGACTTTGGACTTTACTCACCACCCCAATTAATATCTGGTCAACCGCAGAAACTGATCAGTGATGAATGGCGTCTGACAATTGTGCAACAAATTGTGCATCAATTTGTGGGTTACAGTGTATGAACTTGAATGGGTGAACGAGGTTGGCTGAGGTTGGCTTCCTATTGGCCAGCTTCTTGTTCGAATTTTCCCGTTCCACCTTAAATGGTGCAGCAGTTAGATTCTCGAGACTCAGACGCCTGAATGTAACTGCTGCACCATTTAAGGTGGAACGAGAATTCGAACAAGAAGCTGGGGAACAAGAACATGACTCTGTAGAGGATGGTGAGTGAATTTCCACACATCAGTGAAAGTTAGAGAGACACAACTAAGCTTTTAATCATTGAACGGTGTACTTGTTTCACCGTCGTCTCTGTTTTCTGTTTTGACCTGCTGGTGGCGACATCAGCTCTTCAGCACCTCAATCAGTTGGGACCGAGAGTGAAGAGAAGAAGATCGCCATCGGTTGAGTGAAGATGGCGGCCTCCTTGGTCAGGCTCGTCCGCGGCGGCATTAGTAGAAGCTTGAACGGTAAGCCGTGAACAAAACAGGACGACGCCTCTGCATGATGAAAGTATATTTTATTAAGCAGTGTCCGACTGAGTGTGGTTAGTCGACGGCTGTCCGCTCTGGAGCTGGTGCAGAGCTGGTGACCTTTCTCGTAGCTCCGAGGCTAACGGTTAGCGGTGAAGTTCGCTACAACAGACTTCGGTGAAAGAACGGCAGATTAAAACGGGTCTTTCATTGGAATATACACTCACCGAACATGGACTTTTGTTTAATGTTTTTTTTCCCCTGTTAGTTATGTGGAAGTTGGAGCAGGTGCATTTCAGAAACCGAGCTCGACATTTGCTGCCAAGTGAGATAAACACGGTCAGAAAGCAGCAGCGTTCAGTTCTGCAGTGCTGATTTGTAGTGAGCTCAGCCTCTCTCTGTGTGTGTGTGTGTGTGTGTGTGTGTGTCGGATCACAAACAGTTTTCCCATTTCACATCGACTGTTCAAATGTTTCTTTTTTTCGTGATGTTATTTAGTTAGCTAACAGCGATACAGAGACTCATTATGTTCAGCGTTCAAAGTCTGTTAATCTATATTCATTGTAAAATAAGTGTTTAACACAGAAATCCCTGCATAATGCAGGAATCGAGCCTAAAGAAATTATATGCAGAATTTCTGAAAAATCAGTGGAGCTTCCCTTTAAAATGAAATTTAAAAAAGGTAATTATTTCTTTGCAGTAATTTTGCATTTTCTCACAAGCCATTGCAAGTGCATGCAAAAATGTTGCAAAAAATCTGCAACATTTCCCCATAATAAAAATGAAAGTTGTGGGAGTGACAAACTAGCTACATATCAAACAGACCGTTTTCTAGCTCAGTTCGTAATATGTTAAGTATTGTGCAGAAATTGTAGACATCTGATGCAGTTAGATTCAAAAACTATTTATTTTGAGCTGTGTTTATTTTCTTTCACACTAATAAACACTATTATTTGAATAAATCGAACATCGTTAACAGAATAAGTAGTGGAAGTGAAGTATTGTTAGTAGTGGCTAATCAGTATTTCATTATGTTAAATCAGGTGTGCTTTTGATGGAATGTAACAGATCTATGTAGTGGCTAGAGGCGTGCAGGAAACATCTGGAACCAAACTTTATACTTCTATTTTGGTAACAACTACTATTTTGAAAATAAGAAATTTCTTTTTACTTATTTTTGTATATATGTTTATTTGCATCTATTCTAATCATTTCACAAGCACAAAATACACTTATTGCCAATATACTTGGTCTTTAACAATGTACGTAGCACCCTACAACTATTGCACGTGTTGTAACCTGTGTCATGTAATGTCATCATTTGTTAATGATAATTGGCTATATAGATTAACAGACTTTGAACGCTGAACACAGAGTCTCTGTATCGCCGTTAGCTAACTAACATCACGAAAAAAAAAACATTTGAACAGCACTGCAGAACTGAATGCTGCTGCTTTCTGACCGTGTGTCAACACATATCTATGTGTTTTTAAATAGCATTCTGTGTACTGTATGCTGCAAAGTGCAGGAGTATATACTGTGTACTGTATGCTACTCCTCAGAGTGGTATACAGTACAATATCCAGATAGTAGCCAAAATTACCATCATGTACCATGTACAATAATACAGGGCAGGATGGTGACTAGACTCTTAACATCAGAGCATGTGCCAGTTTGTCTAATCCCAAGACCTGCCTTATTTTCTTAGCCCTCCAGTCACTTAGCAGCTGTTGCATTGCATTATAGGACAGTATGTCATGAAGATAGCTCTGACTACTTACTGGAATATTTTGCTAGAGTACTACGTTATCAAGGTGTCTTTGGTGAACTGGAGAAATTCATGTTTGGATGCATACTGCTTGCAGCTTACTGCTTTTGGGCATGATCAGTAGGTCAGCAGTACGGAAAAGGCTATTTTGAACATGCACTGCACAGTATCATGTTTTTCCTTTTCCAACACACCTGATTCAGCCCAAAAAGTATGGTGTAGCTCAGGTATAGAGAAAATATGAAACTGCAGTTCAGATAGGCCACAAGATTGCACCTGTGAAACAATGGAAAAAACAAAGCTCCTATACATCTGTGTAAGCAATGAAGTCAGTGATTTATCTGTGCTATATTGCTGTATATATCACCCAGTGACATGCTGAATATTATATGCTTTTCTGCTACATGCCGTCCATTCAGGATATCATTCAGAATACATGTGTACCATCCTTATAACTTGAAATTGAATGGACAGCATCATCCTGAGTGGTGCAGTTGTGTAAGAGTTGGCCCCATCATAAGGAGATTGTCAGTTCGATCCATGGTGATGCCACAGCCAGCCATGGCTGGGAGTGCAAGAGGGCATAATGGAATACTCGTGTGATGCTAGCCAACATGGGCATCGTGGTCAACCAACCAAACACAATTAATTCAAAATTGTTTTTGCGGCATATATTTCTGCATATAGACTTCAGTGAGGTGAATAAAGCATATTGAAGTGAGTGTATTTAGGTTTTCCATTATATGGACATTTTTAAAGTTTGTTGCTATAATGCAGCAGACATGATTGTCATGTTCAGCTGCATTCTTCTAAGTCTCATGGAGCTGCTTCTTTTGTTATGAAGTTAATTCTGTAAGTTGTCAATGTTGTTAGTACCCATGTATTCTATGTAAAATACAATTATTTGCATTTATTACTAAGTTGCATGGTCAATAAGGTGGAACAATTTCCTCTCACCTTGTCCTAGTTGCCAGTCGGAGTGCTGCACTGGTCCAGAAGCGGTCTGAATCGACAACGACTGAGACAAGGCGTGAGTATTGGTGGGCTTTCTAGCCTAGAAATATTTCAAGATCTGTGTTAAGGGAATATTGTACATAGAAAAACAGTTTTTTCAAAAGGAGAAAAGTTTGCTAATTGGAAAAAAGTCCATTTGACTCTTTTAAACAAATGATCTCAAAAACTAAAGGTGTCTAGATGCATTTCATTTTTTTAGTTCAGAATTCTAGTTCTATTATATTAGTAATCAAGCTTTTAAAAACTGTAAGAGAGAGAAGAAATTAAAATATGCATTATCATTGTGCAAATTATCAGTTAATTATTGCCTGTTTATTGAAAAGGTTCATTTAATAATTGGTTTTATTGCAGTTTTAACATCCCTAATCATGCAGATATTATTGTTCTTAGTTTCCAGGGCACTAGGTTTTAATTGAATCTAATGCACTTTTTACAGCTACGGTTAGGCCCAGGGATGCAGTCACTCACAACCAGCTGTCCCAGTTTGGGGAATATATTGCTGAGATTCTTCCTAAATATGTGCATCAAGTTCAGGTAAAATCCTCTGATCAATTTAACTGTCTCATTGTTTTGCCCACTTAGTGCAACATGCAAAAGTATACTAGCATTAATTCCTATGTTCTGTACTAATGTCTATAGTAGATAAGTTCAAGATTGTGAAAATGGTTCCTACCTGTTTGTTCAAATAACATCTGAAGCATGTGTCCTCAGGTTACCTGCTACAACGAGCTGGAAGTTATGATCCACCCAGAAGGTGTTGTTCCTGTGCTGACCTTCCTTCGGGACCACACCAATGCCCAATTCCGCAACATGGTCGACCTCACGGCGGTGGATGTGCCCACTAGGCAAAACCGTTTTGAGGTCAGAACACTTAAGAGGAAGTTGGGAAATTTAAAATTTTCTCACTTTTTAAGACTTATCGAATAAAATCTTCTTGACTTTTTGAGACTATTGACTGAAAGCTTCTGCTTTTATTTCAAGACGTTATGGTGACAATGTTTTTTTGATGTAGGTTTCTTTTTTTTATATGGAAGCAATAGTTCCACCAATTTATTGGTTGGCCAACAGTATCACATGGTATTGATATTTAATTTTCACCAATACCATGATGATAATTGTAGCATGTCTGTCCCAGATAAATACACAGCTTGTGTGTGCCAACAGGTGTGAATTACTCAATTGCTCTGACATACTGACAGATGGACAAGGCTGCAGCCCTCTGACAAAGGACTAGATAGAAGGAGACTGATCAGTAGGTTAATCGTGAAGGGGTTGTAGACAGTGTACTTTGTTACCTTAGGAGTGATGTATTGATAAAACTTAAATTAGACTCCTTGCCAACGCGGAAGATGATAAATGCTTGTCCCAAAATGCAGTATATTATGCATTTCTATGCTATCACATGTGAAGTTGATTGTATGGTCTTGCAGATGACACCACAGTGGTTGAAATCTTTGGCTGTTTTTCTCATTTAACCTGCAGTTGCTGTTTTTAGGTGGTTCTGTGTTGTTGTGAATTAATAGACCTTTTATGCATACATTTATGTACAGACTTTTACAAAGAGTTACAAGATTATGTTATATGATCATGGATATTTGAAGTCAAATGTCTGCAGACGAGATGTTCAGTGACAGCCATCAAAATTCAGCTGAAATGTTAAACAATTGATGCTTTAATCAAACAATATAGCAAGCAGACAAGAGAGTGCTGTTATGCTTATCCCCATTCACATTATCCTTCAAATCAGCATTGCTAATCTAACAGAATGTAGTAAGCATGTTGTGCTTAAACAAAATGGTGTTTTTTTTTTGTTTGTTTTTTTTTTTAGATTGTGTACAACCTGTTGTCCTTGAGGTTCAACTCTCGCATCAAAGTAAAGACCTACACAGATGAGCTGACGCCTGTCGACTCCTCAGTCCCTGTCCATCAAGCGGCCAACTGGTATGAGAGAGAGGTATGTTATCCCTCCTCTTTCACCCATTTAAATGTGTCTTCAAAATCACATATTAAAGAAACAGCTGCCATATGTGCAACAGAGAGTTTAAATATTAATTTTGTGGCCTTCACTGTGATTCTCAGGTGTGGGACATGTTTGGAGTTTTCTTTGCAAATCATCCAGATCTGAGACGAATCCTGACGGATTATGGTTTCGAAGGCCATCCATTCAGAAAAGACTTTCCTCTTTCTGGATATGTAGAGGTAAAGATGCTGAGATTTCATGTTTGAAATCATTCTGAAATATTTCTCATTTCAGAATAATTATTAAAATAATGGTACATTATTTTAATAATTGTTGTGCAACCTAAACTTTAGATAATAGTAAAGCATCTATAACGCCAGGGGGTCCAGCTCAGCAGAGGGACCACCACACCATCATATTACATATTGGGTTACAGTAGTGGTTACAGTTAAGAAATTCTGACAAAATATAATTTGATGCATTTTTTTCTGTCTAAACAAACAGGTATGTTAAATGCAGGAAAAAGAATACAAAAAGCCTTTGCCTTTTAGTGGCCAAAATGTGAAATGTTGTGGCCAGGGGCACAGGGCAATAGGCAGTGTCTACTCCTGGGTGCAGCAGATAGAGATTAAGATGACACATGCTGGAGTATTCCTTTAATATCTTAAAAGAGCTCATATCCTATGTACAAAAAGTCATAATTTATTCCTACATGACTATTTTTCAACTTATTTTTGTCCCTTGGAATTAAACAGGCGGTTTTAATTGCTGTGTCTTTATAACTAAGATACATATATGAACACTGCTTTGATTGGATGCCCTGTATTGTGCCTTATTTATAAAGCAGTCCAGGCTGAAACCCTCTTTCTAACTTCATTATTAACGGTTGGTGCTAAACTGCTGTAGGCTGAAAAGGGTCATATATGTAAGTCTGTTCATTTTTGTTACATTGCAAGAAAGATGAATTCAAACTGGGTTGTTTTTGCAGTTTAGTTTCCATATGTAAATTGTACATTTCAAAAATAATAATTTTAAACATATGACATCAAACTCGTTTATTTAAAAAAAGTGAGGACAATTTTGTCTTCTATGCTGTGGGCCTTTTAATGAGTACTCTTTATAATATGCTCTAGTGACAGTTGTTGCCTTGGCTAATTTGTTTGACAACATGTGCATAACATAATCATAAGATTTGCATGCACTTCATGTGAAGAACGTCCTGCGTCTGTGTGCCTGTAGGTGCGTTATGATGATGAGGTGAAGCGGGTGGTGGCAGAGCCTGTAGAGCTTGCACAGGAGTTTCGGAAGTTTGACCTGAACAGCCCATGGGAGGCATTTCCTGCATACAGGGAGCCCAAAGATGCACCCAAACTTGAGCCTGGAGACAAACCTGCAAAGTAACACCCCTTCATCTTCACTCTGTTGTAGAACACCTGACAAACACACACATGCTCCCATTGTTCTTGCTAGAGTATTTATGTAAATAACAGACCATGTTTTGATGACTGTATCTCAGTCCTTTGTTGGGAGAAATCCTAAGTATCTGAATAAAAAGACAATTTAAAAATGTGCTGTTTCCTCATTCATGGCTTGGGATCTTGTTAGGGATAAAGAGCAGAAAAACTATGTAACTGAAAGTATGGGTCTCAAAATCTTACTCAGTGGAATTATGAAGCCAAATATGTACTTGAATGTACTTGAAGTCAGAAAATGTCTATTTTAAACATACTAAAGTGTATATAAAAGTAAATGTTTTAACAAATAAATTTAAAGTATTCTTTGTCAGCTGAATTAGTTCCAACTCAAATTAGCACAGTTATGGTCAGTTTTGTTTCTATTGATATGAATTCGGTTGGATGTTTTATTGAAAACAGCTCTATTGCCTGGCAAGAAAAAAAAAATCCTGACCTTTAAGATTTATAACATGTACATTGAAAGTCTAAATGAAAATGTAAGAATTAAAACATTTTTTCTTTCTTTTTCTACTGACAAAAAGTGCAGGTATTCAGTTTCAATCCTAAACGAGTAAAGTACAGATCCACCGAATAGTACTTTAGTTGTATGCAAAAGTTTGAACACCCCTGGTCAGAATGATGTGTTTTTCTGATTTTCCAAGTGGTACAAAAATGAACTTAAATGAACTGCAGTTTTCTGTAAATTTTAGCACACGATGTCTGTTTATTTGCTGAGTTTAACATAGAAAAAAAACTAATGTACCATAGGTTTTGCTCAAGCTACATTGTTTTTTTTTCAGTGCTAAATTTAGGTAATTGACCGTTATTGTGTGTTACAACGTGCAGAACTGTGATCTCTGTAGAGGATGTTTACATATTTTCACAAGGAGAAAAAACAAAATATGTAATTTGACCATAGTTGCACAAACTGTTGCATACAACTGTGAGAACAGAAAAGAAGTACCGTTACTCAAGTATTTTCCATGCCTGCCTAATAGTTTCTGCAGCTGTGACAAACCCCATAATGCTAATCTGCAATAAAACTACTTTAGAAAAAGGATAGAGCTCTTTGTCCATTGTCTGGTATTTTCTTATGTTTGTGGTCGGTTTATAACTCGACAGATGTGTATCTCAAACAAATAACCATTGCAGTTTACATACCATAGAATCAGAATCAGGCACATTTAATTGCCCGGCATGTCAAGCATTGTACAAGTAATCTGTTGATCATGACAGCCAGCATGGACGGATACAAAATGTGTGCAAACAGTGCAAAGACATTCATTCATTCATTCAGACATAACCAGTTAATGCTTAAAACAGAAAGAATTGCTGGGTGACACTCTATTTCCAGTAGTGCAAATAAAGAAATGCAGCTCATTCAAAATTTCACTGACATGAAATACATCCTGTACCATGCGGGGATTGGAAGGTACAAAAGTACTATTATTTTGAATGACTTGTCTGCAGGGTAACTGTTTTGTGATGGCTTTTAACAGTAATTAGCACAGAAAAGGCCCTGTAGTGAATAAATAAATCTATATAAATTGGTTGTAGCAGCATGTAACTTAAAAACACAGACCAAATCACAACTGTGGAGATTTTCAGGTGAGGGTGCAGTGAACAAGATTAAGCCTAAAAAGCCTAAGGATAGTGAAGAAGACTGAGAATAGTACAAGAAGCAGCATGTAATTGTGTATAATTTAATTTGCAAATTATCAAAGTTAGCGATTAAGACTGTGACAATGAGACGTATAAGAGGAGAAGGGTGAGTTCGAGGCAGTGGTTGAGAAGCTGGTCTCCTGTGGAGGTGACGCGTGGGTCGCGTTGGCCTTGAACTGTCTCTGTGATGGACAAGGACAAGTACACGGCCCTGATGGAGGGAGCTGGCAGCTAATGACCCTTTCAGAAACCTGGGCTTGAAGAGATTGGAAACAGCGATGGAGATAGTGAGGACACTCAATAATGGCAGAGCAGAAATGGGTCAGGATGCACTTAGAAACCTTGAGCTTCCTGAGCAAACAGTAAAAGAACTGACTGTGCTGAGCTTTAATTGTAAGTGTGGACATGTTACTGTCCTACTTAGGGATGTTGCTGTTGGTAAGCCCCAAGAACTTGTGTAGGTATCCACACATGTCCAGCAGGTGGCAACATTACTGAAAGTCAGAAGCTCAAAGCTATGTTCCTTAGACCAGGAGTCTTTGCTAACTGCATGCTACCATACTAAACAGTATGTCAAAAATAATCCAATCATTAGTGTAGTATGTGTAGTATAGTAGAATGTGGTTTTGGATGCAGCTCTGGTCTAAGGTACGTGGCACGGTTTGATGAATTCCTCGCTCAGAAACACCTAATTCAGTTTATGTGTAAATTGCCAGGTGTGGTGGGACCAGAGTTAGACCCCTGCCTTTGGTTTTTAAAGCCAGCCTGCTGCCCTGCACTGTTTCATCTATCTGCGTAAGACAGAACACCAACCATAGTGAATCTCATGAACATATTAAAAAAATAAAAAAAGTGAGCACAGCCAACTTACAGAGCCCAAATGTGACATAACCAACCAATAACATACCGACATGAAAAAACGAATGCAGCCATAAGCATCATTAACATACATTAACATAGGCCAATCAAACACAATCATAACAAGCCAGCCTCATAAAGCTATATTTTGGTGAAAATTCTAATTTATACAACTTTCCTCTTCCTCTACAAAACTAATTTAAAAAGTGATGACTTAGCAGTGAAGTATTAGCATTGTGTAAACTGCGAGAAGAGTCACCTCAAACGATGTAGAGTTGTTAAGTAATCTCCAGTAGACTTTCATATGTGGTTTCTGACACTGACATTCTTTTACCGTTAAAAACAAAAGTACTTTGATTAGCTAAAAACAGTAGTAGCAACCATTTGAGGCCTGTATTTTGTCTGTTCCTGTAGGTAACAGTGTGTCACACAGTGTCAGAAAGAACATAAGCAAGTTTGACAAGAACAACTCCATGTGCCCTGAGGACAAAAGGATAGAGGGCCACTGCTGGCCCATGGACGGCAAAGAACGGCCCACTGGCTTTTTTTCCAGGCAGCCCACTGGTGTTTAAGCAGTGTTAGACAGAATGACACTTATCATCACTAGTTTTCCACTCACAGTCCAACTGACTTACTTTCTCCTTCATTTCTTTCCTACCCTTATCATTCGTAAATTAGTTTGGAAAATATCGTAAATACAACTGCAACCAATCTGTCAGCAACAACATTTTCAACAAAATCATTTTATATTAGACCTAGTCTGTCAATTGTTTGTTATATTATATTATATTATATTATATTATGTTATATTGTAATATTTTCCAAAACTGTAAAAAAAACACACACAGGACATCTTAAAGCTATGAAACAACTTCATAGCTTTTTTTAAGTTGACCGATTGATTTAAAATTGAGTTTTCTTTTTTACGGTGAACTGTGTGATGTAGACGTGCAGTTGGCGTGATGCTACATTAACTTTCTAACTCTAACTAAGTGCAAAATCTGACTTGGAGTGAAAGGAGAACTGGGTAAATTAGATTTTTCACTAAAATATTTCTAGATACCAAAGACCAGTCCAACTTAACCATCGCCAAACTTCATAAAAATAAATAGAAGTTTATGTGCAAGTGAATGCAAACACCTAATGCATCATAGGTTACTTAGTGTCTAAATCTCAAATATGAATGGAATTAGACTATGTACAACATATACACTATATTGCCGAAAGTATTCGCTCGTCTGCCTTCACACGCATATGAACTTGAGTGACATCCCATTCTTAATCCATAGGGTTTAATATGATCTTGGCCCACCCTTTGCAGCTATAACAGCTTCAACTCTACTGGGAAGGCTTTCCACAAGGTTTTAGAGGTGTGTTAATGGGAATTTGTGACCGTTCTTCCAGAAGCGCATTTGTGAGGTCAGACACTGATGTTGGACGAGAAGGCCTGGCTTGCAGTCTTTACTCTAATTCATCCTACATGAAGTTTGGAGGTCTGTACCGATTGACTCTGCAGAAAGTTGGCGACCTCTGCACACTATGCGCCTCAGCATCCGCTGACCCCGCTCTGTCATTTTACGTGGCTGACCACTTTGTGGCTGAGTTGCTGTCATTCCCAATCGCTTCCACTTTGTTAAGGTACCACTGACAGTTGACTGTGGAATATTTAGTAGCGAGGAAATTTCACGACTGGACTTGTTGCACAGGTGGCATCCTATCACAGTACCACGCTGGAATTCACTGAGCTCCTGAGAGCGACCCATTCTTTCACTAATGTTTATAGAAGCAGTCTGCAGGCCTAGGTGCTTGGTTTTATACACCTGTGGCCATGGAAGTGATTGGAACACCTGGATTCAATGATTTGGATGGTGAGTGAATAGTTTTGGCAATATAATGTATCTTAGGTGACATAATATATATATACAGAAAAAGCGGGCTTTTTTTTGCTTGTGGACGGCATCCTTTTGCATCCTGCCCCCCAGTTGACCCCTACACATACAACAATAACTGAACCAACTCTTACCTTGAAACTTAAAACTTACCTCAATCTTACAAAGATAGAAGAGAGGCAGGAGGCTGTGTACAAAATCCTACTTCATGAGTGTGTTGAGATGCAAGTTTTTGTGCACACATCATGACCTCTCCCCTGTAGACTGTAGATGAGATGGTTGTGTCATCCACAAATGTCAGCAGCCTGACTGATGGTGTACAAGGCTGGGGTGCTTATAGAAAGGGGTTCTGACAGCTGGGTCCCAGCCGCACATGGTGCCTCCTATTTGTAGGAAATCAGAGAGCCACTGACGGGATGGGGAGGTTTCACAAGTTTAGAGAACCTAATGTAGTAGAGTTGTACTATGTTACAAGAGAATCTAAAGTCCACAAACAGTCCAGATAAAGACACAAATTGACTCCATCCTTGACTGAGCAATATTTGCTGTGGGCAAATTGTAAAGATCTAGCAGCTTGTGAACATCTTCAGCTCTGACAAGTGGAATCAGCCAATCACAGTTTGGTTTTCAGTTGGTGGCACTAATTTCATGAAAAAGTCATTCTAGGCCTTCTGGAAGTGCTATATGCATCACTGATTGTGATTAGTGATGGCATCCTAACCAATGGGTTTCAGTCAGTTGTTGGAAAAATGGAAAGCATTGGCAGCTTTATGTCAGACTGTTCAATGAAAAAGTCACAGTAAAACTGCCAAATACAAGGTACATATTGTTGCTGTTAAAAAAAAAACACCCCCCTCAAAAAAAACAAAAAAACATGTATTTCCATTTTTTCAGCAGCTGTCCTTTACATTGTGTCAAAATTTCATGGTGAATGGACCAATAGAAATGGTACAAAAGTATAAGAAAAAAGTCTCATTACATTAACCTGTGTCAGAATTGAAGACCATTTTTTCCTTCTCCTCTTTTTTGTGGACAGCGACGATGTACTGTAAAATCTGCTGCAAGTTTCAAATTGCTTTAAATGTCTATGTTTAATATATTGCATCAAAAATGTTCATGTGCACCAGTGTTAGCTTAGTGCTAGCATACTATGAGAAAATTAGCAATATCAGTTTTTCGGTTGGTTTTTTTTTTTGGAGTTTTGATATTTAAGGCCTAAACTGAAGGCCTAGCTCTAATAGTCATGATTTGCAACTGACAGTGTCCATACAGACTGACCCATCCGTACACACATCTATTCTGTCATACTAAGCTATCATTTACTTTCCTACACTGAGTCAGCAGTCCAATGGAGTTAGTAAGTTTAGGCAATGTCAGTTTTTGCCTGTTTGTGGGGCAAGCGTGAACATTGTGTGATCAGATTTGGTAAAGGTGGATGATAGACAATAAGAATCAAATTCTCCTTCAGTGATGGTATAGAAGATCTAAGGTTTCCTGCTCACAATTGGGACAGCTGATCAGCTGGTCATAGTTTTGGTAGATCATTGTTTATGTTACTATGAGCGCATTTACTTAATAATCTAATCATTATTAGGTTCCGTCAGTTATCTGATTCTTCAAGTGGTCATGTAAACAGCATACTCTGATTTCTTAGATCGCATTAAGGTCAAGAAATACGATTAAGGAACCGAGAGAGCTGGATTTTAGCTCAGTAATCAGACTTTTCACGCATGTGAACCATTACTCTGATTTCTTTCGTTTTTCTCATGTGCAAAAACAGCGTTGTCCCGAAAAGAGCAAGCAGAGTTTAACACCGCACCCGCGAGATGGCAACAAAATATTTTTTGGAGCGATGCTAAAACCAAATACATGCTTTACAAAATGAAGAACTGAAATATTCTTCATCTTCAAGATGATGCATATTTATATTTTCTGCTGAAGTGACTCAAAGCCACAGCATTACAACATTACATTTTAGTTTTGCATTATGTTTGCATCACATCTCCTTCTGTTAGTTTATTGGCTGGTGTCAAAGCAGAAATCTGATTAGTGCCTGACATGGAGTTTCCCATTATCTGATTACTCAAGTGCATGTTAATGTGTTGAGCTTGTTACTGACAAAATCTGATTTTCTGTAGTTATTGCATTATTAAGTTCATCTAAATGCACTTAATGATTAAAATTCCCCATCTAAAAGATTACAATAACTGAGAAATTGTTGTCAATTTCATGAATATGATAGGCCACCATCCTCTGGGCATATCCAGTCTTAACTTGGGAAGATATGTACACGCCAGCAAGAATCACTGAATGAAATTCTCTGGCAAACAGACTTAACATGTGTTAAGGGTATGGCTGGGAGTCAATCCCAAAAAGAATTGATTGCTCAATTCCAGTCGCTCGGGAATTGATAGTCAACTCCAAAGCTTTGGACTCGATTCCACACAGTGACACTCAGGTCCCAGATTGCTGACTAGCTAACAAGCTGTTACATTTACTTACATAAATAAATGAGAGTGCGCAGGCTTGCAAGCTGTGTGGAGCAGAAGGACACTTATTCAGACTGCACTGGACATTAAAAACAGGAATAAACTTTAACCTAATCCATTATGGACGAAGATAAATTTGACATTACAGCCTCTAACACAACTTATTGCCAATATTTTGGTTCAGTCATTTTTCTTTACACTTAATGCTGCTTAAAATGAACTGCCTCCATTGCTGACTGGATGCGAGTCATATATCCAGTAGTACAGCCAACATTTATGTTTACAGGCATTGTGAGTGGGTCTATAGCCCTCCAGCTAGAAAGAAGAATGAAAGAAAGCATGAGACTGTTTACATTCAGTTTTTTTTATTCATTTTGCTTTGAGCTTTGGTGTAGGTCACAAAAGCGTCCACTAAACACTGCAAACACTGTACGTAATCTCCAGGAGCCAGAGCTCAGACTGCACAAACAGAAAAATGCTTGCCCGTGATTTTTATTTGCAACCTACTCAAAACATTTCTGTTCATGACCATACATTACAATACAAATAACAATGACCAGTCACAATAAAAACGTGAACATTCCTTTCATTAGAAATGAATAAAAAACGGACAAATTACGTATTTTACAGTATCAAGTTGTGCACATGTAGCATGTAATGTTTTTTTTTTACTTTTTTTAACTGCAGCATGCACAAGTAAATTCAAACTTGTGAATTTATTTTTTTAAATAAACTGCCTCTGTTTATACGAGGATGACTAATGAATTGATCCTTTGCCAAATAAAGGATGCCATTTGTATAAAGACTTCCACAGAAAACTGGTGTCCCAGAAATATCTATTTTCTTATTTTTTTTTTAAACCTTTTAAAGTTTTGTGACACCCAAAAATGGGCACAGTGTCCTAGTAAGTGCAAAGAAAGTCTTAGCAAAACTCCGAAAACAACAGTGCTCCAGAGATCAACAGTATTAGCATACACATGCAAATTGTTCGTGCAAAATAAATAAATACATAAATGAAAGGACTGAGAGCAAAATCTTTAAGGAGTGGACTAAAGTTGCATGCAGTTTTCCCACTTTTGATTTGTGCACACATTAGAATCTCTGCCTTGCTTGAAGTGCTCTGCACTTTTTTTGCTACTTTGTTAATTTTTTTTTTTATCATTTTTGACATTTTGTTTTTAACTACAAATGGACAATGGGTACAGTCAAGGCCTGAAGATTTGATCCATGAACTCGTACCTCTACATGTCTTCTATTTTGTTAGAAATACTAACACAATGTTTTTATTCCTGCCGATTATAGAAGGAAACGAGGCTTTTAATGCACAGGTCTCATTGAGGACTACATGTAACCACTTTTGCTCAAAATGTCGTTCTTTTTTGGTAATATTTTATGTCATTATGCTTTTGTGCTTACAGTATATCTTCTTCACCCCCCAAAAAGAGAGACCGAGCTGGAGAAATTGCAGGAATGCAAAGTCTGAAAAGCACAGAACAGGACCAAAAGGTCACAACCTCAGGTCTCCCTGCATGAGTTCACAAGAGCGAGCAAAGGGAAAGGGTTTACTTGGATATGACCCACAACCAACCAAACGCTTTCCCTTCCTTAGCCCTGCCTGCAGACACGGACAAACGTAGACCAGTGCCGCGGTTCAACCTACAGCACCTTATCATGCTTCTGCTGCTGAGGGAGGTTGTGCGGGAGCTCTGGATACACAAGGAATCCGGTAAAGGTGATGTACTTGGCGTGGTTACTGTAGGCTCCAAATCCATCTCTTTGGTGGCTGTAGAGCCACACCGTGTCTCCTTTCCTCAGCGACAGCATCAGGCTCTGACTCTGCAAGGCCTTCTCTGTGTCACTATCATCATAGATCATGGCCTGCACTTCCAGATGGTTCTTCATGAGCTTCACTGAAAGGGTCTTGTGGGGCAGCTTACCAGCGTTGAATGAAAAGTAGTAGGCTCCAGGCACACGACACATGAACACACCCGAACTCATGTTAAAGTCATATCCTATGTTGACGAATTCGGTGTCAAATATTATGGGCTTGTGCTCTGGGTAACCTTTGTCGACCCCCACAATGCTCTGAGTGCGACCTACTGAGAAAGCAGACCTCTGGTCATCGTCCTCTTCAATGTCTCTCCTTTCTTCTTTGACTTCTTTGTCGTCTACCTGCTCTGGTGTCTGGTCAGAAGTTACCGGGACCTGCTCTTTCCGGGCGGGCTCCTGGAAGCCGTAGACGTCTGGGTAGATCAGGTACCCGTTAAAGGTAGTGTAGTGGCCTGTGTTGCTGTAGATGGCGTAACGAGGGTCACCGTGGAGACGGAGCCAAACGGTGTCCCCAAAGTCGAGCTGAAGCATAGCACTCTGGCTCTGGACCTTGCGTTCCTCGCCACCATTCTCGTCGTACACGATGGCCTGCACCTCATTGCGGTTCTTCATCAGCATCACAGACAGGTCCCGGCGCGGGAACTTGCCCACTGTAAAGGAGAAGTAGTAGGCCCCGGGGATCCGGCAGCGGAACAGGCCTGTTTTCGGCTCAAAGTCGCCGCCGATGTTCACGTACGTCTTGTCGAAAGTGACTACCATCTTGGGCCCACCTTCCATGCTGCTGGTGCGGGCGACAGAGAAGGCAGACCGCAGCTGCGCCGCGTCGGACAAGCGCGCAAAAGCCCAGGTGGCCGTCACGTGGCACAACATGCATAACAGCAAGGGCCTGGCACCTGGCAGCATCGTTCCTGTTGAGAGAAGAGAGAAACATCAGGGTTAGAAACAGAAATAAATAATGAATTATTTTTTTAAAGGTTTTTTATTCATTAAAGGAGTGGAATGAATAAATTAATGGCTAGCATGTGGGGAATATGAATAAAGTGAAATAAATGTTTAAAATTTGTATGAGGTAGCTGTTTTATTTGGAATAGGTTCAACTTCAGAAAATTATGATTCAGTTCAGTAAGTTTTTAAAGGAAACTTCTGACTATGAAATATGATAATACAGTACAATTCCTTACCTCAATCTTGTTGCAAACAACTTATAACATTTTGCCGAAATGCTTTAAATTCCTTTGTTTTATATTAAAATGAGTAATAAGCCATTTACATCAGAAATTCTAATTTATTTTTAAATTCTAAATTAATTTGTAATAATATATAGTATTCTCTGTCTATATATATTTATATATAGTATTCTCTGGTTTCTGTTACATTGTCCTGTGTGGGAATGGGTTGAAAGGGGTTTTGTTGGTCATTTTCCAAAATAATCACAAGTCTCACTCCTTATAAAAACTTTATATTTATTCAATACATAATAATTGTCATGAACTTTCAGCCTATGTAATTATGATACTTTGGATTTTTTTTCTCCTAATGCTGAAAAATGAATGACTTGAATGTACTTGATGGCCATGTGGTCTCGAAATGAAATAAATGAGGCATGGTCTCTGACTTTTGCACAATACTGTATATCAGCAGCAGCATCAACCGATATGTACATGAAAAATATTGGATATTGGCATCGATACAGAATTGTTATGTTAGAAATCCAGATGTTCATTAATGATGGGTCATAACACGCATACAGTGTGAGCTTTTTTCTTACATAGCACAGTATTGTTCAGAGGCTGATCAAAAGGTGCCCTTAAAAAGTTTTATGTCTTAATTATGAGGCATTCAGAGTGGATTCTGCAGACAATTTCCATTTGACCTCATTGCAAATGAAGTCTGTTTAATTTCACTATGAAGTTTCTTTAGGTGAACTGGGTCTTTGAAAGAGGAAAAAAAACAAGCTAGAAAACCAAAAAAGAGCAGCCTGTCTGTCTGTTCTACAGACCTTTCTCATCTATTGTATTGCTTCTCAATCCCACACCTGGAGACCCCCTGGGCTTTGTGTTGTCCTTGCTCTAACTCACCTAATCCCGCTAATTATCCAGCTTTTCATTAACTGAATCAGGTGTTAGGTCAGGAATAAACATTTTCAGTCACTCAATGGTGATGTCTTGCAATAATCTTATCTAGACATTCAGTTTAAGTTAATATAGCTGACACTCTTAGGTCAGAGAATACAGGCTTGCTGAAGAGATAGACTGGATTCTTTTCTCTCATTAATAATAATCATTATGCATGCAAGTGCCAGCAGGGGGTGAGATCAAAACGGAATATATTGCTGCCTTTGGTGCCTGTAGTACGATGAGAAGACTAATAACAGGCTCAGCCCCCCTCCCTCGCCTGCAGAGAGCAACTTAATGAGACACACTGTGGCTCAGAACAACGCAGGGTAACCGAAGCTGACTCAACACCGCTGCATGATTTCACAGCCCCGACTATTTTTGCCCAGCTTTGTTTTCCCAGGTCTTCACCATTGCTTACTCACATGAATGCAGTACACAAATCATCTGTTTGTGTGACAAAATATCCATTACAGGGTGAGGAGGGTGCATAGCAGGGTAACATCTGACCCAGTGGAGAAAATTACTGGCAGCATTTGACCTAATAGAGAAAATCTGAGAACTGAGTTTCAGTTCTTTCAGTACTTTGGTGGAAAAAACAACCATAGTGTAATGAATTGAACTGCAGTTAGATGCTCAAAGAGGTTCATGTATATAGTGGAAGTTTACACACCCATAGATCTTGTCACGGTCAGAACAAAACCTTTTATTACCAAGAAAATAATTTTACAGGAGAAGGAACTCTTAGTAGAAGAAACTCTTAGCTTTCAATGTAAGATATGAGAATATTTAAGTCATTTTAGATCATTGGTCCAATCACAGGCACAGTGGACAGTGTTAATGGCAGCTGGCATTTTCAAATTACATAAAAACAGCAAGAATGGAGATACAATGAAGCTTTTGTTTCAACAGTGGTGATGTACATCAAGACTTCACAGAAGCCTTACTACTGTAGAAACAATGATTGTTTTGATTTCATTGTGAAAATGTGGAGCCCCTAAATGCCATTGCAAAAAAAATAGAAAATAAAAAAAATGCAATGGCACTGCATTCCCTTACAAAAATTTTGCATCCCTTGCAAAATCAACTGCATTATCATTGGAACACAAAATCATTGCAAGAGAATGCAAAACGTTTGTGAGAGAATACAACATGTTTGCAAGGGAAGAATGTAATTACTTTTTTTTTTTTAAAACCACAGCCCCTTAGGGGCCCCATTTAAGAGAGCTTCATAGTAGATTATACACAGGTAGAGGGTGAACAATTCGCTTCAATTAAAGTCTACCTGATATCGAAACTGACCTTTTTTATTTACCTTGTTAGTTCATGTCCCTGGTCATATTAAGCAGGATTCATATCATTAAAAAGACAAAAGGCTGTGTTGGCAGCCCCTAAAGCATCTCCTGAATTTTGATTATGTCACCAGGCACCAGCAAGCCCAGCTCCATAGCCCATAATCTCCTTCCATTTTAGTGCAAATAAATGTCAGGATCTTCTAAAATCTTGCTCTGAAATCACCAAATGTATCTTCAGACTGCTGCAGTTATGCTCACTTTCACTAATATACAGCACTGTGCAAAAATCAGAGACAATACTTCTTTTATTTAATTTCCACAATGGCCATGGCAAGTTATTAATTCTTTCTGGGACACTTGCTTTCAGTTTTTAAAGAAATCTGCAAACTTCCAAAGTTCAGCCTTACAAGCTGGTTGCATTTTCTGTTTCTCTCAATTCAAGTAATCCCAAACCTTTTCAATGATGTTGAGATCTAGACTCTGGGGTGGACAGTCCAGTTCTGAGAACACCAGCAGCTTCTCTTTTTCTTTTCTCAGTAACAACTTCTTGACAGCTACACATCCTTTCAGACTCATAGCATTGAGTTGTCTTCTCATAGTGGATGAACAGAAACACCCGTGGATTGTTTCAGATCTGAAGCAAGAGTGGAGCCTGAGTTTCTCCTTATTTATATATATATATCATAAAACAGTACCTCACAGTAGTCTAACCTATCACAGAAGCCATGAACATATCCTCTGGGGTCTGTTGTGAAAGAGCGGTCCATAAACGATTACACAAAACAAGGGGTTGAGTGATCATTTTCTCGCCACTTAAATTTGCACATGTAAGCCGCACCTGAGCCTATGCCGAAGTGGGCAGATGTTCTGATCAGATGAACGTTTAGCATCCCCACAGCTCTGACTACTCACTCGGCCGTGAGATAATATGAAGAGCCGCTTCCAGCCAGTGCGGAGAGGCCAAGAATCTCTCCGGCACTTACCGTGCAAATATGAATAATAATGGAATGCAGGTTTTCTCTTAATGAGATCTCTCGAGACTCGAGAAAAAGCCGAATTTATATTTTGCTGATTTCAAAGAGAAAAGAACAGACTAAATATAGGGAATGGCTCTCTGCCTCTGTTACAGCCATGATTTCAGGTCCATGTTCAATATAAATTTCTATAAAATGAACAAAACACTTGTAACTGAACAATGTAGAATGTGGAGGAATTGATGCCTATATACAGATATATGTATATACATACATCATATATATATGACAATATAAGCTCTAATGATGCAGCGGCTTTCATATCTCATTATCTCTATTATTTTTCAGGTGGTGTGGATCCAATCCACTTAGAGAAATAGAGAAAATGCCAGTTAAACAAAAGGACACATCGATGCATCTCTGTGCTGTTGTCTGATAGGCTAATCTATTTTTATCGGAGCTCAGCTTTCATCTCCCAAAATGTGAACCCAGCTGTATGTCCAGGCCTGTGCTGAAAAACAAAGCGCAGAATGAAAGGAGACAGAAAGAAGAGCATGGAGACAATGAGAGAACAGTTGCAGAGGAAAATCAAAGAGGACCATTTCCACCTGGGCTGGATTTGATGAGAATCTGTATTGTAAAAATCAATAGAGGCAGAAATAACTCTGCAGCTGGGAGAAGCCAGTTCTTTCGAAAGCTTTTCAAACAAAAATGTGAGGCCAAGAAATGGGATCATGATGATGATGAAGAAGATGATGATACCAATCCTTTGATCTGTACAAGTTTTATAAAAGAAAAGTGAGAAATAGTGAGCTGAAAAATGGAGCACGTCATGATTGGTGATTTAAAGTAAAGACACCGGTGTCCTCTGCAACAAGGACAGATGAGGAATATTGCTTCCACTTACTTTCAGATAGCAATTTAGAATTTATATATTAAATTTATGCGCACTAGACATTTCAAATGATGCATATTTTATAAGCATGTGATAGATTGGGTGTGTTTTTGGTTGTGTAAATGAGCTAATGTTTCAATTAACTACAACAACATAGTCTGGCTTGGTAGCATAGAATCTGGAAACCCAACATTATTTAGCGAATCTAAACAAAGATTGCTACAATTTTTTATCAGGTTCAATGGGAATTTTGCCAGTGTTCCATAAACTTGTTCAACCTCACAGCACAAAACAAAAAAAAATTACATAGAATTCGTGGGTGGCACATGGACAGGTATATTACAGATTGTATGCAAAAGTTTGGGCGCCACTGGTCGAATTATATGTTTTGCTGATTTTCCAAGTGAAAATGAGTACACATCCTCTATAGAGAACACACATCTGCACATTTAAGGATAGCTTCACATGGTCAAATGTCATGCAACTAGTTGCATATTGTGAATTGCACGCAACACATTAAATTCTTCACCACCAAGCCAATTTAGCAGCTCAAATTTTATGACATTATGTATCGTTCTCGCTACACCCACAAGTACTTTTATCATTTTCATATTTTTTTTCCATCTATAT